CCCTAAACCCTAGGCCCTAAACCCTAAACCCTAGGCCCTAAACCCCTTCTGCCACACCCAAGATGAGGAATCCGATGCCAAAGAGCCTTTGGTGCCTGCCAACCCACACGCCAAGGCCAGCCCGCCAGGACCTCCTCCGGAAATGATCACCCGGAGAGGCCTGGCACAGGGTTTAGGGTTTAGGGTTTAGGGTTTAGGGTTTAGGGTTTAGGGTTTAGGGTTGAGGGTTGAGGGTTCAGGGTTGAGGGTTGAGGGTTCAGGGTTCAGGGTGCAGGGTTCAGGGTTTAAGGTTTTTTCCCACCCGTGTCGCAAGCGTGTACGGGGAAAAGGTCGGGCATTACAATGGCCAAAGTTCGGATTCAAAGTTCGGACTGCTTTGGGCGGGCCTCAATGGCGTACACACAATCCAAAGCCAACCCTTGACCCTCCAAAAGAGCCCCTTCCCCCCTCTCCACCCCAAGGGTTTAAGGTTTAGGGTTTAGGGTTTAGGGTTTCAGGAACCAAATGAAAAGGCCAAGTACCATTTAAAGGCAAGGAATATCGCGGCTTCAGAGTAGGGATAAGCATCTGTCAGGGCTTGGGGTTGGAGGGCGAGACACGGAGAGAGACCGCGTTCCCAATCAGGTTTGTGAACTGTTTGGACTCATCACAAAGTCTAGGCTGAGAAAGTCTGTTGATTCAAGTCTTGTGCTGAAGCCATTTGTAACACTCGCACACATGCAGCTCCTCGAACCTCGTGCTTATGGATCAACGCCAACACACCAAGGACTCCGAACCACTCAGGTTCTTTCCCCTAGGACCCTGAGCCCTAAACCCTAACCCCCAAACCCTAAACCCGAAAATCCTGGACTGGAGCTACAAGGAAAATAGGAGCCTGCTACTGCCGCCTGGCCCAGTTCCCCAGGTCGAGCCTCCAGTCAAGTGAGGCAATTGTGGAGCGAACCACTTGCAGATATTGGCTTACATCATATTAGATTCCAACATTCGGTTGTTGGTTCCTTGTAGGTTTCAAGCATTATCTAGTTGGTGTCCTTTTGGGGATACCAGGAATAACAGCCATACTTCGTATATGGCCCTGCACAACGTGAGGTGGGGCCTGGACGATACGAATGCAGCATGAATCCATGTGCCATGTGAACAGACCTATGTCAGTGGGCGTGTGCGACAGTGGATGTGATCGCAGCCGGCGAAAGCTTCGTTCTGGCTTCCGGGGCCTGGTCCCAGCGGTCTCCATTTGTTGTTAATTAAGTTTGGGCTGAAGGAAGAACGGGGCCTTTGATGACTGCCTATGGATCTAAACATATACATATATGTCACCCCCCCGGTAGGTCTTGGCCGGGGGGGGTGGGGGATGGGTGGGGGGGAACGTATGTATGTATGTATCTATATATATATATAGATACATATGTATGTATAGATATATATATATATATAGATGTACACACATATACACATACATACAACTATATGTACATAGCCCTATACGCAATTTACAGAATTATGAAGATCTAAATAAAATTCACAAAACATGTGTAGACATACATACATACATTCATACATACATACATGCATACATGCATACATGCATACATGCATACATGCATACATGCATACATACATACATACACACATGCATACATACACATGAACAGATGTAAGTATATACATATTAATACTTACTGAGGTCTGGACCAGGTGAGGAGGCTGCCAGGCGGGTTCGGGTGGAGGAACACCTGGGAGGTCACTTTGGGGATGAGGGAGGAAGAGGGTTTCGGGATTAATTGCCCACGCTCGGACAAGCCAGTTTCGCGTTTAGGGTTTCAGATTATTGGTCTCGGCTGAGGCAGACATCCCAGACCCCGTCCTGGTTTGTAGAGGATACGCAAAAACCCCCAAAATTGTTTGGGGGGGCTCAGATTTAAGCGAGTGCAACATTGATAGGATTGAAGGGGTTCCTTTAAGTCAAGAGATGGTCCTCAAGTTCTTAAGTTGGGGCCTTCTCAGAGGACTTCTTTCACGATCCATCTCCTCAGCCGCTTGTTTTTTGGGAGGCTGCCCTAAACCCTATAAACCCTAAACCCTTAAACCCTAAAGCGTTCCTAGGCCCTTCTCGGAGAAGTCCTCCCAGCATCTAAGACGAGTGCCTTCTCCGTCCGGCAGCACAGGCGGCAGCAGCCGCGGCCAAAGCGAGCGCCTTTGAGTGTGGAACTTTCCAACCTCCTGAGGTTCTAGACTTGAAGGGTGGGAGGTGATTAGAAGTGGGGTTCAAAACTGGGGTAACTAGGGCAAGCTCACTGCATATATATATATGAATATATATATATATATATATATATATTTGGAAGGTACCGTTCAACCCTTTCATCAACGTCAAAGCAAGGAAGCTCAGGAGGAGCAAGCCTGGAGTCCAACCTGACTACCCCAACTAGCAAAGAAACAACTACAACAACCCTAAACCCTAAACCCTAAACCCTAAACCCTAAACCCTAAACCCTAAACCCTAGGTTTGGGCTCACTGTCAGCCTCTTTTTTGCTGCCAGCAGTTGGAGGTTCAGGGTACTTATTAGCCAATGATAACGGTACTTATGACCCACTTATAAGCCCCTTAAGTGCCTTAATATGTGTGTAATGTGGGTTCTAAGTACAGTTAGAATTGGTAAGTAAGTACCATGAAACTTCAAGCATTGGCTAATTTGCGGTTCACAGCAAGGGTATGGAGCCACGGAGGGCTCCTGAAGCCCTCCGAAGGCCCTCCATCCTGGCTGCCCCGCTTCGCGTGGCGCTGCCGACGAGGTTTAGGGTTTAGGGTTTCGAGTTTAGGGTTCAGGGTGCCATTGAAGCTGTTTCTGGGAAGCTGAGTCATGGTCAACCGCCGCTCACCCAGCTGTGCTTATCAACATCTCCAGGGCGCCGCTCGGAAGTATATAGCAGCCACTCGGGAGTTCACTTAAGAATTCGAGTCCCCCCCAGATGTGGTCCAATCCCCTTGGACGGACCATGACGGACCCAACAGAGGCAACCCCTATTTTCAGAAACGCGCCACTCAATCAGGACCTGATCTGGTAAATCAGAAGTTAAGAAACACTTGCTTCCGGCCTGCGGTGGCCTCGGCTGTTGATTGCACGCCCCATGTAAGGAACCTGCGCGCATTTCAGATGTTGTTCTTGCCCCTGCTGGACACGCGCTTTTTCTGCACCTGCCCAGCATTGCCTAGCTTCGCCTAGCATTTCTCACGACGCACTGAAGGGCGGCACTTGCGGCCTGGCGCTACTTTCACACTTCATCACGCCATCCTCCAGACGCCTACAATCCCTCAGCTGTCCCTGGTGGTGGCCACCCAGCCCTCCAAAACCAGGCTGGTGCTTATGGGCTGAGTACCTGCCCCATGATTCTTTAGTTCATGCACGCCTCCCCCGCCCGCCACATGCCCCCAAGCCCCTCAAACCCCTAAAGTCCTGGTTTAGGGTTTAGGGTTCTTAAATCCTGGCTCCAGTGCCCTGGGCCTCTGGGGGAAGTTCGCTGCGCTGGTGGGGAGGATCCTGGCCACGCGTCACACTTCTGGGCATGTTCCCCCCAAGGCGCCGTTGCATCCGGAGGGTCTGTTCCCCGAAGGCTCAACTGTAGCCATCTTTTGGTTGTTCTCGCTCTTGCATGTCGAATTTAGGGAGAAGTCTACGACCATCTACGGCACAAAAAGAAACTACATCTGAGCCTTGGGGTCGGTAATGACGGTGTGTGACCAGCTACGAGTCGGCTACAAGCAGCTTTAGTTTCAAGCTTGCGCAAATATTGGGGGGGAGAGGGGGGGTGTTCCGACATTAGGTGTACCTCATTGGGTCCTTATTACATTAAAGAATCCTACTTGGGGGGTCCATGTTCAGGGCTTTTTGTTGGGATGTTGCCCCTTATACTAACAGTCCTTAATAGGGATTCTATCATATATAAACCCCCCCTAACTAGTCTGATCCCCAGTAAGGACTGTTAGTATAAGGGGGGAACATCCCAAGGTCCCTGATTTTCCTAAACCCCACAAATAACCCTAAACCCTAAACCCTAAACCCTAAACCCTAAACCCTAAACCCCTAACCCTAAACCCTAAACCCTAAACCCTGTCCTTTGAAGGCTCTCTGGTGGAGGTGCACGCGCGCGCCAGGCTCTGAAGAAGCCAGCTGCATAATTACTGGGCTGCTATGTGCTTCAGAAACCCTAAACCCTAAACCCCCCCCCAAAAAAAAACAAATATGATAATCATCCCAATTATATTGCCCTATGAGGAAGAACATTTTTTGTATTTTGTGTCTTTTTTGGGGGGAGGGGGGTTCTGGGTTCTTAAGCAAATAGTAGTGGACTTGAGATGTCTTGCCCCACAACCATGCGGCCAATGATTTTATTGACACTCACATGCCCACGAGCCGACTACACCTGGATATACATAATATAACATCAGAACCACAACATTTGCAACTCAAATCCCGTGGTCCATGATTAGATCACTTGAGCCCGCCTGCGCAATGAAGCTTCACACGCTCGGCAGGCAAGTGAAACACAAGCAGCCATGCTTCTACTCTAGGGGATAGGACTCAAGGGACCCTTGGGGGTATAGAGACTCTCAATAAGGTCCCTGTTTAAGAGAGCCAGAAGAGGGTTCAGCAGGGTTCCCCTTTAGAAGGGTACCCCTTTATCCTACCTAGGATTCTCTCAGGACCTCAGGAGATGCCAAGCGACAAGGGCTTTGGCACATCACAGAATTGGCCCAGCAGCCGGATCCCAGCTGCTTTTTGCCTGCTAACCCCGACCCTCTACCTCCCCCAATTTTTACATGTCACCCAAAAAGTTTGAAGTTCGCCCGAAGGCTTGCTAAGTATACTCTCAACCCCAGGCGCCCTCAACCCCAAACCCTAAAAATCCGAAACCCTAAAAACCGCAAACCCCTAAACCCTAAACCCCAAACCCTAAAAACCACAAGCCCCTACATGCCTGTTGGCCCCGTGGGCCCCGGCACTGGATGTCTGTGAGCGACTCACCCGGGCGGAGTTCACGCTTGAACCTGCCAGGCGGGGCTCATAATATGGGTATTTCCCAAATATATAGGGGGTTTAGGGTTTAGGGTCAGGGTTTAGGGTACCAAATTTACCAAGTAGAATAGAATCCCCTTACAGGGACCCCCAAAAAGGGTACCCCCATTTTCGGAACCCCCTTTTGGGCCAACTTTTGGGGGGGTTGCGATAGTAAGGGTTGAAACATGTTGGGGGTATATGGAGGAATCACCGTTGCAGGATCTAGGATTCCGAGATGTTCCGAGTGGAGTTCGCTTTAGTTGGATCCTGCAAAGCTGCGGCAACTGAGCCCCGGCACTTCGCTCCCCTCTTCTCCTTCAGGCGGGCGGGCGACTCGGCCTGAGTCGCATCTTGCTAACTCGAGTCTCTTGAACATCCTCCATAGCGGATACTACGATGCCTCCTCTAACCTAAACGCGCCACATGCTGTGACGCCAGTACGACCGCCATCGGCTCATGTTGCTACAGCTTCTATCCGGCCCGGCACAAAACTCTCCCAAGACAACCCGGACATCCCAAACGAGGCTCAAAGACACTCCGTCGCAGGAGTTCTTCTTCCTTTATGCAGTCCCCATTGACATCAACCAACAGTTGCTAGCCACAGCTCGGTTTTGTTACAAGCAGGGGCGCACCTCCTCGACTTCAAGAACAGAAACGGACCAAAACCCTCCGAGGGTTTTTGGGGGGGCTGAAATGTGCAGCAACCATGCCACTCTTCCTTCCCTTTTGCCCTAAACCCTAAACCCTAAACCCTAAACCCTAAACCCTACCCCTAAACCCTAAACCCTAAACCCTAAGCCCTAAGCCCTAAACCCTAAACCCTAAACCCTAAACCCTAAACCCTAAACCCTAAACCCTAAACCCTGCTCCGGCAAGCATCGCAAGGCCCCCGCATACTTGTACTCCGGCTCACGGGTGGCCTGGCATCGAAAAGCCGGCCCAGCTGGACTGGTTAAGTTGCTGCAAGCTCCCCAGCTTCCGCGGCTTCCGCCCTAAACCCTAAACCCTAAACCCTAAACCCTAAACCCCTGAATTCCTGAACCCCGGACCCTAAACATGCCTGTTAGCCCCCCGAAGTCTCCCAGACCGAGGATGGCACCATGTAGTCGAATCTTGGCGACCACAACCGCGGCTTCAGAATGGGGCTGCTATCGATGTCCGACCTGTGCAGGGTTTAGGGTTTAGGGTTTAGGGTTTAGGGTTTAGGGTTTAGGGTTTAGGGTTTAGGGTTTAGGGTTTAGGGTTTAGGGTTTAGGGTTTAGGGTTTAGGCCAAGCAAGCCGTGGAACGCAGCAGAGCCAGGGCGGCTGAGCTTTTCAGCCCCGAAAACCCAAATCACTCGGCGCCCTAACTCTCACTCTCAGGCTCAGGAGATCACTGCAGCTCCACACTCACTGGACCGTTGAGGTTCTCCTTGGCCCTCGTCAAGGAAACATCCTGCATGTGGCTCCATGCCCCACACTCTTCCCCAACAACGATCGGCATCACTGAGTCGATGCTGCCCAAAAAAGGGCTTTAGTTACCGGTCTGCTACTTATAAGCGGTGCACGAAAGATGTTAATTATTAAAAGTGTGGTTGAGGGATGAATGTGTTTGTGTTTAGTGGACCATCCTGCCGCTCCCCCCAACTACGACAAAGCTAGGCCGAATGCCTAAGCAGCTGACGCCCTTTGAGATCCAGCTTTGCCAGCGAAACGGCTAGCAAGGGCATGAGCATGCTTCTCCAGAGCGTGTGCAAAGCTGAACCCCGGCGCCCCAAGCCCACACCCGATCCTGGCCATAGGTGCGCATGGAGCGCAAGTGCTGTTGCCTGGCAGATTTGGCACAGCTGCCCTAAACCCTAAACCCTAAACCCTAAACCCTAAACCCTAAACCCTAAACCCTAAACCCCTAACCCCTAAACCCTAAACCCTAAACCCTAAACCCTACCGAATCTGGATTGGGTCCACCAGAAATGTTTCGACTGCCGGGCTCAAGTCACCAATCTCTACGGCCTGGTGCATTTACGATCGTCCATGTCACTTCTACAGGCTGAATACATGCACCTGTTACGGGACAGGACTACCCCAAAACCGGGTACTCTATGACACGGCAAACCCCACAAGCACCGCCAGCGAAAATCGGAAAACCCTAAACCCTAGACCCTAAACCCTAGGCTCCTCGAAGGCAGGGACCCTGACAACGCACATGCTATTCTTGGGAATTCTTAAGGGGATCTATTTTTTCCAGGGGTGTGGTAAACATGATGCCTCAGCAAGCCCAAAAACCCTAAGCCCTACTAGCCGGACTTGCCGAGCGATGCACCCTGATCCTCAAACTCTGCATGACGACCCATTCTTGTTGTTTTTGACAAGCCCTGAAAAAGATACCTACACATACATGTATATATATATACATATAAATTGACGTGTATTATATATATATATATACCCATTGGCATTACCCCAAAACCTGCGATGCCGCGGGTTTTCCGGAGCGACTTTGATGGAGCTCGGGTTTCGTATTGGTTCCAAAGTATGGTTTTGCGACGGGGACCATACTTTGGACGGAACTACGGTGGACCCTAAACCCTAAACCCTAAACCCTAAGCCCTAAACCCTAAACCCTAAACCCCTAAACCCCTGAACCCCTGAACCCTAAGCCGTCTTGGCTGCAGACCTTGCAACCCAAAGCTCCTACTTTGCCTAAGCCCAATACTCGTCCGCATCTACCTGAAGGTTCGTGGTGACTTGTTCACCCACAATTACTGTACTCATCACCCACTTCTAAGCCCCTTGTTATGTGGCCTGATATAGTTATAACTTGGGTTATACGTAGAGTTATAATTGAGTTATAAGTACCCTAAACCCTAAACCCTAAACCCTAAACCCTAAACCCCTAAAACCGGAGGTCCGGGCGCCTCGTAAGCGATCTGTTGAAGTCCTCGGGAGGCCCTCTGGACTTCCATCGTGCCTGACAAAGCAAGGTCAGCAAGGTCTTGGGGCCCCTGTTAAGGGCGTTTAAACCCTAAACCCTAAACCCTAAACCCTAAACCCTTTTAGGGGGCGTTTTTGGGGGGAGTTTTCAGGGGGGTGTTTTAAGGTGTTTTAAGGGGGGTTTCTTAAGGGGGAGCAAGGTCTCTTGGCCCCCTTTTAATAGGGGTTTTCAGGGGGGCGCTTTGAGCAGCCGGAATTCTGCAAAGCAAAGTTGCTAGCAAGGTTCTGTCGGATGCCCTAACACCAACCATGTGAATCAAAGCCAGTTCTCCTTGCTGCCTCCTCGATGCTTATCTTGGCTAAGACGACCCAGAATGAAGTGTACAGGGTCTAGGGCTTGGGGTTTAGGGTTAGAATGATGTGTACAGGATTGTCGGTTGTGGACAGCTCCGTGCGCCTTCTCTGCATCCATTATGTTGAAGCTCATCTCGTGATCTCAGCTGATGGAAACTCGTTGCAATGGATTGGCCCATGAGCAAATATGACAGACCCTCAACCTTTTTGAATCCTTTTGTGCCCTTTACCCCCTTCGCAGCGCTTCTTGAACCTACTTCCTGCACAATGCCATCTTCGCTGTCGCCAGGAGGGGCCGAGGCCCACGCCCCAGACGATACGATCTGCCTCGCACATCTTCTATACTCCCCTTAGAACCGTAAAAAAAAAAAAAAAAAAAAAAAAAAAAAAAAAAAAAAAAAAAAAAACGCTTCGAACATCCCCACCGCGGTTGGGCACTAGGGAGACTGGGCAGGCTCTAAGAGTTCCGGGCGAGGAGAAGAGTTTTAAATCTCCTCGTGGGTTGTATATAAACTAAAAAACGCAAAATCATTCCCAAGGGGGAAATTAGTCTTAGAATGCACTGATGCATCTTCCACATGAGCGAGGGAGGCGGGGGATCAGCGTTACCGGTTGCAAAACCGACCCTCCGGGGCAGCTTGAGCTTGAAACCCCAGGCACTTAGAGGCTTGAACTGCGGGCTTGGGATCAGGGTTTAGGGTTTAGGGTTTAGGGTTTAGGGTTTAGGGTTTAGGGTTTAGGTTTTCCACCCTAAACTGCAAACCCTTTTGCGCTAAACCCCAAACCCTAAAGCCTAAAACCCTGAAGCCGAACTCAAGCCTAAGCCACAGGAAGCCTCGGGGTCGTTTACGTCGTGCCACGGCTTCTTCCTGCCGATGATCGACCTGGGGGGTGCTTTGGTGGCTTTTGGCCCTTTTGCCAGTGTAACCATGCCTAGCCAGTACTACAAACCCTGAACCCTAAACCCTTTCCCGAAGCCCTAGACCCTTTTATGTTTGCATCCAGGTCTCTTGCAGCCAGCCGGGGCCCTAGAACCCTAAACCCCCTTCTTTTGGATGCCACACCCTAAACCTTGAAACCCTTAGATGCCCTCGGCGTTTTGGAACGACATGGGGGATGCCCTTCAGTAGCTTCTGGCCCATGAAAGCCCCGGTTTGGGGGTTTAGGGTTTAGGGTTTAGGGTTTAGGGTTTAGGGTTTAGGGTTTAGGGTTTAGGGTTTAGGGTTTAGGGTTTAGGGTTTAGGGTTTAGGGGGGGATCTTAGGAACCTCGTGGCTCCCTCTATCCCCTCAAGATCGCCTCCTCAAAGACAAACTGTTGGGCTCCCGTTTGACTTCCCCTGCCTTGGGGACGAAATGAACCCTAGAAGGGTTTAGGGTTCATATGCCTTAATAGGGATTATAGTAGTATAGGGTTTATGGTTCATATACCTTAAAACAGGGGTTAGAGTAGTAGTGGGGTATATGACCCCAATTTTGGGGTTCATTTGGTCCCCACGGTGAGTCCACAACCAAACCGAACCCGCAACGTCGACCCCAAACAGCTCGGAGGAGCTGCCCGGCCTTGCTTGTGAAGTCGGGCGGTGGAAGGTCTTCAAGGTCAAGGTTCATTCTTTAGGGGTTTAGGGTTTATAGGGTTTTAGGGTTTGGGGTTTAGGGTTTGGGGTTTTCGGTTTAGGGTTTTTTGGCCACCCGCCAAGACTAGCCACACTACAGGATCGATAAGTATATTTATGATTGGTATACATCATCAAAAGTATCTGATTCATATAAAATTAGCAACTAGGGGTTAGGGCTTCGGGTTTTCCATACCCTGCAAGAAAGAGCGCCCGGATCAGCAGAAGCCGTGAAAGGCGGGCGTGATCGCCGCTTGACCAGCAAGGCGGATCATGTCGAAGCGCGCCGAGACTGCATGGCTCGTCGGATGCTGTGCCACCAGCTGGGTACCAAACAGCCAACCTTTAGTCCATTGCTGCTACAGGGGCCGGAATAAGGAGAAGAGGTTTTTTTTTTTTTTTTGGGGGGGGGGGGGGGGGGTGATTATAGCAGAAATATAGCGGGACCATGAGGCAATGCTATTAGTACGACCCCTAGAGTTCATGTTCACCTGGAGCCTTCTGAGCTGTGGAAACTCACCCCCGCGCCGGGCGGCTCGCATCATCTAAGAGCTGGCGGCTGGCGAACAGCGTGGTCGGAATCAGCCTCCTTTCTTGCCGTTCACATGCACCAAAGCTGCATCCAAGGCCTGGCCAAAACCTGCCAGGTCGACTTTCATGAAGTTGCTGACCTCGTCGGAGACACTCTGCACCATGACATGGAAATACTTCCTTGGCTGCCCTAAACCCTAAACCCTAAACCCTAAACGCACCATGGACTCTTGCAAAAAGCGGTTGAGATGGAAGTATGATGGTGGGGCCGCTGCACTGCTTGAAGCCTCTTGGTGGTGCTAAATAGAGTCTGCAGAGCTCTAGTCTCTAGTCATAGATGTATACACATACATACATACATACATACATACATACATACATACATACATACATACATACATACATACAGACATATATACGCGTGTATTTGTTCCAGTTTTGTGTCAGCTTCATAACACCATCTTGGCACCGTCAAACCGTCAAATTACCCGCTTTGGCTTATTCTGCCTGCCCAGCGTCACCCAGGAGATGCTACCTTCCAGGCTGAAATAGGTGGCCAGGCGCACATTGCCATCTGGCAACTCACATCCGCGAACCTTGAGAGAGTGAGCCCCGCAAATGAACTCGATTGCTGCCACAGGCACGGCGCAGGGCATCCAGAGGATGTTCGAGAAAGCCGTACCATGAGGGCCGAAGACCAGGACGGCCGAGCTGAAAATCTGATACTGCTCTCTGAAAGTCGCCGTTTTCTTCCCATTGGATGTCCCATTGAAGATAATGATTTCTGAAGGCCTTCCATGTCGGAGAAGGGCGCTCTGAGCAGTCTGCACAACCTCCTGGGAATGCTCCTCTGTCAAGAGGCGGCCATGCCCCGCCGTAGAAGGCAGCCGTAGCGCGTACACGGTGCTTCTCGCCTCAAAAGTAGGCTGCACCTTTGCGATGTGGCGTCGCAAGTTGTTAAACAGAGCGGGAATACGAAGTCCGTGTGGGCTGGGTGCCTGTGGGACAACCAGCCACAACGCGCCAGCACACACCACGTATCCAGAGTGCACGAAAGTGGTCCTGTTGTAGAGATCTGGATCAAACCATTCGAGGAAGGACCGGATCTTCGAATGTGTGTCCAACTCCAAAAACACCCGAGCCTTTGGGTGGGAAGCGCTCATCCAAATGAGCATCGGCAGCAAATCATGTAGAACATGTCCGTACTGGAAAGCTTTGAAGAAGAACCCTCTGAAAAAGACCACCTCTTCTGCCACCGTCTCTGAGCACACACTCAACGGCTCTTCCGCCGTGCGTGCCAGATACCAGCCGGAGTCGATCAAGTCGACACTCTCCGGGGACAGCCTCACTTGCCACTGGCCAAAGCCAGTGGCCTTGGGATAAGTGAAGCGCCCGTTGGGTAAATATTGGACCTCGAAGGCATCCTCGGCAGACCTCGAGAGCACGTGCTTCGTTATCCACGCTGCCTCCTGATAAGCTTGCTTGTTGTCGGAATCGTTGACCTCACGTCCTAGGCACAGAGTCGCTTCGCCCACCGCATCAAGGTCCGGGCACAAGCCGGTCAAGTATGAGACGCTGGACATGGTGAGATCTTCCACATCCTTAAGCTTTTTCGCGACATCGATCTTGTTGACCACCTCCATTGTCTCGCGGAAAGACAGGAAAAAGGGCACCGGAAGCAGCAAGCCTGCGCCCGCCGCCAAGCAGAACATGTACCACCGAACCGCCATGGCCAAGTGGTAGGTTTCGTAAACTGGGACTCATGCTTGGGTAGCCGCCGTCGCATGGGGGTCTATATAGTTATATATATATATATATATACATATATAGAGATATATATATATATATAGATATATATGTTACTGGAGACTTGGATGAATATGTACCTACTTGTGGGGTAACACTCCAACATCGGGTGGGGTGATGACAAAACAAGAAAATGCAAGGGGACCGGGATATGGGGGGGGGTGTCCGAAATTAGGGGTACCTTCTTGCGGGTCCTTATTGCAAAGGAAGCCTACTATTCGGGGTCTATCCTGGGGGGTCCCCTATTTCGTAAACCTGTATAAATACTGGAGCAGACATGGCATGTGATGAGTGCGATCTCTCCTCGGACATGGACACCGCATGCTTCTGAGCAAGCAACCCGAGATTCTGTTGGAAACCCTAAACCCTAAACCCTAACCCTAAACCCTAAACCCTAAACCCTGAACCAGGCCGACATAAAATCAGCCTGACAAATCACCCCACGGAGAAGTCTGCCCCACCCGCCATAACACAAGAATAATCGTCACAGTGGACGAAACCAAGAGGCCGGGTTTAGGGTTTGCGGTTTAGGGCTACGATTTAGGCCCAGGCAGTACCCAGGATAAAAGCTTGCACGTGCGCCTGAGGACTGTGGAAAGCCGAAACTCCCCGAAGCATGCGACCCTGAAGCTCCAGTGGCCAGTTTCCTGGGTTGTGGCACCCATTCTTGACCCGAAGCGCCCTGCTACTGGTTCTTCGTAGGGACGGAGGGAATGAGGTACCCTAGCAAATCCCTTCTCAAAGCGTGCATATGGGGTACCTCATTCCCTCCTTCCCGCGTTCCCGGGGATAAAACCCTAAGCCCTAAACCCTAAACCCTAAACCCGAAACCCCAACCCCTCTACCAAGGTTCCGGCGGTCGATCCGAGTACTTGGAGAGGTCGGGACCTTGACTCGGCTTCGGGGCTTATAGGGCTTTTTTGGCAGCCGCAGAGCCTGGACGAACCGCTCAGGGTTTAGGGTTTAGGGTTTGGAGCTTAGAGGGGCCGCACCTTCAGGAGGCCTAGAGCGCCAAGTTTGAATTTGAATGGGCATGTTTGGGCAGGTATCTCTCCTGAAGTTATAGAAGTGTAACAGGGGGCTTGATGCTGGCAATGATTTAGGGCCCCAGGGGGCGGGGGCTCTACAGTTCAGAGTTGGTGGCATCTTAGAGGGCTTTGAACCCTAAACCCTTTTTAAACCCTAACCCTAAACCCTAAACCCTAAACCCTAAACCCTAAACCCCAAACCCCAAAACAGAGGCTCGATGCTCGGGCCGAAGGTGCCACGGTGCCACTCTCCCCATTCAAAGCAGGTTTCGACTCGCACGAGAGCCCTCAGCCCCCTGACCCTCGGGAGCACTGATCGAACGGGGTATCGGCCCGCAGGCAAGCGAATGAATGAGCCACCTTGTTTTGCGTGTTGAAGTTGCTTGAAACGCTAGATGTTTGCCCTACTGCTACTTACTACTGACAACCTGCTACTGACTACTAAAATTACCAATTCGCCGAGGCCGGACGGCACAACAGGACCAGGGCAGCTTTGGGCTTGGCCCACCCACCCTCACCCCCACCCCTCCCCCCCCCCCCCCCCCCCCCCCCCCCCCCCCCCCCCCCCCCCCCCCCCGCAACACCGCCCCCCCCCGCACCCCCCAACCTTCCACGAGCCGCCGAGCCGTTCGAGCAAGCGCCACGAACGAGGAACACCTAATTGATGAAATGTGATTCCTGCGCAGCTGCAGCCGCTTGCACATGCCGTGCTTGCATGCTCCACAAGCTCAGGGGGCTGCTCTGGGCCAGGGCGAGGCGGGTCGCGTAGCGTTAAAATTACCTACTACCAATTGCCTACTACCAGCCAGCCACCTACTACCTACTACCTACTGACTGCTAACTACCAACTACTAAGGACTCACCACTGACTACTGACTATGCAGTTCTTGCTACTTCACTACTTCACTGCTTCACTACTTCATTACTTCACTACTTCACTACTTCACTACTTCACTAATTTACTACTTTACTACGTTACTACGTTACTACGTTGCTACGTTGCTACGTTACTACGTTACTGCGTTACTACGTTACTACGTTACTACTATACTACTTTCCTACTTTACTACTTTATTACTTTAGGACTTGACGACTTTACTACTTACTACTTATACTACTTATACTACTTATACTACTTATACTACTTATACTACTTATACTACATACTACATACTACTTACTACTTAGTACTTACTACTCAGACTGCGACGACGACGACGACGACGGCGACGACGGCGGCTGCGGCGGCGGCGGCGACGGCGACGACGGCGACCGTGACCGTGACCAAGACCGCCACCGCCACCGCCACCACCACCCCCACCGCCACCCCACCCCCACCACCGCCCCCACCCCTACCTCCACCCCGACCACCACCACCACCACCACCACCACCACGACCACCACCACCACCACGACATTTATACATACATATGTGAGTATGTCGCCCTGCCTATACCTCTCTATACCTCGGATGGTATGAGGGCCGAGCTGTGTAACCTGGGCCGTGTGCCCAAGAGTGGGCAACTCCTGGCCAGCGACCTCACAAAAGGCGCGGCTCGCCCTGCAGGGTTTTTTGGGTTTCGGGTTTAGGGGTTTAGGACAACGATGGGTTAGGGAGGTGATGGGATCCCTGACTACGACCGGGCACAAGCAAGTGTGACCATCCTTCTATGCCCTTGGAGGTGCCTGTCCGGCAAATGGTCTCCCTCCCGGCCATCCACTTCGAACCGCCCGACGCTCTCCTAGCGCTGGGCTCGGGCATAGAGTCTCCAAGAGGTTTAGTACAGAGCTTGGGGGTCTCCTGTGCATAGCTACCACCCGCCTCCTCCAATCCTTGTTGCCTTGCAAACAGCGCCTTATACTGGGAGATGACAGAGCGTTGGCCTATATGATGCGAGTACAGCAAGTACCCGGACAATCCTGAACAAGGCGTCTCTGCTCAGCAGTCAGCATGGGCCAACCCACCCCGGCAAGCACTGCAGAAGCAGAGATATGCAGGCTGAGAAAATTTGAGACATGTTCCCGGCATATCCAACCTTCCAACCCTTCTCTGCCCCGTAATAATCCCTAAACCCTAAACCCTAAACCCTAAACCCCAAACCCTAAACCTCAGGCTATCCTTGAGAGGCTTTCGAGCAGGCAACTTGTGGAACGGGATGTTCTTGGTCCTTGGCAGTTCACGGGTTTTAGGGTTTAGGGCTTTAGGCTTTAGGGTTTAGGGTTTAGGGTTCAGGGTTAGGGTTTAGGATTAGAAGTCAAAGAGCAGGGCAAGAAGGCTACAGTAGCTGGCAAGGACCTGCCTGGACCCGAAGTGGATGTGGCGCACATTCCGCCGCAGCTTTCTTCGTGAGACGCGGCAGCACCAAGGGTGGCTTAACGGCTTAACAGTGCAGGATTCTTCCATTCTGCAAATCACGTTTGTCTCTGTCCCCGGCTGTCTCGTGCTTTGCCTGCTGCCACTGGATTAGTGCATCTGTTTTGCAAAGAATCACTCCTCCCTCGAATATGTTTGGAGTTTGGAGTACCAAGTACTTGGAACGGTGGCCCTGCACCCCTTCACCTTCGACTCAACTTTTGAACAAGCTCAAACTCCAAATGCGGAACAGCCCTGATCTGCGCCGGCATCCGGGCGCAAACATTCGCCAACCCTCTCTTGACGCAGCCCCCCAAACCACCCTTGTACATCCAGGCCTCTGAAGTCTGCCGGGCCAGTATGCTGACACACAGGCACAAACCACCCTGAAACCCGCAACCCTACACCCCCCCAAACCCTAAACCCTAAACCCTAAACCCTAAACCCTTAATCCTAAACCCTAAACCCTAAACCCTAAACCCTAAACCAATGCCAAGTCCCCGCGCTCCAATTTCGGACGCACCGCGTCTAAGTTCGGCTTGTACTGGCCCGGCCTGGTGGCTTCTGATCTGGTAAGGCGGATAACTGCAACGCAAGGGTGTAAGGTTTAATTAGGGTTTAGGGTTTAGGGTTCAGGGTTCAGGGTTTAGGGTTTAGGGTTTTTTTTTGGCACCCGGTTTCATTAGGGTTTAGGGTTTGCCCCACAACTCTTGTTGCTGAAAGCGAACCCAAACCTCAAGCACGGATGGTGTCACGCTGAGCCCCCTAAATGGGCACCCAAACCATCTATGTAGCAATTCGAAACCTAGATGAGGCGTTCAGATGGCCAGAGAACCGCAGAGGCCTTGCACACTTTGAGCACCCAGCTGGAAGTAGGTCTCCGGATCCTTGTGCCTTGATGCTGAAAGCCTGGTGCCGGGCCACTGGTCGTCCACTACGACTCTTGAAATCCCCGGACATCCGGGGGGGCACAGGGATGTCTACTTTTTTAGGGACCGTTTTTAGGCAGGGGAGGACGGGTGGTGGTACGTCTTCGACTTGAAAGTCCGGATGACGCAACTTGAACGTCCCCAAGGGGCCCTGTAAGGTTGGGGTGCGCCTCCCACATGCCACCAACCCCCGGGCAAAAGAGCTCGAAAGCCTCGAATAAGCATTATACCCTAAACCCTAAACCCTAAACCCTAAACCCTAAACCCTAAACCCTAAACCCTAAACCTCCGAACTCCAAACAACGCGCAAGAACTGACTCTCCGTGCTCTTGGAGCCCCCACTTTGCGAAGTCCCACTCCGGAGTCCGCAGGATCCTTGGGAGAAACTTGTTGCCTGCTTGAAGGTTCAAGTTGGGGTTTAGGGTTTAGGGTTTAGGGTTTAGGGTTTAGGGTTTAGGGTTTAGGGCTTAGGGCTTAAGGCTTAGGGCGTTAAGGCTTTAAAGTGTTCATGGTACTTACTAAGCAACTATAACTGCACTTATAACCATGATAGCCCAAATTCTAAGCCCCTCAGAGGCCCCATATGGCTATGATTTGGCTTATAAGTGCAGTTAGAGTTGGTTAATTTTAAGTACCATGAACCTAAACCCTAAACCCTAAACCCTAAACCCTAAACCCTAAACCCTAAACCCTTCAAGTGGTTCCTTGGGAGCTTAAGGGCTCCTTGCTTTGGCGGGGAGAAGGATGCTTGGAGGTTTACGAAAACAGCGGACCCAACATACAAATCCCCAAATAGCAGGGCCCCCTTACGTTTCATAAGGACCCCAATAAGGTACCCCCTAACTTCGGACACCCCCGTTTGGTCTGTGCGCCGTTCTGGGGCCCTCTGGCGCATGCACGACCGGGGCAAGTTAGCCCCTGGCGGGCGTCAAGAACGGTCCTGGGGCTCTCGAAACACTCTCAGCCACTGCTTTTTTGCATTCGCCCCAAGTCTCTTAAGGCTTAGGGCCTCTCATCGCTCGAGGGTTTGGGGGTTCGTAACCCTCAACTTTACACCCCAAACCCCATGGCAGCAGCATGGCAGCCGAGGTTCATCGAGGTGCTACAGTCGCCGTCCAGGACTCCATCCTTAGCGGTCAGAGTCTGAACGTGGCGTGCATGTTGCGAACCCACCAACCTCCGCAACAAGAGTCACATATGACGATGGCGTGTCCAGGACACGGCCTTCTTTGTCCCTAACCATTAGCAGCAATATATCAATATCATCAGATTCTGATTCTGATGCTTATAACGCTGCTTTCTTAGCATGACCCTGCATAGAGCAGCACCTGCGCCCCTCGGAAATTCAGCTCTGCTGCAAAAGAGCCGTGAAGGTGCTGTCGTTGAAGTTGATGCCCGCACTTTTCAGGAGATCTGGCCTGTGAATTTTAGGGCTTAGGACTTAGGGTTTAGGGTTACCGAAGTGACAAGTTCTGGGGCGCGTGCAAAAACGTGCAAACCCGTGCAAACCTTTTTGCAGGGAGAGCGCACGGTGCACAGTGTGCGGCAGTCTGCTGGCCGAGCAAACACCCTAAACCCTGTTTGCAACAAGCTTGCCACTCCGCCCGGAGTTGGTGCCACTCGACATAAGCAGCTTCACTGCCATCCAAGTGCACGCATACGCCGATTGACTGCATCTGAAACTATGCTATACAAGACAATCTTGAACCCTAAACCCTAAACCCTAAACCCTAAACCCTAAACCCTAAACCCTAAACCCTAAACCCCAAGCGAGGGGCGCCTCGGCGGATAGCGCTCCAGGTTCGGTGTCGTGACAGCGCGGCGCATCCTCCACAGACTCCGCACAGAGCATTCGGTGAGATCGTCTCGAAGAGTCAAATGGGGGTTTCCGAAAATAGGGGTACCCTTTTGGGGGTCCCTCTACTGTAAGGGGGTTCTATGCTATTTGGGGTGTAACAAAGGTGCCCCCTGTCTGGGGAAATGCCCAAATGCACTTCTCGAAAAGAAGAAGCCCTCCAGAGTCTACAAAGCCCAGGGGGTTTAGAGTTTACAAACGGCCCAGGAGCCCCCTTAACCCAAACTCCTCTCAGGCGGCTCATCAAGCAGCTCCACACTCGTCACGCCCTGGGTTCATCTGAAGAAACAAGGGAGGGCTCGATGTTCTGGTTTGGGGGATGTTTGGGGCTCAGGGTTCTTGGTTTCAGATACTTCAATTTCGACAGCCGCAGAGAATCTAAACAGGGACATCGTTCCGGCCGTGCCTGCAGCAGGTGCTCACAAGGTTTGCCTGCTGACTGGAGCTTTCTGACCTGCGCGCACGCGCACACACTGAGGTCTGGTCAACGCATGGCAGTGCCCTGTCCATTGGAGCAGCTGACTTGTTACATCGTTCCGTCATATTCAGGCAGTGTTGTAGTATCTGGGTTACTGGCCCAATTTTTGACATCCAGGGCGTGCCTAATGCCTGGATGAACGCGCCCAATCTTTTGTTAGGATGCTCCTATCTCGATCCCCTTAGAGCACAGCTTGCGGGCACATTAAAATATTCCACCCTTGGACGTCTGCGCTCTTATGTTGGCAAGTATACATCCATGTGCTCATCGCTCATTTAGCATCTTCCAAATAAAAGCCACGACACCGGTGCAAACTTCAAATTCTCAGAACGTCGGTTGCGTGCCCATGCCCGCCAACCCTGGAACTGCCCAGAGAAACTGAGAAACTCCTGATTATGAACCTTATCAATACTGTTTTAACTTCCTGTTCACATGATTATTTTGAATATGATCAGTACTATTCATAATTTTTAATGTTAGTGAGTGCCTCCCTCTCCATGACCATGCGCTTTCTGCTGTGCGTCGGCTCGCGATTGGTGAAGACCTTCAGGCCAGCTGAGTTATGATTGCCTTGCCATGGACCCAGCTTCAATCTTGTCTCTGGAGTTCCAGCTACAGGGCTCCATTGCACACAAGTCCTAAACTCCAATCCCTAAACCCTCCTTACTACAACCTTAATATATCCTGAACCAGCATAACCTTAGTATAACCTTAGTATAACCTTCATATAACCTTAATATAGCCTTAATATGACCTTAATAGAACCTTAAACCCTGTAAACAACTGCACACCCTAAGGCCCCTGAGCTCTTGGGGCTGCGACCGGGGTCTTCACCCGAGGGGCGCAGAGGTGCGTCATGGGCCGATAGGAACCCGGAGGCGGCGCCTTGGGCGGCGGGGGGGGGGTTTGGGGTTTAGGGTTTGGGGTTTAGGTTGGGGGTTTAGGGTTTAGGGTTTAGGGTTTAGGGTTGAGAGTTTAGGGTGATTGCTGCCGGAGGATGGCCGCGGGCTGTGGCATGGGTTCAGACGCACGTACGCGTCAGGGCGTGGCCCTTTGCTGATCATCGTTCGCATGCGGCACTGCACACCACATGCACCAGCTGGCGTGCCGCATTGCTCGGCAGATGCTCTCTGGGGTCATGGCCCGAAATCTATTTTCGATGGCCTGCCGCAACATCTGCACACTTACTTCGTGCCCACAGAGAGAGGTTCATGGCATATCCAATGCTGTCACTGGCAAGGAGGCACCTGACATGCCATCTCACAGTTGTACGTACCTCGTACCCACGGTCAGCCGCCACATGCAGATAGCAGGCGGGTTACATGGGAACCTTAACAGAAAGCTGAGTCACCAAACAAACGCCCCTGAGAGCCTAAACCCACTTCCACGACCCCAGCCGCGCCAGGGCGTTCATGTACTCCCTGCTGGTGGAGACGAAGGAGGACATCGGCCTGAAAAAAGAAATTTAGGTGGGGCTTGGTCCCCTTTTTGGGGACGGTCCATCTCAGGGGTTTCGGGTTTAGGGTTTAGGGTTTAGGGTCTAGGGTTTAGGGTTTAGGGTTTAGGATGTATGTGCAGATCACCTGACTTTTGGGAAACCACTAAGTGAGCTTCGAATCTCGAAAACTGTTGGGTTCAGGTTTTCGAAGAATGGCCTCTTTGATCCTCTTTGGGGTTGACTGGCCCCCCTTTGTAAGGACCTGTCATTCCAAACCTCCAAGAGACTTCTCAAAGGTCCGGGCACCCAACTGTAGCGCTCATCATGAAGACACCCCTTCAGGGATGGTTTCGGGCTTCATCGTGGCCAGGAATGCTGCCCCCTGTCACGACCTGAGCAGTAGCCTGCCAATTCAGTGGTAATGTGTAACCCTTCCATAGCCCTGCCGACAGCACCACAAAGAGTGTAAATGAGGAGCGCTGCTCGTCTCAGTAAGCCTTTCACAAAACATGGGAGATCGTATGCCGCAAAGCTTATATGCAGAAACGCGAGGCAACCCTCACCGATGACCTCTCTGAACTACCTCTTCCCTTTTGAACACTGGGTAAGACCCTACTTGGAGGCTCAGGGTACTTCTTAACCAATGATAACTGTGCTTATAACCCCCAAAAATCATAGCCTTATCGGGGCACTTCAGGGCCTCAAAAGTGGGTTCTAGGTACAGTTTCTAACTACTTATTAAACCGTGAACCTCCAAGAAAACCCGAAACCCCTAACCCCTAAACCCTAAACCCTAAACCCTAAACCACAGCGCCACGCGCGCCTCTTCTGCTCACGCAGCGCCCGCAACTGCCCAGCAGGCACTTTGGCCTCGACCTCGTCGTCCTCCTCGGCCTGCAAGGTGGCAAGTGGTTTAAGGTTTAGGGCTTAGGGTTGTAGGGTTCAGGGTTCAAGGTTTAGGGGTTTAGAGTTTAGGGCTAGGGCTTAGGGTTTAGGGTTTAGGGTTTAGGGTTTAGGGTTTAGGGTTTAGGGTTTAGGGTTTAGGGTTTAGGGTTTAGGGTTTAGGGTTTAGGGTTTAGGGTTTAGGGTTTAGGGTTTAGGGTTTCAGAGTAAAGATGCTTTGGGCTTTCGGGCTCAGAGCAGGAAATTGCACCATCAGCACTTGCCCATGAACGCAAGGTGGCAGATGCTCCCTCAAGAGGGCTTGTTGTCGGGGCAGGCCAGGAACTTTGCTTGGAAAAAGGATCGCTCAAGCAGGCGTGGTGGGATTGTATGGTGAGTTCTCTGCATTATGATCCCTAAACCCTAAACCCTTTTGCAACTGGACCGCGGACAACTGCCAGGAAAGGATGCCACCCCTAAACCCTAAACCCTAGACCCTAAACCCTACCCCTAATATTTAATAGGTACCCGAAGGGGACCATGGTCTAGAGAATTGACGATTGCGGAATTGAACAGTTTAGGCCGGATGCCCCCGAAGTGGAATCACTAAGACCCAGAAACCCAACCACCCCTGACTTCTGAGCGCTTTTTCTGGGCCTGTTGCGCATCTTGCTCCTCTGCCGTGGTGTTGATCCCCACCACCTGGCCGGTGTAGGGTTTAGGGTTTAGCTTGGCAAAGCCGAGATGCGAATCATTGGCCCCGAATGTGTCTTCACATGTCGTCTGGTTGGTAGCTCCTGAGTCGTGCTGGTTACAGTACGTACCGGTCGAAGGCACGTGCCTGAAGGGCTATAGTGGTGTCTGCGTCCATCCCGTACCGGACAGTCGACCGGGTCTGGGTGGCCGTGAGGCCCTGAAGCCCACGACTCCTACAAGACACCACCCTAAACCCTCAACCCAAAACCCTAAACCCGTTTCGCAACTGGGCTGGGGACTAGCCAGATCCTAACCCTGAGCCCTGAACCCTAAACCAGAAACGCTCAACCCCGCCCAAGACCTCCCGAAGGGTTCGTCTCAGCTGCTCGATCATGGTACTCTCCTTGGTACCTTCCTGCATCGCAGATCGGGATTTGGCAGACTCTGGTGGTCTAAGCTTCAGGGTTTAGGGTTTAGGGTTCAGGGCAAGCTTCACAAGGCTTCATGGGATCTCACGAAACGAGTCGCAGCTGCAACCATAGTGGAGGGAAATGCAGACTTCAGCAAATGAGCACGGGTCCTAGTATTCAATCAAGGAGTACATGGGGCTCCCTGGGTCGTGGTCGTGAAAAAACAAAACTCGCGCCCTGGAGTTCCCGGCGCGCCTGGTCTTTCTTTTCAACGTGCCGAGGCCTGCGATCTGCTCCCCCACGGCGAATAATGTGTAGATGCGGATGTTGGTATACGCATGTACGATGGTATATACATAGGGGTATTTTCCAAAATAGGGGTACCCTTCATCTACCCCCAAAAAGTATAATCCTTATTGTCGGAACCCCAAAAAGGGTACCCCCAATTTTCGGAAACCCCCACATATATATATATATATGTATTTGTTTATTTATTTCTTGATTTATTTGTATTTATATTTGTTTGTATTTATTTGTCTTTATTTATACTTCTTTATTTATATTTACGTTTAAAGGGTATAGACTATTGAAGCTTTTTGGGTTTGGGGCTTTGGGTGGTGGCCCTCCTCTCCACCCCTTTTCTTTCAGTCAATGTCGGAGATTTTTGATGGGAACCGGGTTGTGGGGGCACACGCCTCCCCACGTCAAGGACCCCTTCTTGCGTCAAGGACCCCTACAGGGACCGGTTAGGGTTTTTTGGGCTCAGGGTTCAGGGTTTAGGGTTTAGGGTTTAGGGTTTAGGGTTCAGGGTTCAGGGTGTAGGATGTAGGGGATCCTCGGCCTTTCAAGGAGCTTTGGGGGAATCTGGGCTAAAACATGGTGGCCAAAGCTTGGGGCGGGAAGTCTTCCTCATTTGTGCGGTGATGAAGGAGCCGTGTCCTTTCTCCTTAACGGCTGCTTCTTCAGGTGTGCCCGCCTGTGCGAGTCCTGCTTCGCAGAGTAGTCGTACCTGACATGACCCGACCCCAAGAAACCCCAACAGCTAAACAAAACCCTAGCCCAAACCCCAAACAATAAAAACAAAACTAAACACAGGAGAAACAAAAAACTCTGAACTTCCTTTTGCTCGGAGCACAGGGGGTCGACACCCGGGCCCAGCTGCCTGCGCAAGGCATCCAACGACCCCTGGGTCGAGATGCCTGGCGGGGTTTACACAGGAGTTTAGGGGTTTCGGGGGTTTTGGTTTAGCGTTTAGGGTTTGGAGGTTTAGGGGCTTAGGGGTTTGGGGGCTTCGGGGTTTAGGGTTTTTTTGCCAGCAGCCTCGCAACCACACTGCAGGGATGCAATGCGTCCACCGAGAGTGAGCGAATGGAAGCAAGGAGAAAAAGATTCTGAGGTTGGAACCACAGGCCCAGTATGGTCCCTTACCCTTGTTTAAAGTTTAAAGGGAGGAATCCGCCGAGGCCTTGGGCCGTAGGTGTCGAGGTAGCACAAAGCAGGCACCCCACCTCCAATCCCCTCTGAACAAGGGTTTGCGCCATCATTTAATTTGGCACTTTTTGGCCTGAAACAGGCAGCCCCTACCTACACGTCCGGTGCCTGCCATAGGCACGCCCCCACCCCCACCCCCACCAAACCCCCCCCCCCCCCCGCCCACCCCACCCCTCCCCCCACGGGTTTGGGTATATAACGGGGGACCCAAATTCAGGGCCCATACTCCGGATCATGTGACCGTGCAGGCATGACGGCAGCGACCACCCCAAGCACCCAAGCAAATTCGATCATGCCCCCAGACCAGAGGACCTCACCGGTCTCGCTTATGCCAGGCAAGTGCAATCAAGTGCACCTGTCCCAGGGTTGCGGGTTTGGGGCTGAGAGGTCAGGGTTCTCAACAAGGCCTGAGGGTTCCCAACTTCCCTAAACCCTAAACCCTAAACCCTAAACCCTAAACCCTAAACCCTATTTTTTCAGGCAGGGCGTGTAGCTGGAGATCCTGAGAAAGCCGGTCCCTGATCTGGCTGTCAGCCGGACCAGCATCTTGACCACCCCATGGCCCGGATGACAGGCTCCAGAACAGCTGTTTAGGGTTTAGGGTTTAGGGTTTAGGGTTTAGGGTTTAGGGTTTAGGGTTTAGGGTTTAGGGTTTAGGGTTTAGGGCTACCTTGACTCTCACGTCCTTCCTGTCGGTCTCGCACATCTTGGGGCCGGATTCCATGGGTGCGGCGGCGCGAACGGGATGCTCCAAGACATGTCCGAGCCTCGTGTCGCAGGGTGAGGACCACCTGCTATGGCTCGTCGATGCTGACTTTGGCGACTGCGCTCGGGGTATGGAGCCACCACTGTCAGCACGGTCCAACCGCTCGGAATCTGCAGCTATTGTCCATCTTCATAGCTTCGTCTTTCCTCCAGGGGGCCCCATCACAATCTCTCTGGACGATGTTCTTGCCCATCCACTCGTCTTCACTTCCTCGTCTCTGTCGATTTCTGCCTTTGCCACACACCTTTGGAAGCCCTGCCCCTACTTGCTCAAACGCATGGTCAAAGCCGGTCGACATGCGCATCCGCTACCAAGTGTGCCGCACGGGTGGTGCAGCCGTTCGTCTTCTCAAACCGACTGTAGCCTAGCTCCCTTAGCATGATGATGAGAACCTCAAGCGTTCAAATGCGCCACACTTAAAGAGTATGCCTCACGACATTGGACATTGTTCCGAAGCTCATAAGCAATGGGCCAGGGGGCTGCCTAGTTGGTTGTGGTGGCCTTTGGAAAGCTGCACTTTCAAGGTTCAGGATTTGGGTTAAGAGCCTCGCGCACACTCGCACGCTTCAAAAACCCCTGTCCCTTCCCACGCCCCAAAACCTCCCGGCCTATCTGGCTCATCATGCCATCAAGGAACATTGCGGCCTGTTTACAAGAACCATCCTAGGATTTGATTTACATGTATGCTTTCGGCGGATATGACAAACAAAAGAGAGGTACATGCAGTTCTGCGGTCCTCAGCTTACCTCGTTTGATGCCACAGACTTTTCAGACCTATCTTTTATGCGCATTCTGTTGTAAACATGTCTTCTCTAACTGTTTACCTGCAACATACTGTCATCCCTCTGCATTCTCGTCATCGTCTGCCTCCACTTTCTCCTATTCATGTTCCTGTTCCCTCCTCTTCTTCCTCTTCATGCTCTTCCTCCCTCCTCTTCTTTCTTCAGCAGAAAGGAGACGGCCACTAAGAGAGGCAGGCGCAAGGCCACCACTCAAACGACCCAAAACAGTCCGCCCTGCTCTAAGGCCCCGACAACGAGAGCGGGCCGCCCGCCTTCTTCGCCCACCTGAGGGCCACCTTTGGTGGCCCCTCCTGACACTTTCTGGAGCCGCACCCATGCGCATCGGAATCTGCAAGCACCTGTTTTGTAGGACTTCCTTTAGGACCCTGAACCCTGAAACCCGAAACCAATTTTTGCCCAAACCTTCCATGGGGTGATCCTACTGAAAGAGAACTTTCGCCAGTTGCTGGGTTTGCAAACCAATCCCTTACCCCGTCATGCTAACGCCAATTCAATTTAGTTTCAACTATCCTTCGGGACTACGTGGATGGAACAGACCCACCTTCATTCAGTGCACAGAAAAGCTTCCGACACGCATACCGGCTTTTTTTTATCATCTGCCTCGCGGTTTTTCCCGTACGGAAACGATATTCAAGAATGAGGCTTGAGAAACGCAATAGCGACAGGCTGCTGAGGAAGGGCTCTTTCTCCGTAATAAGAAACTGCCCCCCGATGCGAAACTATTGGCGAACGCCTTCTGGAACCCTTCCGGCACCTGATAATGTCCAATTCTTGGCTCGAGTTGCTGCTTTGGCCACTGGCTGAGTTCCGTACCTAAACCCTAAACCCTAAACCCTAAGCCCTAAACCCTAAACCGGGGGAATGCGATATGAAAAGTGCGCACATGGGTAAAGGTTGGCGGCTTCAAGTGGCTCTCAGCTGGAAGTAGCCTGTCTGTCTCGTGGACAGGCTGGAGAATGGCTGGAGGGTTCAAACTTCCCAGGTTCATGCGGCTTCCAGTCACTTTGGCAAGGAAGGGCGCTCCACATGTCGTGGCTGTCAGCAGGACATGGCCCTGTCTGCTAGCAGCACAGTCTGGCAAACTCATACAACCAGCAGTGTCCCCCCCCGTGCTCTTTTTGAAAGGAGGAGTTAGGTCAGTTAGGTTCTGAGCGAAAACCAGAAGAGGAACCCAAACAGGGCCTTTGCTGGCTGTGCTTGGTGCATCCGAGGGCAGCTACCCCCGGGTGTATTCAGAGGCCTTCTGCTGCAAAGGAGCACCCTAAACCCTAAACCCTAAACCCTAAACCCGAAACCCCCATTGCGCAGCTGGCGGGCCTTTGGCCCAGCCTACACGGCCCCTACATGCGGTTGTAGCTGATCTTGCCGATGGTCTCAACCAAGCCCCCAGCGCTTTCGAGCCGGCTCCGGTTCTCGCGCACGAACACGGCGAGCATGATCAGGCACATCAACTCGGCAGCCACAGCAATCTCGCACACACGCACACGCACACATGCACACATGCACACATATGCACATGCACCACACGCACACATGCACATGCACAGGCACACACATGCAAAACCCGGGCAACTGCATCACCACCCAAATGATCTGGACCGGGGCATCGGCCACCATCGTGGCAATACTCGGAACCAGGATCCAGCCTTCACCTGGCTTGGGGACGCGTAAAGCTATAGGGGTGGTTGTCACAAGAAATGGGCCCTTTTTGGATCCCTTTTTTAAGGTACGGCACCTGATATTTAGGGTCCCCCAAAAGGGATCATGATTTTGACAACCAGCCATACAGGACACTACAGAGGGGATAAAAGGCCCTAAACCAACCCTAAGCCCGAAACCCTCAAACCCTGCTCTAGCATATGAAGGCATGGCACAGTTCAGCGATATCCGAGCTTGGAGACTTCTGATCACACATGGATGTCACACACGCATTCAGCGAATGCAACATTCTCAAGGGTGGGGTATGGGCCTCCGCATGGAAACTGAGGAAACCCTAACTTATTTTAAAGTTCCTTACGCTTGTAAAAACTGTTATTTGAACCTATTTGACACCCTAGAAGCAAGATTTTCTCCAATGTTCTTAATGTTCTGTGGAAGGTTGCTGCGGCTCAGGGGTCCTCAGGATTGGAGGGGGGAAGCCCCCGGTCGTCAGGGAAAGCTTGTTCAAATAAATCAAATAGGTGTCTTTTAAAGTGTTTTTAGGCCTTTCTTAGGTGACAGTCGAATAAATGCACGTATTAAAGTTTTACTTTATCTTTGGCTGGGATGGCCTGCCACAGTCTTCACTTCGGACGGCATGGTACAAACATACGAACTCTCTGGACTGGGGGCTCGTTTGCGAGGGCACGTACATTGCAGCAAGACATTCTTAGGGATGAGAGGGTTTACGTTGCATGGTCCCTCAATATGGGCCCTTAAACAGGCACCCCCCCCCCCTTTTTCAGCAAACCGACTTTGTCCCAAAACCCTGATCCCAGCATCAGGACCTGGAAAGTAGCGGTTGCGGCCCTCGTGGCGCCCTAGGAAGAAGTCATACTGCACTGGGGTGCCCTCCTGCAGGACAACTTCTGCCGCGGCCTCTTGCAGTCTGCAGGAAAAGTCTAAACCCCAAACCCTAAACCCTTTTGCCAGGGGAACCCTAAACCCTACACCCTAAACCCTTTGATCCCAGACTTCTCTCCGAGCTAACCCCTAAACCCCAAACCCCAAACCGTAAACCCTAAACCATAAACCCTAAACCGGAATTTTGGGCGGATCTCCCCGAGTCTCGGCCCCACAGTCGCAAAAGAAGAACTCCTCGAAGTCGTTCTTCACAAGGCGGTGGTCTTTCATCGCGTTCACAGGGCGGTTGGCGTGCCTTTTGTCGGTGGCTCTGCAAAAGCTGGCATGGGGAAGACTTAGTTGCTGAGTTCATAAGCCCTGAAAAAGTGTATACTTTCAGTCCTGTAGGGGATTTTTGTATCCCAAAAGTGTAGTGTGTATTCATTCAGCGCCTAAGAGGAACAGGTTGCTGCCACTCTATGAGCCTGCTTCTTTAGAATCTGCAGGCTGGAACCATTGTAGCAGGCAGTGCAGTCGTGCTGCGCAAATGGGAACTCCTTCTTGAAGGTCTCCCATTGCGGGAGGCTCATGCTGAAGATGTGGTCGAAGACAAACCTTGTTCATTTTCCGTTTGCTGACGCGTTGAACAGGATGAAGGCCATTTGAAAGACAGAAAGGATACTACTTGCGGACTTTGTGATGCAGGGTGCTTCGGGAATTTTGACTCCAGAGCGCCAACTAAGATTCTGTTCGGATGGCCCTACTGCTTCACAAAGGCTGTGCCACCTCCGCCAAGAAGCCACTTGATCTGCTCATGGCAGTCAGGTGTCGTAAAGCTGCCATCATATCCTGGATGCACAGCTGACAATACCGTCAGCCCGTTAAAAGGTAATTTAAAAAGTTACCATATTAGGGGGCCTCCGATACCCCTTTGGGGGTTCGTATAATGAGGATTATGCTTTTCGCGGAATTTTAAGGGTACCTCTATTTGGGGAAATGCCCATCTGGGGGTTTACGAAAATAGGGGACCCCCAATACAGACCCCCCAAATTGTAGGATCCCTTTATAATAAGGGCCCCAGTAAGGCACCCCTTTTGCAAGTGGGACTTGGTGATTGCCAGAAAGGAACCCCCACTTCACACACCCGCAAACTGCAATACGGCACCCCTAAACCCTAAACCCTAAACCCTAAACCCTAAACCCTAAACCCTAAGGACAAGGAGCTGTAGAAGTCACCATCCAGGGCCGGACCAAGAGACCGCATCAGATCGATCGGCTTCTTGGCAGTCCTCGGCTTTCTCAGTTCCCATGCTTAGGGTTTAGGGTTTAGGGTTTCGGGTTTAGGGTTTAGGGTATTCCGGGAGCTTCAAAAAAAAAAGTTTTGGAAAATAAGGGAGTTTCGGGAGTTTTGGGAGTTTAGGGTTCAGGGAAAAATTTCCCCCTGCTGTGCCGAGGTTCTTGTAGGTCTGATTCTCGATCGGCTCCTCGCCTGTGTTGCGTTGGGAGGCCACGCAGCTCACATTGCACTTCTTCCTCTCGTCTCTAGTGGCTTCTCCGGGGACAGCATCTTCCCTAAACCCTTTTTTTGCAACTGGACTGCTTGAACACTAAACCCTAAACCCTAAACCCTAAACCCTAAATTGTGGGGGGCTTGCAGTCCAAGGTGCCCAGGTAGAACTGCTTGAGGAAGTGGTTCTCCGTGCCGTCGATGTCAAACATGAACCTCTGCAAGGCTTTCGTCGATGCCCCGTGTGCCCTGGAAGCTTTGCAACCCTAAACCCTAAACCCTAAACCCTAAACCCTAAACCCTAAACCTGCGGAGTGGCGACATGTGCGTCGCTCAAGAGTCCCTTCATCCTTGCTCTCGGTTCTAGGCGTTGTACACAGATTGCTTATGTGTATGTATGTGCGTATATATATATATATCTATCTATATATCTATATATTTGTACCATATATATATATATATATTCATAATAAAAACTCATGAGATGTATAAGCCGTTGGACTCACAGAGTTTCAGTCACTGAGGAGGATGGGGATGGAAGCGCTAGGCGACGATGTTAGCTGAGGAGCCCGAGCACGGCCAGCGGAAAGGAGTCGTAGGTATTCTTCCTCAGTTTAGGGTTTAGGGTTTAGGGTTTAGGGTTTAGGGTTTAGGGTTTAGGGTTTAGGGTTTAGGGTTTAGGGTTTAGGGTTTAGGGTTTAGGGCTTAGGTGTTCTTCCTGAGTTTCGCCACTTGTCTCATGATGGCGGGTCGGGGGGTCTACTGACCCTCCACGCAGGGCAGGTTTAGGGTTTAGTGTTTAGGGTTTTTTAGGGTTTGGGGTTTGGGGTTTAGGTTTACAGCCTGGGACTAACTTGGGATCCAGGGCGCGCGGAGGGCTAGGTGCCGAACTGTTTGGGCCAAGTTTGAGCGAGCGTCTCTTGCCCGATTGCCCGCTGCCGAGTGTGCACAACGTGCAGTTCGGCAGCAAACTGGCGGCCGTTGATCATGTGCTCCGAGGGCATGTGCAAGTGGAACTGCGCCTGTATCACACTCCCCGCTTTCCGAACCGCTCAGCGAAATAACAGGCCAGCACTAAGACCCCTCAAGAGACAAGCATTAAAATGCACGCCTCAACTATTATTATTACTATTACTATTATGATTACTATTATTACTATCATTACTATTCCAACCAACTGCCTAAACCACGACCAGGACCCGAAGCCGGACGCGAAGATCTTGAATTGACGGCCCAAGCCGCAATGTCATAAAACTCGGGAAATCCATCCTCGCCCATGAGCTTGATGTAGCCCAGCCTGGGTCTACAAGTCAGGACACAAAAAGTGTCTCAAAGGCAAGCAGAATGGTCGTCTTAGCTCACCGGCCAAGTAGCCAAACCCGACACCCCCAGACGAATGCACCCTTCTTGCACAAATGAACTGCCAGAAGTAGCAAGAGCCACTGAATTCATGAACTCCCACCACAAAACCCTTGAAACACCCACACCCACACCCGAAGCCACGTACTCTCAGAGCTTGCCCACCCTAGCAACACCTCCGAACTCCCAGGAACCTTCACTTCACACGACCGCGATGTAGTGAAAGGTATCTTCTCACGGGAATATTGGACTCGGTGGGCTTCCATCCTAGAACTGCGCATTCCGGTTATCCGGAACTTGCTCGCTGAGCTTTGTCCGAGCAGATCAGTGCCTTGATGCGAACCTGTGCCGTTCGGCTCGGGCTTCTCTTTCTTGCTTCACATGCTGGGGGGCCACTGCAGCTAGGAGCTGCTGCTTCTCTTGCTGGCGCTTGGTGCTATCATCCCCAAGCGTTTGCTCACGTACCCGAAGCCCTCTCTTCGATCTCAGGGGCATGTCGCTGGTGACTATCAGGCTGTGGCCGTTGTTCTGGACCCGGAGGTCTTTGACGGGCTTCCAGTCCTGCCAAGATGAAATGTCTCTCCGTGCCACAACAAGCGCGGAAACAAGAAATCGCCATGATGTTTTTTTGGTGATGGTACTTGTTGTTGTCGTTGTAGTAACATTGCAGGCATTTTCCATACGTATTGATAGTAATGGTAACCTACACTCTTTTACTGCTGCCATAATGGTCAGTAATATTAACATGTATTATACTCTATGACTATGCATTATTCGATTTCTTGGCACTGTCCAGTCTTGCAGCTGGAAAATCGTTTTCAACAAAAGCCTGACTTGTAATCGAACTAACAATGGCAATGCAAATGACAAGAAAAGCAAATAAATCTGCATACATACAAGCATACTGACTAAAGAATAACATTAACTAAAACCTGCGAAAGAAAAACGGCAACAAGAATAACAAGAAGATAACTACTCCGTCTCTCTGCTTCTTCTCCGCTTCTTCTCAATTCTTGGCAACCTCATAGCTGGACGAACCACTCCGCAGGACTTCAGGACATATGAGCAACTTTCAATTTTGTCGATGTCGCATGTCTCAGCCAGCGGCTCAGAAAAGCCCAAGACTAAAACCCCATACCCCCACAGCCAAAGTCTGAGGACAGAACGACTTCATCCACAAAAAACGAAACTTCTGGCGTCTCTCTTTTCTTTCTTTCCTTTCGTGGGGCTAGGGGGGTGGCCCCCTGTTGCGGGCCTTCTGTGGGATGCACTGTATTGCACTGTAACCCCAAGCAAGTCAGTTCTCGGCCCCGCTCGCCCGGGATTGCACCTAATTACTCTCTCTCTCTCTCTCTCTCTCTCTGTCTCTCTCTCGGTGTCTCTCGCTCTTGCCATGCATTCATATACATCCGTATGGGGATGCATCTAATATACAACAATAAGAACAAAAGGTGCCGTCTGCAGGCCCTCAGCGATTGCAATGAAGCTTTACGGTTGCCCTCGATTCGGCCCTCAGAACGCAGCTCAGGTTGAATCGGCCCAACAACCCTAAACCCTAAACCCAAAACCCTAAACCCTAAACCCTAAACCCTAAACCCCCAACAACCCACTCCAACGACCAGCCGCTTGCAACTAGCTCTTGCTGCCCCGAGCGGGCCGTTGGCACCCCCAACACATGGATGGAACCACCTGGCCCTATCCAAATCTAGATGTCAGATTGCACGGACTCTGGGCTTGCGGCTGCGTCTGGAGTCTTCGGATCAAATCCCTCAACAACTCAATCCCAAGCGGCCCCACGCCGAGCAACAAAGAACATGAAACCGGGAGCTAAAGCCCCCCATCAAACAAAGGTCGAGTTGCCACGCGGCTGAGAAAATGCGCGTTGCCCTCCTGGTTTAGAAACAGTTTCGCGGAAATGTTGGGTCATGTTTTGCCTACTGGAATTCTTCAGGGCATGGGAATTCGGTAGCGTTCAGCAGGCGCTTGCGTTAAGAAAGGCTTGAGGGGTGTGTGGCTGGGCTCAAGTTTAGTAACATACAGGGGCCGTAATCATGATTAGAAAAGGGTTTTGGGGGGGGGTTGCTAGTATACTGATACAGGGACCATAAAAGGGAATGATGCTTAGCGACGGTTCCGACCCCTATACTGATTTAGGGCCTTAAGCAAGTGGAAGTTGTCGTTCCCTTTGGCCTTTCCTTGCTTTGTGGGGCTCTTACCTCTCAGAGGTGATCTAGGAAAGCCTGTAGTTTAGGGTTTAGGGTTTAGGGTTTAGGGTTTAGGGTTTAGGGTTTAGGGTTTAGGGTTTAGGGTTTGGAAAGAACTCCCTGTGTCTGAAGTGCTAGACCCAAGAGTAACCTAGGAATGAACAAGGGTGCCCTTTTTGGTTTGAGGGGGGGGGCGTTCAAGCGACCTCTCTCTCTCAGGCATTCTCAGGCGTTTAAGGGGAACCTCAACCCTAAAACAAGGGGATTTAGGGTTTAGGGTTTAGGGTCTACTCTGCGTCCTATAGAGGAACCATACGACTTTTGGACGCCCAGTGGCGAACTGCACATCCTGTGGAAGGATGTTGATGGGAGACCTCGGGACAGTGCTCGCGGCTAGAAGTGGGCACAAACACCCCAAACCCTAAACCCTAAACCCTAAACCCTAAACCCTCTTAAAGCGCCGCAAGTGCAGAAGGAGCTGCTGCTTCTTGCCCGTTTTGCAGGTGGGGTAGGAGACGTCCCAGCCTTGAATTCCCGCAACGGGACGTTGCAAGGGGGTCTGCAAAACCCTACTTGAAGCTTCATGGTACTGATTAACCACTTCTAGCTGTACTTATAAACCCAAATTATAACCACATTAGGCCGCACTGAAGGGGCCCATAAGTGGGCTACAAGTACAGTTATAATTGGTTAATAAGTACCCTGAACCTCCAAGTAGCCGGCTCAGAGTGCGCTCGGTTCACTGCGGGTCCGTCTTGGGATGTCTTGGGTCCCTGTTACAAGCACCTTATAGGGTTTAGGGTTTAGGGTTTAGGGTTTAGGTTTAGGGTTTAGGGTTTAGGGTTTTGGGTTTAGGGTTTAGGGTTTTGGGTTGGGAGACACCAGAAAGGCACTACGATTGAGCGAACTCACCATGCACGGCAAGGCATGCCTACATGAACACAAACACGAACACAAGCCGCCCTTGCATCGCGGGTGTGTTCTCCTTGCTTGAGTTGCGCTGCGGTGCTTGGTTCCTATTTGGGGTGGACGAAACTATAGGGGACCCCCCAATTACATACCCCAAAATAGCAGGATCCCCTTCTAATACGGACCCCAAAACCCTAAACCCTAAACCCTAAACCTAAACCCTAAACCCTAAACCCTAAACCCTAAACCCTAAACCCTATAGGGCACCCCCCAAAAATCGTCAACCCCCCATTTGCAGCATGTGCAAGAAGCCTGTGCCGACCGCGGATCTCTCTTTAGGGTTTAGGGTTTGGGGTTTAGGGTTTAGGGTTTAGGGTTTAGGGTTTAGGGTTTAGGGTTTAGGGTTTAGGGTTTAGGGTTTAGGGTTCTCCAAACGAGAGTGTTGAGCCAGGGAGCAGTGCACGTCGTCATACGTCCACTGAGGTCCCCCATCGCACTTCACATGCCAACTCAAGGCCCAATCCGGCAGCGCGTTCAGGAACATGTTCTCCGAATATTCCTGGACAAAGCATGCGTGGCCCAAGAGATCACACTCTGCATGCGCCGCAGTTTCTCAGCAACTTGTAGGTAACTGGGGGGTAGGGAGGGGTGGCTGTTCTGAGTTGGGGTTCCTTTTTCTAGGGACCTGTGATAGCGGACTGCCTTTAGAAAAGGGTTCCGTGCGAAAGGGAGCCCACATAGTTAATCTAGAACACCCAACTGCAAAGGCAAAACATGGTTTCAATTTGTTCGTGTCTGACAGAGGTCCGATGCAACTCATAACATCAGCCATACCCACCCCTCTTGCCCTTAAACTTACTGTTGGTCAGAAGGGTAAACGCTATGATGTTATACTGATCCTGCATTCCTTACCAACAGTAGCCACAATCCTAAACTTAAAGGTGGTACACTATGCCCAGCTGGCCATGCCGATGATGAGAAAGCTACCAAAGCCGGATGCCCACAAAAGGCTCACGAAGCAACAACAAATTGGGCGCTCCTCGGTGGTGAAGGAAGGTCCATAGAGCCTTGCCGGGGCACTAAGAAGCCTACCTTCCGGAATTGACGGGCAGATGTGCAGTCGGTCACCTACTTTGGGCCGTCGATACTTCAATCAAAACATGCTTGGTTTCATCGACCTTTGGCCAGTGAGGCACGAGTGTCCGCGCTGTTGAGTTTCAGAGTTCAAGCCTGTTGCTTGGGGGCCAGGCTGGTTGATGGCTGCCTGGCTAGTTTACATTGCGACTACCAGGACAGACACACCTACATCATGCCACCGAGTCGACAAACGGGCCGCGCAGTGTTTATGCCTCGCAGGCACACTCGCGACAGCCCGGCCGTCCGAGCTTCAAAAGAAGCAGCGCTTGATGCACGCCTCTCCTGGGCCGCCCACTTTCGCCCGCGCCAGCTCGTTTTGAGCCAGATCCATGTTCATGATTCGGAGGGATCGTAGTTTGACGATTCCCTCGTGGACCTCGCAGGGGCCCCCGTAGCCTTTCTGCGGCCCCTCCTCCTCCTCGGTGATGCGGAAGAAGGGCTCCAGAAGCTCCAGAAAGCTCTCGACATCGGGCTCATACTCCGGGTACTTGTCACAGTTCGCCCACAGCACCAGGGTGTCCTCCGTGCAGAGGTACCTTGTCTGAGCTTGGAGCCCCGGCAAAAACTATAGTTTTGGGACCTTCTTAGGAATGAATAGTACCCAAGAATTAAAAAAAAAACACTCCCAAGTGTCCCCTAAGGTGCAGCAGCGTGTTCAGGAGCGGCCTTCTGAGGTGGGAGAAGTACACGACGTCGCTCATGAGTATCAGGTCGGCTTGGCCTGGCTTGAAAGCCGACTCGGTGAATTCCAGGTCGACCCAGTCCTATACTGAACCTGGAACCCTGGCAAAAACTTATAACTTTTTGCTGTTTCTTACGAATTCTTAGTCCTTTGCTGTTTCTTAGGAATTCTTAGTCCTTTACTGTTTCTTAGGAATGATTAGTACTTTGCTGTTTCTTAGGAAATCTTAGTACCCAATGATTAAAAATGATTCCCAAGTATCCCCCAAGGGTCGAGGACCTTCGCCATTACCCGCGGTTCGGCCTCCATGTTCTGGTACGCAAACCTGGGTCATGGTTGGGATAGTACTATTACTATTATCATTATTATTATTAAATTATTCTTCTTCTTCTCTTATGAGCATTATTGTCATTATTCTTAGTACAGATTATTATTATTATTATTACTATTGTTATTATTGTTATTCATCATTAGTATCACTATTATGACAAAAATCAAGTTCTGTTCCTCATTGGGTGTTATGTACCTACCCTTAAAGCTGCAAAATGGTCCCCAAGGATGACAAAGGAAACTGTATGTTTTGGTGCAGCTCCTCCAGGACCTCGAGTCGGTCTGTGAGGTCCTTACTTCTCCAATAGGGTTTAGGGTTTAGGGTTTAGGGTTTAGGGTTTACGGTTTAGGGTTTAGGGTTTAGGGTTTAGGGTTTAGGGTTTAGGGTTTAGGGTTCGACTAAATGCGAAGTAAGGGTCCACCTGCTTGCACAAGAGGCCCGCGGCCAAGCCCGCGACACTGCAGGTGCCACCTATACTGAGCTTGGAAACTCCAGCAAAAATCCTATTTTGTGCTCTTTTGTAGGAATTAGAGTACCCAAAATACCCAAAAAAACTGTTTTAATAAGAAATATTTCCAAGTACCCCTAAGCCACTACCCAACTCCAGGACCTTCTTCTCCTGCAAGCCGAGCTCCTCTCGGTGGGTGTCCAGGTACTTGGCCAGTACGAAGCTGCCCGGCCAGGGCGTGTAGCCCAGGCCACCGTTCTCCGGCCACTTCACCTCTTCGTAGCCCAGCAGCCATATATTATGATTAGGCATATCAGGTCACCCTTTTTTAGGCTGGTTACTTTTTTGGGGAACCTTGAACCAAGAAAAGGGCAAAGGGTACCACTGGGCCACCAAGACCTGGTACACGCGCCCATCCGACAGCACTCGCCGGTCGATGGTGGTGGCTCGGGAGCCACCCTGTCCCATCGCGCGCAGGCGTGCCGATTGCACAGGGCCACCGTGTGCAAGTCTGAATTCGGAAGCTAGACTCGCAGCTAGACTAAACCCTAAACCCTAAACCCTAAACTCCCATGTCCAACTTGCAATGCTCAGCTGGATCTTTCTCTTGGCTCAGGTGCTTGGGAGCGTAGAACGTGCTGCAGGCCCTTGAGCCGCAACGGTTAGAGGCTGTGGGGCTCTAAAGGATTCATGCCTGGGCGTGGGAGTTGGGATGAGGAGTGTCGGAAGTCGCGAGCTGCTTCTTGGGGAGTTTAGCCATGGGTTGGAGGTGGGCAGTGCCAAGAACAGGCCTGACGGAATCATAGCCGGTCACCGGGAGAGCCAGGTAGTTGAGCCTTGGCTGCCACTTGCAAGGGATTGCACTTCCGGGCTACAGCTTTCAGGCCTCAGGGTTAGTTCCCAAGTAGCGCACTTCAATCGGATTCTCCAAGTCAGGAAAGAAGAAGCGTGAGGGCTCTACAAGGTTTAGGGTTTCGGATTCCTTGGCGGCTCCATGGCTTTGCGGAAGGACCACGGGGGTGCTGCCAGGGCAGGGCCCTCTCCGTAACCAGCCGAGGGGCTGCGCCAAGCTGGCAGTGATGGGTGTCTCGAACATGATCCACCTGTCAGTGAAGCGGCTCCCTGAAACTTCATCGCTAAATCAACGTCAGGAGAAAGCGGGTGGGGAAGCCTAAGATACTGTATAAAGGGCCTAAGAGTTTTTGTTCCCCGGCCGAGGCTGTGGCCCAAAAGTAAACCTACAAACCCTCGTGGCTCGTACCGAACGTACATTTTCCCGGGCCTGACGCCCCATTTGGGACAGCCGGGTTGGATCATCCCCCCGCTGTAGAAGAGGTAGTTGCCGTCCAGCGCGTCCTGGATGCCACCCTGCAGGCGCGGGAGTCTGGGTCTGCGAGTCTGGGCCCCCAAGGCCCCGCTGCGTGGGGCCTTTAGGAATCGGGTTTTGGGGCTTCAAGTTTGGGGCTTACGGCTGCGCTCATGAATTATGAGAGGGAAGGCAACGAGTGCCTGCAACTACCAACCGACCCGGCCCAGACTTGCAGCCTATGCCCAGCGTGCTTTCAGAGACCCTGGCGCCTGCAGGTTCACAGACGTTTCGATGTGGTAGTAGTGCATGTCCTTGCAGATGTGTTTGGCCCGAGAGATCGCTGCACGAGGAGTTGCGTGCGGGCTGTCAGGGCTCAGGGGCGTAGCTCCCTAAACCCTAAACCCTAAACCCTAAACCCTAAAACCCTAAAACCCTAAACCCTAAACCCTAAACCCTAAACCCTAAACTAAACCCTAAACCCCCCTAATGTGAGCGCAGCGCCTTAGCACATTTTACAGCCAACCTTCCAGACTCCAGGGATTCCTTGTCCCTGGAGTCCTCTGGCTGGTTCTTAGTAGGTACATCCCTTGAAGGGTACATATAGGGCCCTAAGTCCCTCATTCCCTAAACCCTAAACCCTAAACCCTAAACCCTAAACCCTAAACCCTAAACCCTAAACCCTAAACCCTAAACCCTAAACTAAATGGAGTCCTTGATGCTATCTCTGTAGGCCTGGAAAGGCAGACCCAGCTCCCGGAGCAGTGGGTTCTCCACACCCAGGCGGATGGGCACCTTCGGTCGGAAGAATTCTGGGGGGGTTTCGGGTTTGGGGTTTAGGGTTTAGGGTTTAGGGTTTGGGGTTAGAGAGAGAAATCTCAACCGAGTTTTGGGGGGTTTTGGTTGGCCTCAAGTTCCTAGGGACTTGCACAGCAACAAGAACAAGAAGCACCCCTGAGCACCCCCCCCCCCCGGCTGCCCCTGAATTTTAACCCCAAAGCATCCCGATGCCCGTGGTGCTATGTTGGGTCCCTTCTGGGACGGCGGTGGCTTCAGGACTGCGGAAGGTTTAGGGGGCTTACGGCTTCCCTAAACCCTAAACCCTAAACCCTAAACCCCAAGCCCTAAACCCTAAACCCTAAACCCTTAATCCAAGCCGCGCTCAGGTACAGCCGATGCAGCTCGTCGCCCATCTCCTCGGGAACTGACTGGAGGCGCCGATGACCATGAGTGTCTTGGTCTCCGTGTCCCTGGGACGGCTCTCCTGCCAGAGTTTCGGGTTTAGGGTTTAGGGTTTTAGGTTTTAGGGTTTAGGGTTTAGGGTTTAGGGTTTAGGGTTGAGGGTTTAGGGTTTAGGGTTTAGGGTTTAGGGTTTAGGGTAGAGGGTAGACGGTAGAGGGTAGAGTTCCCTTGTAGGAATTATAGGATTCTTAAGGGAGGAGGGGTTCAAGGGGGGGGTATTTAACCCAAGGTTCCCTGATACTCTGCACTACTCCCTAAGCTTCCCTAAGGTTCCCTAGGTACCTACCCTCCACGACCCCCCCTCCCTTAAAGAACCCTATAATTCCAGCAACTTCCGAAGGCTTCCCTTTCGTAGCCCAGAGCTTGCATGACACGGGAACCCGAATCGAGCACCCTGTTCTACGACCCGGAAAACCTTTCAGGAACCCTCAAAGAGGAATCTACTTCCTTTTAGACCCGAGATGGGGGGTTTCCGAAATTAGGGGGTACCATATTGGGGTCCTTCTAATAAAGAAATCCTACTATGTCTAGATTTTGGGTCCCCCATGTAAACCCCCAGATTGGCCTGGAAACAAGTGAATCCCGAGATCCGGCCTAGGTAGCCCGCGGTACCCCTCACCCCTTCAGCCATCTCGTCGCCGAAGACCAAGCCTTGCGCCCAAGGACAGGCTCCCTCTGCCCCTCGGTTGCAGTTCCACCCCCGCACGCTCTGCAAACGCCGTCATCCAAGGCAAAGGGAGAGGGGGGGGGGAGTGGGGGAGGAGGGTTGTCGGACCACCCGAACTCGATTTCATGCGGGCACGGCTCCTGGAAGAAAAAGGAAAGTGAAGCTCGGGCTGTTATGGTACGATCCGCTGTCCGCAGTTCGTAATTACCGACATCTGCACAGCTACCATCCCACAATCACACCTCAGGCAAGAGGAACACCCTCACGCAAGAACTCGAAACACACCCGAACCCTTCGGATCAGAAGACCAATTTGAACATCCCTGAACATCCAGGTTGTCAGGCTCATCTAACCTCGGTACTGTAGCTCATATCCCTATCTGCGCAGGCACAAGAACATGCTTCGGCCTTCGATGATCAGCTCACCCGCATAGTACTCGCCGTTGTACGTGTGAGACGAGATGGGCTTGATCCGGATCCTTGTGCAACAGCAGGATTAACAAAAAAAGTGTGCGAACATCCTACAGAAGCCCACTTGCCTGAGCTCTCCTTACCGATTTGGGAAATAACTGCCGTTCCTGGGCGATCCTGGTCCCTAGAAGGGTTCACCTCACCTCACCTCACAACTGGCACCCCGGTGGCGGCATCAAATCTGATGCTACATCATCTGCCCGAGACCTGCGCGATCAACTCCAAAACGGGCATAGAGTTTACTTGATTTGGCTCCACTCATCACATTCGCAATGCGCTTACCATCCGTAGTCGCCTGAAAGTGCGATGGGGTGTGTGCAGGCGGAACTGTGTGCGGTGAAGCAAACGCCCCATTCCTTGTCCAGGGCTTCCTCTGGCTCAAAAATGCTCAAAATAAAGCCCATAGTTTCAGGTCCATCCTAGATTGAGGGGTACCGTGCTCGCGATGTCTGCCCGTTTCTGGAACCATCTCTCTTCATGTTTTGTGTGTATCCCGACTATATCGCATCAGCTAGCCCTCCCAGCAATCTTCTGTCATAAGCTCTGCAGCTAAACTCCTATTGAAAACCTAAGCCCACACCGTATAAAGCTATCCCCTGAGACCACTTCTTGCGACATCGTGCACATTGAGGAAAAGCAGGAAGACAGACTAAATCTCATCAAGACTGGTAGGAAAGTGCGGGGATGTGGCCCTAATGACTACTACCCAAATAGCTAAGTTCAAAAAGCCAAGACAACAAGCCCTCCTCACGAGTTTGCAGGTTTAAGCCTCTGTCATCTAGGGGTGTAGGGATGTGGGTTTGGCGGGGAGGGAGGGTAGGTTTTCGGGGTTTGGGGGAGTTCGGAGTTTAGGTGTTGAATGACTAGGTGCTATAGATTAGAACCGAACCGCTTCACAAGCCACTCGGGCCATTTTTTGCCTTAATTACTTCTACGTATTTGCTATTGGTCTCCTCGTTTACTGCGGTTCGGTTGCTGCTGCCTGCCCGGCTAAGGAACCACATACTCGTGAGCGAATGGCAAGAGCTTTTCTCCGCCCACGCAGTCAGACTACACCCTTCATGGAAGCACCCACGTGCCATCTGTCTTTTGAATCGCATCCGAAGGTGATTGAAGATGATGTTTTTTGTTGACCGTGCAGCCGGGCATGCGGAACAGCCATGCTCAACTTTAAACACGTAGATGTCTGCACTGAGCATTTTGCCTTGGTAAGAACGACTACATGATTCCACTAGTAGATACTAAACCTTACGCTGATTACCTAGATGCTCACGCGCTCTGCACGTGCCCCGCCTGCTTTGTGCCCATACAAAACTGCATTCGCGTACTCAGATGCGAGTCGCAGCTCGGCGCATTTACGTAGCTTGTGCGAGTACAAAGGGTGTTGCGTGGCGGTTTGTAGCATGGTTGTAAGCCTGTCTGCGCTTATCAACCCATCCCTCGAACGTATGGTACACTGTCATCATGTATTCATAGCCGTTGTCTGGCCTCCCTCTGCCAAAGACTTCTTTCTTGCCCCTCTTGCCACCCTGATCGTGTTTTTTGGGAACCACCTCTGGGAGATTGCTGACTCCAGCCAAGTCTCTTGCGCACCATGTACTTCTTGCCCAGCACCAGAATCGTCCCAAAGTTGGGCAGGGGCCCTGGCACCCCAGCCTGAAACACATGCTGCGCCACTATACTCACTATACGCTTCCTAGGGTTTAGGGTATAGGGTTTAGGGTTTAGGGTTTAGGGTTTAGGGTTCCCGCTCAGAGTCCGCGTGGCTTCCACTCTCAGGGGCAGCTTGCTTGCAGTTTTGCCACGGCCTCCAGGGGAATGGCATCCACGCTGTAGTTGCCTGGGCTTGTTTGTGGAGTTGCCGGATATCGAAATCTTAATATGATAACACAAGAATATAACAAAAAATAGCCATACAATAACAGTAATAATAATCATAATAACACAATCATACAGTATACTACACTAGTTTTTTTAATGGCAATTAATGAGAATGCAAAATAGAATAGCATGGAGCTGACGGCGGCCCAGTGGCTAGGCATGACCCGGACGTGCTTGATGGCCTTGAGGGTTCAGGGTTTAGAGGGTTTAGGGGGTTTAGGGTTTAGGGTTTTAAGGTTTAGGGTTTAGGGTTTAGGGTTAGAGGGTTGAGGGTTGAGGGTTGAGGGTTTAGGGTTTAGGGTTTAGGGTTTAGGGTTTAGGGTTTAGGGTGATGGCCTTGAAGGTCCACTTGGGCTGCAACTCTGCTGCCGTCGATGCCTGGCGCAAGGAGTGCGTGCGGCCGCCCGTAGCCCAAATGTAAGGAACCAAAACATATCTATGTAAATAAACCGATATAAAAATGAATAACATATAAATATAAATATAAATATCGATATAGATAGATACATATTTTTATAAAGAATATCTGTATATATACTTTTATTATATATATATATATACATATACTGCTCCAGCAGCTCCTGGATGAAGGCGCTACTTTTTTCGCAGATGCCGAAGAAGAACGAAGCTGCTTCTCTCGAAGGGGGTGCCTCCATGTCTACTGCACATCTTCTCCACACAAAGGGAGACGCAAAGTATAAACATGTGAGAAGATGGTTAAGCTGTTAACGATAGTGGTTTTTTATGACAATAAACAAACAACATCAAAAAATATGAAAATCTGCTAAGATTACAAACATATAGTCACATAATCATAAGGAAGAATTGTGCCTGCAATCTATTCACGAGTCTTGCAAAGCACTGTTGCGCCTTTGCGCCCCTCCAGGCCCCAGAAAGCACTCGCCAGACAGGAACTCCGTACAGTTTAGGGTTTAGGGTTTAGGGTTTAGGGTTTAGGGTTTAGGGTTTAGGGTTTAGGGTTTAGGGCTTAGGGCTTAGGGCTTAGGGTTTAGGGTTTAGGGTTTAGGAAACTGACAGTTTACGCATGCGCCCTCTGTTGCCACCCTTGGGGATTTCTCGCAGAGTAGTGGATCCAACAGGCACAAAGTAGCTCCCGACCCCAACAAAATTCGGAAACCGGAACTCTTCGTTCACTCCCTCCCCCTCCCCCTTGCCCGTCTGACCTTCGAGGCTGCAATGTCTACCGGGGACTTCACGCAGCCTCATGGGAGGAGACCAGTGCATCTGCTGCAGGAGCCTAAATCAGCACCAATGTGAAGTACCAAAAAACTACACCCAACCCTTTCCTGAGGGAAGACCTGAGCTGTAAGCCGGCCTTCTCAAATTCAGTTGGGGCAGTGAAAGCCTCAAACCCTAATTAACCTGAGACGTCTGCTGAAGGTCTTGACACCAGGCACAACTTCTGGGCTCTGAGCGGGAGATGTTTCGCCCTCTACACACGCATATGTGTATATATATATGTGTGTGTGTGTAAGTAAGTAAGTATATCTCGCGATATATAAGTAGATATGTGTATATATATATACAAACATATGTAGTCCCTCAACGATCTTCCCAGGAGACCGCAAAAAGAGAAGTGAGGGGGCGCCCAGAGCTCCCCAGACTCTGAGATTGACCCTAAACCCTAAACCCTAAACCGCGGGACTCCACATCGCTGGGGCCCCCGGCTGTCCATGCTCTTCTGATTCATTCCGGTGTCCCAGCACCTCTGCCCGTGCAATTTTGGGGGGCCTTCAGGGCGCCCCTCTCTTGGGTTTTTGGTGGATTTAGGCGCATGGGTGCGAGATGGCGGCTTTTTTGGTTCAGGGGATAGGCTGTGCAGAAGAGTGCGCAATCTCACTGGAGGAGGGAAACGGGTGTAGCTGCAACTCGCATTTTGCCCCCCCCTCCCCGCGGTTGAGAACTCCACTAGGACCGCGGTTTGCGGAAGACTCACCAAGCTGGATGCAGCAAGGTTGTGCCACAGCAGCCCCTGAAAACAAGGTTCTCCCTTTATTTGCTTAAGAACCCCCAAAAAACAAAAAAAATGAAAATAATCCCGACATTGCCCTTATACGGAAGAATATCTTTCTCTTTTGCTTTTTTTTTTTTTTTGGGGGGGGGGGGGGTTCTTAAGCAATTCGCAGTCTCTACGTAGCAATGTCGCTCTGTTGTCATGCAGGCACATGCCGGATCGGTAGCTGGTGCCGTTGGCCACGGCTGCCTGCGAGGCAAGGCACAGATGGGAGACCTTCTAACTTGAACCCTACTTGGAGGTTCAGGGTACTTATACCCCAATTATAGGGTTTAGGGTTTAGGGTTTAGGGTTTAGGGTTTAGGGTTATAACCCCCCTAAGCCCCCTAAGTAGGTTCTAAGTATACTGAGAATGGGGGTTAATAAGTACGCGTGAACCTCTCCAAGTACCCAGATCTTCCAGAACAGCCCAGTCCAGGATGACTCGAAAAGAAACTGAGACGGTTTAAGGAACACACCCCACGATGAAGCTATTTTGGACCTGAATTTTAGAAGCCTCGGGTGCCCCTTGTTCCAATGGGGCCCCTTGCCCGATGTCTCCCCCGGTCTAAGTCCACTACCGGGTCTGAGGGGAACCCTTTTTAACCCAGGACTGCTGAGGCTCGGGGAACCCGCAACCCTAAACCCTCGAAAATTTCGTTGAAAGTTCAAACTGCCACATGATAGGACATTCTGAGACGTTACTGGTTCGGCCGGCTGTGCATAAGCGTAGGGCTTGAACTTTTTCTTGGGGGTGGTTTGCCTCCCACCTACAGCTGACCCAACCTATGCATCTTGCACACGCTGTCGCTTGGGAAGTGACGTGGCTACCAGAATGGTTTGTTCAGGTTCCCCGCCTTTCACCACCACACTCCGATGCAAAAGCCAGGTAGCATCACACGAATCAGCCATCACCAGCCCCACAACGGACAGCACGCGGGCCCACGTCACACAACTCAATTACGTACGAATTCACACTACATGATGGCACACGAAGAGCTAAACTTTATTCAGACCCCAGCGAGCTGAGTCCCAATCGCCGTCATCACTCACTCTCTAGCAACACCCCAAAAAACATCTGTCAAGTGAAGCCATGAAGGACGAACTTTCTTGGAGAGAGCCAGTACCCCCAGCGCGGCACGTCTGCACAGGAGCTCTACACCCTAAACCCTAGCACCGAAAAACTCAGAATCCCAACAAAAGGCACAAACTTCAGACAGTAATACAGTCTCCATAGAGGTATATATACATATATATTTATATGTATACATATCCCACCCTCCAGTCCCCTTTCCGACACCCCTCCCCCCGGTCCCCCAAGAGAAAGCCGCCTCACAGGTCGATGGCCAGTGAGGGGGCCCCACCGTGGCCGTGTTCATCTTCACCGCACGGCACTGGCCTCAGGCGGCGCTGCTTGCGGGCAATCCCTTGCGGGTTGAGGGTTGAGGGTTTTTTTGCCTTGGGGTTTAGGGTTTAGGGTTTTTTGCCACCCGACTAGCCACAGCAATGCGGGGTACTGGGTCGGAACTGAAAAGGAAAAACGTCACCCCCGAGCAGTGTAAGGCTACAGGGGATATCGCCCAGAGGGCATTCATGGTAGGACATCGCGTTCGGACTGCATGTTTGGGGGGGGGCTTGAATCCCGTATTCAGACCTCATCGGGAACGGCTGCATGAACCAGTAGAGGATGGTATGCGACTACAGCCCTCCCCCACTTCTCGGTGCGGCCGACATCTTGGCCTGCAGCACTGATGACTTTGTACAACTATGCCTGATCTCCACCTACCTTGTTTCCTCCAAACAGAAAGAACCAACACCACAGGTAAGGATGGTCTACCAGGTAAGGATGATTTACCAGGTAGGGGGAGGGAACTTAGGAGGATAGGTGGCAGACCTGGACTATTCCATCGAGCAGCTTCAAGGCTCAGAAATCGCAAGGCGTTTTCAAAGGAGGGCTACCCTGTATTGGTATCGTGCCCTCTCTTCGACTACCCCAGCTTAGCAACAGTGGGCTCTCGTCCCTCGGCAGGTAAACCAGTGGCTAAGACATCCATAAGTTCAAAGTGGCTACAGCAGGAGCTGCCCCCTGTCACTGGCCTAGGGCCTTGGCTTACTACCGTGTCATGTTGAGCCTTGCCTGGGCCCCCGGGTTTAGGGTTTAGGGCTTGGGGTGCCGGAGGATATGTCTTGCCCAGGGCTGTTTGCGCAGGGTTTCTGAGGCAGGTGATGGTATGATTCAGCTAGACTACATCTGCCTCGATGGGATGTGAGTCACCACAGCCGACACGGAGCTTGACGGGTGGGTGGCTAGATGAGCGGCCAGACGGAAGATCTGGAAATGCTGAGGCCCGGGGAGATCAGCTCCTGCTCCCTATCCCTCACATGCGCCTGTCAGATACCCTGCAAATCTCCCAAGCCCCCCTCCTCCCCTTTGAGCCCGAGCTGCCAGCGAATGCCGAAACCCTGACAAGTTCTGACCCAAAAAAGCCTGAGGGATCATCCCGAAGCCCGTGCGATGCCTCACTGCAAGTAAGACCCTGAACCCTAAATCTTCAATCCTAAACCCTAAACCCTAAACCCTAAACCCTAAACCCTAAACCCTAAACCCTAAACCCTAAACCGCCCAGGGGCCAAGGAAGGGTGAAGGAATTGGCCCGCGCTTGTTGATGCCACCTGCAACAAGGTGCTGCGTTGGCGAGCTTGGGCTGTCGGGCCACATCCAGACATCTTACACATGTCCCTCAAGGCGCAAAGTACACTTCGTTGTGGAAACTTCCCGTTCCTCACCTTGTTTGAACCCAGACTCTGTAAGTCAGCCCTCACCTAAACCCTCAACCCTCAACCCTAAACCCTATGACGCACCTCCCCAGCAGCTGAGGACAGCTTCCAGAGACTTGGCTTGGGCAGTCAGGATCGGCTGCGCCTGCGTCTGCTTAAGCTGCTCTCGACCGCTCAAGGATTCATAAGCAGAGTTTTATGGTTTAGGGTTTAGGGTTTGGGGTTTAGGGTTTGGGGGTTAGGGTTCCGATCACACCTCAGGTCTGCATGCCTATACTGAGCTAGATGCACGAACTGCCTGGACTGCATCTTCCCAACATTCGATGATGCGCGCTGTGAGCCGAGCCCCCGTCTGCATAGGTTTCGCCTAAGCAGTGCACAAAGGCGCCCGGAGCCCATTTGGGCAAAGAGCCCATGAAGCTCGTGAAAAGCTTGGCGCCCCTGCTTGGATCATCATGGGTCCAGCTTGGGGCGTTCCCCCTAACAGTGCTTCATAGGGGATTCTAGTACGCCTTACTATAATCCCTAGTAAGGAGCTGTTAGTATCCCTAAACCCTAGCCCCAAACCCTAAGCCCTAGACTTAGTATAAGGGGGCCACATCCCAAGGTCCAGCCATTGCAACTCGGTGCGGCCCTCTTCGCCGGCCCTGCCTTGCCCAAAACAAAGTACTTCACCGTCTCCGTGCATGGTGGTACTGGAACACTCCCGTCATACCTGCGAGGGTTGTTTTTCTCACCCGACTAGCCAGCAGCAATGCGGGGTCATCGTTACGGCAACCGGAGAAATATGCTGCGAGGGTTTAGGGTTTAGGGTTTAGGGTTTAGGCAAGTGCCCCAACCACTGCCATAGACAGCTCTGCAAAGCCGAGCTCACATTGCCAGAAGTGGAACCCACAGCTTCACAGAAAAGAAGCCCACTTTGGCCGGGATGCTGGTACGAAGGCCCATCCAAGGCCGGAGCCAGGGCCTGTCATGGGCTTCGTGTTAACAAAAAATGTGAAGTCTAATGAGAATAATGCATGCAACCCAGCCCCAGCCGTCTTCAGCCTCCTGAGAAGCTAAGGGTTTCGACCCTCACACTCGCACAAAGCAGGAAAGGATTCAATCCCTTAGCTTAGGATTAGAGGTTCGGGTGTTTACTTTTGGCTGATGTTTGGGGCTGGAGGTTAGGGCGTTTACGGTGTTTAAGGGCTGTTCTGGCGGGTCTGGCCACAGCCACCCATGACACCTTTCGCAGCCTCGGCCAGGTTGATGTAGTGCGACGCTGTCCAGGACTTTGCAGGGTCAGCGATGCCATCGCTGGAGAAGCCTCGGGCCATGGGCCGCATGGAAGAAGGCACTTGCCACAAAGCTTGCCAAAGACGCGGGCGGCCTGTTCTGTGAGATGCCGCTATATCTTAGTGGTTTCCAGTAACCTTGGGGAACTAAAGGTTAACCTTTGGGATTCTAAGGGATTATACTACCCCAAAAGGTTAAAGGTTACCTACTCTACTGGGATATACTCCCCAAAAAGAGGGGGCGCTATGAAAGGGTGAGGATCAAAAAGCCCGACGAGCTCCATGCAAAGCGCATGGACATCCAAGTTGCGAAAGTGCTGCGCTAAAGGATCGGCGAAAGTGAGGTGCTGAAGAGGAGAAAGAGACTGCAGCGACTGCAAACTAAACTAGGTCGAACAAGTGGAAACCTAAGCCCTACTTAAATCCCCAAAACCCACGCCATGCCGCACGTTCCTTGAAAGCAAAACTTCGTGAAGCCCGGGCAGCCCCCCCCTTTAAGGGGACTCTCGGGCATAAACCCTAAACCCTAAACCCGAAACCCTAAACCCTACACCCTCGGGAGCTCGAGGCGCCGAAATGGCTGAAGATGGTACTCTCGGTGCCGTTCGTGTCGTCGAAGAACATGCTTAGAATCACACCGTCCTGAGACAGAACGTGGGCCTTCACTCGGGCCGTACACAAACTCTCATTGGACGTCCTGCAGCCCTCGATACCCTTTTTGCAGCGAGCGAATAACCCTAAACCCCTAAACACTGCGAAGCACTCCCCTCACCAATCCCCTGTGCCCCTGTGCCCCTGTGCCCCTGTGCCTTGAGCATGTTGGGCGCGCCCTTCGGCTTATGAAGGACCATCAACTCGGCAGCCTTTGCAGCGGACCCGATCTTGCACAGCGAGGTTCAAAAAGCTTGGCATATAAGCCCTATCCCGTTGCAGCCGGGGGGGCCATGAACTTGCCGTCCACTTTGTGCCTCAGGTCCCATGTCTGGTGTGGCGCTTGGGTCAGTTAAGGGGGCCCTTCTTTGGGTGCCCTCTCTGTGTGGGCAGCTGTCCGAGTAGAACCACCAGTCTTGCAGGCACTCTTTCTACAAGACGTGGTCTATGCTGTCTGCCCAGGAACATGCTTGGTGCCGTGAGATGGACGGAGATGGCCTCGTAAACTTTAATCTCGCCTGCAGACAAGTCCAAATGTGCTTCCCTCTCTTAGAAGGCTCTGGGGCGCGAATGTGTGGGAGCAGTGGCGTGGGCGAGCTTCACATGGAATGTCAACTTCAGGCATTGTGGACAGTCTCACACACTCTCACTCTCTCCGCAGTTTCTAAGCCAACTTAGTCCTGCATGACGGCGCAATCTCACCCCATCCTGCTCCGTCACCAGTGGCAGGCCCGGGGGTGCGCTCGCAAACCTACGCCCTCAACCCAAGAAAGCCCTTCCCCAACAAATCCAAAGACTCGTCCTAACACTCAGCTCTAAAGATGAGATTCAGTGTTGAGGTGTTTCGGCTCTCGCTAAGGGCCTTATTGCAATACGACCCATACGACGACCACTCGACCGCCTGACTCGCCCCGCAAACGAATGTCGCCGTAGTTGCCCTCCGCGTGGACTGTCCTCAAGTAGGCGCCTTGGTCTTGACGATGGCTTCGGGCAAGACCGACGCTGCAAGAGCACACAGGTGACGAGCGCGCTGCTGAATTCCAGTTCCCCCCCCCCCCCCCCCCCTGTCTCCTACGACGGCCCCAGAAATCTCAGCCTGGGCTTTGTTTCCATATGTCTCACACCCAAGCGACTTACTCGAACTTCAGGCGGTCGGACGCTGCCCTGTGCCTCAAAGCGTGTGAGGAGCAGCGGAGCAGAGTACTTCTGTGCGCCACATCCCTAGGCCAGGAACCGGATGCTGCAGGGATGCTGTGTAGCCAGATGCCTCTTTGAGAACACCGTCTTGATCACCGATCCTAGGCGCGTTTGGCCATGCTAGCCTCACTTTAGGGTTTAGGGTTTAGGGTTTCGGGTTTAGGGTTTAGGGTTACGCATACTTTGGGAGGACTGCAAGGGCAGGGATTGCAAGCACCAATGCATACGACAGGCGACTCCTCCACCTGCACTGTGGGTGCGCACAATGCATACTCCAGACCAAACTGAATCTTTCGGCCCAGCATCCGGTCGATTCCGCAGTTTGCGCTGTTCAGTGGGATGTCTATCGGCGACTGCTTCTTTCCAGCGCAAGCCTGATGCATCGTGAGAGGCCCGTCAGGGTTTAGGGCTTAGGGGCTTAGGGGTTTAGGGGTTTAGGGGTTTAGGGGTTTAGGGGTTTAGAGTTTAGGGTCTAGGGCTTAGGGTGCAGCACCCCGGAGCAGCACTGTCGTGCACTGAAGTGCGTAGCAGGTCGATCTGGCGATGCTGCCAAAGTCGCCAGATACTTCTTCGGCCAATATGCCATATCTGCAAAACCTTGGTCAGTTGACCAGAAGGTTAACTGGGGTACTATGACTTTCACTTGTTACGGTTCCGATCCTTTTGTTTTTGTGTTTTTGGTTTACTTTTGAAGTATTCGTTAGTCACCTGTCCACAGTGGGAGTCATGCGACGGTTAACCCGCGAAGGACGCCCAAACAACTCCCCGGCATCTCCCAAAGTATGACGTGGCAAGTGGCTCCAATCGTTCGGCGACAGTGGCCAGCCGAAGGGCGAGGGCTCGCTGGAGTAAGGCGTTGGTACCCATGTTGGGCAGCCGCCATAAGTCTGCAGCCTGTGCGCAACTTCGGATTGGGCTTCCTTCGCTTTTGCAGCTGACGCCAAACTCCTGTCACATGCCGATTGACCATGTCCGACCTCCGTGCGTCGTCGGCATGGGAGGTCACCACGCCCAGCAACAGGGTCGTAAAGAAAGGCCCGCCTATGAACTGCAAAAGGCACGGAGGTTCTGGGAACTGGGGTGGCTTCGTGCTAGCTCCAATTTCATGGCCACGGCTTTCAGCAAGGGATTCCCATGTTGCTGAACGCAATTTCCCCGACCGCAAGCCTAGCATGTTTAGGGTTCAGGGTTCAGGGTTTAGGGTTTAGGGTTTAGGGTTTAGGGTTTAGGGTTTAGGGTTTAGGGTTTAGGGGTTAGGGTTTAGGGTTTAGGGTTTAGGGGTTTCACAAGTCGAAACATGGTCCACTCTGCGATCTGAGGCGCGTCTGCGTGCAGGCAGCATGGCAGCTGCCAACCTGAGCGAACTGCCACACGAAGGGTGAAGTGCTTGTGGGGGGGGGGGGGGTTTATGTAGGGTGTAAGGTTTAGGGCGGTGGGGGGGGGTGGGGGGGGGGGGGGGGGGGGGGGGGGGGGGGTTATGTAGGGTTTAAGGTTTGGGGTGTTGAGATGGCGGCACGGAGGTGTCCCACTGGGAGCTGGGAAGCTTGCTGACTACGAGTTGGAAGGGGCATCATTGGTCCTCGCTGTCTGCGAATCTGCGAACCATCAACCTAATTCCTAATCAACCTGCAAGTAAGCTGCACCAGATATCAACAAGCACACCAGGGCCGAGGCGTAAATCACCCAGCCCTTCTTAAGCGGAAGCTGGTGCTTGAGAGGAAGATGCCGCGAACAAGATACTTGCGCAGCGCCTGGAAAGCTGATCAATCTAACGCGTGCCGGTCTACGATGAGAGCTGCGACGGACAAATCATTTCTGACGGTGCCCCCGCCTAAAATCACCCGCCCCATGTACAGCAGGCCCTGGAGAAGCTTTAGCCCATCTTAGTGATCTTTCCCGTTATACCATACTTGCGGACAGGGACGGCTAGGACCAGCGCAGAACCGCCCTCTGCAAGCAGCACCAAGAAAGAGACCAAGTTGAAGCTAGCCCCTGGAGTGCAGAGCCCTTGATGGAGAACTTGCTGCCCGGTCTGTAGGCGTGCGTTTCGCTGATCGTGCGCGACGCCAGCATGGCATCAAGCATCCTTTGCCGTCAAACGACCCTCCGCTTTCTTGAACTTAAGGCCTCTTTCCTTTGACCTGCTGCCGCAGACAGCTCTATGCGTCCCTTCATTCAGGCCATCCCTATCGGCTGATGTGTGCGGACAGGACGGTCTTCTGCAGATTTGGTCGTACCGGAGCTGAAGCTCTTCAGCAACGCCTCGTCATCTCGCAGCTTGGGTTTAGGGTTTAGGGTTTAGGGTTTAGGGTTTAGGGTGCTTTCTCAGCAGACGTCGAGCACAAGCCGACGGAACAGCGTAACACTAGCAAGCTGGAAGACGACAAAACTCTGAAGCGAGACATGCAAAAAAAAAACATGCCAGCTGCTTGCAAAAGCACTCCAGCAAAAAAATGAATCCTGTAAAGGAGACTTTACTGCACAAATCTGATACTGAGACATGCCGCGTGGAGACGGCGGGGCTTCTGTTGAATCGGGCCGAAAGCAACCCACAAGAATGGCCCCTATTGAAGTAGCATGGGAGGAAATGCTTTTTTTGCCCCTGTTTTGGCTTGGCAGTCGCTGTTGGACGCCGGGCCCATCGCTCAGTACCAGAAATTGACCTTGGACAAAGCTACTGCCCTCTACAGAGCCGCACTGCTGCGTGCCGCATACCATGTGCACAACTGCCAGAACACACCCCAAACCGAAGCAAACTTGAAAATCATGTTGGCCTGACCCTCGTTTTAATATGCTGAGGTGAATGAAAACCGCAGCCAGACTTCATGCCCCGACCTGTCTGCAAAAACAAAAAAGAGCACCCCACAACCCAGCAAGCCGAGGCCAGAGTGGCGGAGATGGAGGGGGTCAAAGCGCGCACTTGATGCCACCATCCGCTGGGCATGTATCTCGGTCGTTGCCCATAGCATGCAGATGTAGGTGTTGGGTTTAGGGTTTGGGGTTTAGGGTTTGGGGTTTAGGGTTCAGGGTTCAGGGCTTTTTGTTGCGCGGGGGCCTTTTCCAAAAGCCTATGCAAACCTTACTGGCGCGCGGCGACAACTTGCCAAGGGAATCGAGCCACAGGACATCGCCCGGAGCCAGGTCCACCACCAGGGTTTCCTCAGATTTCACAACTGGGATCCCTAAACCCTAAACCCTAAACTTTACCCTAAACCCTAAACCCTAAACCCTAAACCCTAAACCCTAAACCTGCACCAACGTTTCTTTGGGGTTTAAGGTCTCAGCTCCTTTTGCTTGTTTAAGGTTTTTGGTTTAGGCTTGCCAAGTCTTTTGGGGCACTACGATTTCGGTCCTGGGGCTGCACCTCCAGAAGCTTGGGATGTTCCCCCCTATACTAACAGTCCTGAAAGGGGATTCTAGTAACCCCCTATTATAATCTCTGTTAAGGACTAGTAGTATAAGGGGGAACCAACGTTCCTAACTGGACTTCGTGCAACCACAGCAGCTGCTTCACGAAAGTCTGGGTACTGGTTCAGGTCTGGCTCCTGAAGTAGCGTGAGGGTTTAGGGCATTTAGGGTATTTGGGGTATTTAGAGTTGGACATGTGAGAACGCAGCGCGTCCCATGCAACGGCCATGTGAAAGACACGCAGGATAGAACCCAACAGAAAAGAAAAAAACAACGCGCACATGTTGATCTGACTGGATCACAAACCATACGGGTCTTCCATAATCCTGCTAATCCATGCACAAGCCTTTCCGTGCGCATTCCGTGCCATCATCCCTTAACCATCTTACCCAGAAGCCTAGCCCGTCTCAATCTCTACTGTCATTCTCACTACGTGCAGAAGCAATTGCGTGAGACGATAGTTCACTTATAATGCGCTCTCTAGTTCGCTTAAAATATAGTATTTTGTTTCACTTTTCTTTCTCTTTCTTTTCTTTTCTTTGTTCATTCGCGAGCTCACTGTATTATATTATGCTCGCGAGGTAATAATAGAATGAATAAAGCGTAGAGAACGTAGTATAATATAAGCCTTTCTTGGTACTAATATGCTATCATCACGGTCTTCCTCATGAATGCACGTGTCATGATAATACTTCGTGAAGGTACCAATCATGAAGTCCTTTTAACCGCAGGAAAACCCCCTTGTCAGCTGCATCAGTTTATTGACACTATTAATGCTTCCCGAAGGCACAGATCAAGGATTACATTATAAACGAAGTGACCCTGGATTCTATCTCTTCGTAGTGTTACCATTAGGACAACATCACCCATCCATTGAGGCTTTACCCCTGCTGCTCAGGGCCGTGAGTATGTGCACATGGAGAGATCTCGGGTGGATACGAATATGAACCCTAAACCCTTTTGCAACTGGGCTTGAGGACCCTAAACCCTAAACCGGCATAGAGCGTTAAAGCTCACAGCTGATTCTAAATCAACCCCAGGGATTGAAATTCCACAAAGCACGGGTCTTCATAGGCCCCCCCCCCTTTTGTCCAGAAAGCTGAACTACAAGCCCTGCTTTCCCAGAAGCCCTACTCTTAAAGATCCCACGATATCCCACCATATTTTCCCCCGGTCTTCCTCCACGTTCACCGGAGAGATGTTGCCTTGCGCACCCGTGCCGGCATCCACCCGCACATGGAGCTTCGTGTGCTGGTTCGGGGCCAACAGCACCTGGCTGTGCTTTTTCTTCTTTTCCGCCCGCCCAGCGCACGCCCACAGTTTTAAACCCTGAACCCTTTTTGCATCATTTTGCCTAAACCCTAAACCCTAAACCCTAAACCCTAAACCCTAAACCCTAAACCCTAAACCCTAAACCCTAAACCCTAAACCCTAAACCCGAACCAGCTCAACAGGCTTCGCATGTCGAAGAACAGCTCTTTCCCCCCCTTATCGAGAATTCAGGCTACAGTGTCTCCGGACCCTAAGCATCGTCTCCACTGGCCTACGGGCCATCTGGGCTTTGGGCCCTGAATCTTATAAGCCCTAAACCCTAAACCCTAAACCCTAAACCTTAAACCCTAAACCTAAACCCTGAACCCTACCTGAACCCTAAACCCTAAACCCTATTTTCGCAACCCCCAAAAACAATGCTAGGTTTCCCCCATGGCTTCAAAGATGAATGAGCCAGCTGGCTACCCGCTTGAATCCTTGAACTTGCGCCAGGAAATTGTCCTGGCTTGGTCCGGTTAGGTTTAGGGTTTAGGGTTTTTAGGGGGTTTAGGGGGTTTAGGGGGTTTAGGGGGTTTAGGGGGTTTAGGGGGTTTAGGGGGTTTAGGGGGTTTAGGGGGTTTAGGGGGTTTAGGGGTTTAGGGGTTTAGGGTCTAGGGTCTAGGGTCCAGGGTCTAGGGGGTTCAGGGTTTGGCTTGCTCATGGTCGTGCAGCAATTAAGGCTTAGTACTTAGTAAACTACACTTGATGTTGAGGGTTCCGGGTCTCGGGACCTGTTGCCCAAGGGGACCCCAAACCCTAAACCCTAAACCGTGCCAAAGCTTTTCCAAGGAGAGAGCTTGCTTTTGTGGACTGAGAGCGGCTCTAGCGTAACATACAAGACCTGTCCCAACAGCACTGCGTACGGATGCGTGAAACATTACGTACACTAACCACGGTTACGGTAGGTTCTTTTCTACTCCCCAGGTGCGTCCTGAGATGGGGATTGCTGTCGGGTTCCTACTTGAGCACTTTCGGTGCTGTTGCTGAAAACGATGAAGATACATGGGTGTGCATAGGCGCAAGATGTTATGAACAGTCACCAAGCTCCTCGCCTTCGAAGGCCCATCCTGCTGCAACTCTTCGGGCTCTAGTGCGCGACCGAAGTTCTCAAAGAACTCAACCACCCAGACGAGCGGCATACGAGTCCCAATGACAAGGTGTCAGGGTCCTCCGCCACGAGAAGCTTATTATAACAATAATAAGAGCAATAATCACAATAATAACAATAATAGTAATCATCATCATCATCATCATTATCATGACAATCATAATCATGATCATAATTATCCTAATAACTTGAGGGATCGACCCCACATGGCCATATCTTAGGGTCCTCGTGTCGGGCATCAACACTATACGCATGCACCAACCCTGCCCCCCCGAAAGCCGAAGGAGACTCCGTAAACCCTAGACCCGAAGCCCTAAACCCTAAATCCTAAACCCTAAACCCTAAACCCTAAACCCTAAGCCCTAAGCCCTCCCAATCCGGAGCGCCGTAGTACGTCCCGTTCCTACTTCTGAGGGCGGCGCCAAAACAAGAACACACACAGCACTCCTACTGGTGAGGGTAGTGTGGCATACAGAGGCGGCACTTGCTGCCCTAAACCCTAAACCCCAAGCTCCCCCCCTTTTTTTGAGGGCGGAAGGCGGGGACGAACTCAGCTCCGATAGCCCACAGACACGCTCCTGCTCGTTCCCACCCAGGCGTTGCAGCGGGTTGGTGCTCCCAGAACCTTCCACTAAAACCCTAAACCCTAAACCCTAAACCCTAAACCCTAACACATACTTTTTTACAACCAGGTCTGCACAGCTGCCGGGAAAGTCAGGCTCACACAACCAGCTTCACAGTTCTCGTGACTGCAAGGCTAGCTGCGTCACCCGTTCCATAGTGGCATCATCTAAATTGTCGAGTAGCACAATTTGGTGAAAGTTTGTCATACACTCCTCAGCCAACCGACCCCGCATAACCTTCCACTAAAACCCTAAACCCTAAACCCTAAACTTACCCTAAACCCTAAACCCTAAACCCTAACACATTTTGCTCGGCGGGTTCATTTCAAGGCGGGCGCTTCTATGCAAGGACCCCTCTCGGAGACCCTAAAAACCCTAAAAGCCCTAAAAAGCCCTTAAAAACCCTAAAAACCCTGAAAGCCCTACAAACCCTAAAAGCCCTAAAAACCCTAAAAACCCCTAATGGGGGCTCTAAACCCTGGAGACCTAACTAAGCCCAGCTCAGAAAGCCCCCGAAGACTCGGCGCTTCCTGAGAAAAGGCCTTTGAGGCAGATTTGGGGGAGGGTTTAGGGTTTAGGGTTTAGGGTTTTTTTTAGGGTTTAGGGTTTAGGGGGTTCTACGAACATGGGATGACCCCTAACATCGCCCCCCCAAATAGTAGGATTCCCATATCATAAGAACCCCCCAATATGGTACCCGAACTTCGGAAATCATCGTTGGGGGGTGCCTCCTGCCACGTCTGTGGCACGGCGATGTCTGCTCGCAGCACCTGGGCCCGTCTTGACTTTCGGAGCCCCCTGTGGAGAGCCCCGAAGCCTTTGCTATGATGCGGACTAAGGCACTAAGGTCCGTTCTATGCTGTATGTTGTCTTTGCCCCTGTAGCCCAAAGCCCGGACTTCCTAGCGACCCGGGGCACGGGGCACTGCTCGAAGAGCTCGTGCTGCGCCAGGTAAGCAGTTTGTGCATGGGCTCCTCTGCAGCTGGGGGCCAAGAACTCCTGGCAAAGAGATTCTCGCAGCACCACCACCCCTCGAACACGCGTTGTCTGAAGATCCCTAGAGTTCTAAATGCATCACCAACTGCAGAACTCCCTACGGCATTCGCCCTTGAGCAAAACTTCAAGGTCCACCCTGCCAAACCTGAATCAGAACGCGCGTAAACCCAAAGATTGCTCACCCCTCGAAGCCCTCACTCGGGGATCCGAAGTATGGGCCCTTAATATGGGCCCCGCTTATGTATCTACACTATCGATCTATCTATCTATATATATATATATATATGTATGTATGTATGGGTCCCGTTTATATAACCCCTATATACACTATATATATATATATATATATATATTTATATTTATATTTATATTTATATTTATATTTATATTTATATTTATATTTATATTTATTTATTTGTTTATTTATATTTATATATTTATTTTTAAAGAGATTATTTATTTACATGATTTATTCATGTTTATGTAGTAAGGGCTCATGGTTCCAAACTTAGAGCCGCGGCGCTTCAGCAGTCTTAGGCCATGTGTGCTCTCCTCAAGGAACCGGCTGAAAGGCATGAGCTCTTCCTCACAGAAATGGGGGGTTTGAGCAAGGGTTTGGGGTTTAGGGTTTAGGGTTTAGGGTGACCCAAAAATAGGCCCCCAAATAGTAAGATTCCCTTATAGTATGGACCCAAGAAGGCACCCGCAACTTCGGAAACGCCAAAATGGTATGGGGGGTTTCCGACATTAGGGATACCTGATTGGGGTCCTTGTTGTAAGGGAACCCTGCTATTGGGGGTCTATCTCATGGGGTCCCCGATGTTTCGTAAACTCCCTAAACAGTAAAACCCTAAACCCTAAACCCTAAACCCAAAATCCTAAATCCTAAAAGCCCTCAACTCTCTGCTGGGACACTTATGAAGAAGGCAAGGGGTGCTTACACAAGGGGTCTTGGCCTCTCGGGAGGGCGCGGAGCTAACCTTCCAAGTCGAGGCAATGCCTCTGTAGACTTCCGGGTGCTCCGATGCGGCTTTCAAAGAAGAGCACAAGGCTCCCAACTCAGTTCGGTTTAGGGTTTAGGGTTTGGCACGCGCTTGCTGCTAGCAGGGTTTAGGGTTTAGGGTTTAGGGTTTAGGGTTTAGGGTTTAGGGTGTAGGGTTTAGGGTTTAGGGCTTAGGGTTTAGGGTTTAGGGTTTAGGGTTTAGGGTTTAGGGTTTAGGGTTTAGGGTTTAGGGTTTAGGGTTTAGGGTTTAGGGTTTAGGGTTTAGGGTTTAGGGTTTAGGGTTTAGGGTTTAGGGTTTAGGGTTTAGGGTTTAGGGTTTAGGGTTTAGGGCAACCCAGTTCAACCAGTGGAGCAAGAGACCTTCGTAACTTGTTCCGAGGCCTTGCAGCCCTAAACCCCAAACACCCACTTGTACATATTAGCTGGCCAGCAGAAACCTGGCTCCCCTACTGTCATTCCTGGGCTGCTGTTCCTTCCAGCCGTCTGCCCCCACGTTGCTTCCGAGCTCGGTGGGTACCAGCCGGTGTCCAGCCTGGAACTACTATTTTCTTAAGAACCCCAAAAGAATCAAAAAAAAAAGTACTCCCTACAATACCCTTAATAAGGAAGACTATTCTTTTCGGGGTTCTTAAGTATAGTAGGGAAGTCAGGCAACAGAGAGAGCTCTTGTGAAGTGGAGGGTCTGATGCCACTCCCGGACATGCCCTCGAAGTGGCTTAAGAACTTCAGGGCCTTACTTAGTGGCTGAGTTCATAAGCCCCAAAAACGTGTACGCTTTCAGGGATGATAGGATCCACCAAAGTGTAAAGTGTGCTCACTCAGCTACTAAGCTTCAGGGCATAAGGGTTCTTGGCTCAGATGGCTCGGGCTTTGAAGCACACCTCGAAATCCAGGGAAACGCTGCAGGTACCTGCATGAGGTCGGTTTTCGCGGGACAATCAGCCCCGCAGCCCTGAAATGGGTTTAGGGCTTAGGGCTTAGGGTTTAGGGAGTTCGAAGCACCTAGCTCGGGGCCACTCAACCTATCAAGCCCTCAACACCTGCCTTGCCATCCAAGTATGCCAGGGAGTTCCATCTCGTTCGAGCTGGCCACGACTCGAGCGCACCGGGAAAGAAAAAGGGCTGCCTTGAGGGTGCGAATCCAAACCTCTTGGCGAACTGAGTTCCACACCAGCTTACCCCATGGACATCCCCAACCTAAACTACAAACCGCAGCGACTCAGAAGAAATCATCTGTGAGTAGACACTCCAGGAATTCTCCGAAAACGGATTCTCTGTACGAGTAGATGTTCTGCTGGATTCTCTATGCTCTGAAGGATTCTCTGGACTTTCTCCGGAGCGGGTACTCCGGGGGGAGCAAGGGCACTACGGGGCATCCTAACTCAGAAAAACTCTTACATCTCCTGCTCCCCTGACGTGTTCGAGTTGCGATTGGGACAGCAGCTCTTTCAGCTTGTCAGGGCCAGGGTCGTCGGCCAGCCTCTCCAGTCTCCGCACACGCGAGCCCGTTGGAGTAGTCTCGGGCAGGCAGGTGATGGGAAACTGCCCCGCCACGAGCAACTGCGCAGCCTCCACGAAACATCACGGTTTTGGAGACATCAAAGGCAACGATTTTTGACCCAGATTTTTGACCCCCGAAGTCACACGCACAGATGCGCAAGCACGCAGGGCGTCCTCAGCGCGCTCGGCTCGAACGTCGTCATCGAGCAGGCGCACGAAGAGGAGGGCACAGGATCTGAAAACCCCCGCCGGTGCAAAGATGAACACCCCATCGGCATGCTTTACCGCCGAGGATCCACTGCCAGATGCGTGTGAAGAAAGTGCCAGGAGAAGCTCCACCTCGGCAATGTTCGCAAGTTCAAAATGATGCTCATGAACATTCACACTCCCGTGCAGTCCTACATGAAGATGCATCACAGAAGCCAGCATGAACAGCTCCTTGTCACAGGGTCCTGGACCAGATACGTCTGCAGCCGACCGCTACTCATGGATCACGAATCTGACAGCAACTCACTTGTGCCCAAGTCTGGCCAGAAGGGCATCAGGTAGTGGCAGCCCCCTAAACCCTAAACCCTAAACTCTAAACCCCAAACCCTAAACCCCAAACCCCAAACCCCAAACCAAAGCCGAGGGTCGCTGCCAGCCTTTGTCCCGGATAAGCGCGCCCCAGGCCTCCTGTCTGACGGCAGACGCCTGCACGCCCAGAGTCACTACTTGGAGGTTCAGGGTACTAAGGCTTTATAGGGTTGGTTTATAGGGTTTATAGGGTTTATAGGGTTTATAGGGTTTATAGGGTTTATACTTGGAGGTTCAGGGACTTGGCAAGTAGGGTTATAAGTACCCGACTTGGGGCGACAAGTAATTGTAAGTATCGTTGCCTAGTTTTAACCCTACTTACTAAGTCCTCTGATGCTTTAAGTAGGGGTCTGTGGGAGCTCTCCACTGCGAGTCCAGGGATCTCCTCAGAGCCTTACAAGGAAGCAATTGGAAGCCTGATGGCAGACCTAGTACAATGACCTTGCTTAGGACCTTTGTTGCTTCCGGTCTCATGGGTTGTCGTGGATCGCTCTATTGAGTCTAATGAACACAATCCCAGAAGATTCGGCGCTGGCAGAAGGCTTGTCACGGTGCCAGCATGAGCACCCTGCAGCCCTCCCCTTCCGCCCCTTCTCAAGATCTGTCGGCTGCCTTCTCGTGGCAGGCGGTCCAGTCCTGCAAGTAAGGCTCATGGGTGCAAAAAAAAGCAAAAGCTGGAAACAGAGAGTCAGGCAGTTCTACGATTCTACGAGCCGGCCCTAATTTTGACAGGTAATGGGGAAGCAAACGAACCACCCCAGCGTGGGCCAAGATTCCGCACGGCCCTCTGCCGCGACTGCAGCGTCCACATCCCGCGCCAGTGCGGCAGGCAGCGGCGGCCGGGCTCCCTGGCGATTGCGGGGATTCTGACAAGAACCGGTTTTTTTTATTCGTATTACTCTTACTATTTTTGGTACTATTCTTATTATTAGTGTTACTATTTTAAGTATTATCATTCTTATCATGGGTTTATGGCGAAGGGCTGGTGCTGCAGGTTTGCCACGCGGAAGCGTGCCCCGGCAGGCCTTGCTCGGCTGGTCGCCGCTCTCTGACCCGATCAGCTCCGCGCGAGCTTGAGGCCAGGACTGGAGAACAAGAGGCATGCTTAGAGGTTCAGGGTACTTATTCACCAATTATAACCGTAACCGTACTGATTACCCACTTACAAACCCCTTAAGTGCCCCAAAAAATGGTTCTCTTCCAAGTGGACAGGGCTTTGCAGGAAGGCGCTTTTTCAACGCATCGGCCCGAAAGTCGTATGCTGCTCCCGCGATCATGTCTCAGTGGCGGGTTTTGAGGGTCTTTGGGTTTCAGGGTTTTAGGGTTTCAGGGTTTCAGGGTTTTAGGGTTTCAGGGTTTCAGGGTTTTTGGGGGGTTTTAGCCTTAGCTGGAGGTTCGCCACTACTCGGCAAGTCGACAACTCCGCCCGCCTCTGCCACCAGGGTCTCGACTGCTGAGCGAAGCGCCGGGTGGACCTTGTTCCAACATGAGCACTGAACTTAGGGTTTAGGGTTTAGGGCTTAGGGCTTAAGGTTTAGGGTTTAGGGTTTAGGGTTTAGGGTTTAGGGCTTAGGGCTTAGGGCTTAGGGCTTAGGGTTTAGGGTTTAGGGTTTAGGGTTTAGGGTTTAGGGTTTAGGGTTTAAGGATTTTTTTGCCACCCGCCTAGCTGACGCTCAGGCCACATTGCAGGGACTAATACCGGCAATACTACTTCTCATCGGAAAGATGGGGGGCGCTTTTAAAGTTAGCGTAGAAGGGGATCACTTTGGGGAAGTTGTAACATCACAACAGTGGACAAACCAAACCACAACACCACACCACAACACCATCGATTAAGCAAAACGTAGACACCCCTTCCCCATGATCCACAAGGAGAAAAGGCCACATGATGCCTCAGTCATGGCATCCTCTCATCAGGGCCTACTGGTAGCCCCCCCGGGGATCCCCTATACACCAAAACTCTAAAAGGCCGACATCAACATGAAAAGTCAGGCTCCCCAGAGTGGCCGAGAGTAAACCATGTATACCAAAGTAGCATGACCCAGTATGCCACGACAAGATGAGCTTCCCTCTGCATGTCCCCGTCTGCTATGACAAGTTTGCGGTCCAGGCCAAAAATCAGCCAGCTGGCTCACGTGTAGGGGGAACATCAGAAACCCAGTCGTAAAAGCCAGCTAAAACATAGGGGGCCTAAAAGATCCACGTAAAGGTAGGGGTCGGGTATGTTCAGAGGAACCTAAATGTCTCGTTCCCTAGTTCCCCTTTCATCGTCAAGCTCTTATACAGTGATGGCCCTCCGAAATTCTACCTGCGATCCAGCTCCTTCTCCACCGTTCAAAGCAAAGACAGCAGCAACCAAAAACAAAAAGGCCTAGCAACCGGTGCCACCTCAGAACCCAACGCATAAGGAGCTGGTTTAGGGTTTAGGGTTTCGGGTTTCGGGTTTAGGGTTTAGCAGCATCTCAGCTCTGAAGCAGTGAAACACCCCCCTCCTCCTTGCCTGTGGCACCGGAGACTCGGTCGCAGGAGCGGCCTGGTTTCAAATAGTGGCGCTTAAGGGGTTTCGGGGTTTAGGGGTTTAGGGGCTTAGGGGTTTAGGGCTTAGGGGTTTAGGGGCTTAGGGGTTTAAGGGTTTAAGGGTTTAGGGGTTTAGGGGTCTAGGGGTTTAGGGGTTTTAGGGCAGTTTAGGGGTCTAAGGGTTTAGGGGTTTAGGGGTTTAGGGGTTTACGGTTTAAGGGTTTAGGGGCCCTAGGGGGTTTTTCGGCAACGTCGACTCTCGAGGGTGGCTGCCCCTGTATTCGGCGGTGCCTCGGCTTCCTCGGGTCCGAAGAGGGCGTCGAGGTCTGGCTCGGAGCCCATGTTGCATGCTTCAAGGCTTGGGAGGGGGAAAATGCTTGATGTTTACTTGCAGCTGCTGGTCCGGCGTGGTGCTGTCATCGTAGGGGGGATTTATGCAAGCAGGCGCATGACCAGAATAAACACTTCTCCCGCAGTTCGAAGTCAGCGGCTCTTGCTGCTCGCTAGTCAAGGGCGGACTCTTGGGCCTCCAATGCAGCGTACGGCTTCGTCTTGCAGACTTAGAGAGACAGGCGTTCGGTCAGAAAGAAGCCCTTGAACGCTGAGCCTGCAAACGTCAGGTGCCTAGCCCCAAGAAGGGACAGGATTTAGGGTTCAGGGCCTTGAAGTTTAGGGTTTAGGGTTTAGGGTTTAGGGTTCAGGGCATTAGGTTATAGGGTGTAGCGTTAGCACAGGCATTTAGACAGCAGCACCTTTTCTCTTTGTCAGCGGGAGACAACCTTTGCGATCGCCTCGAGTAAGACCGGATCCAAAGGCCTCTCAAAGAAACCGCCTAGCATTCGTCTGAAGCACTGCGGATTGTTTGGGGGTGGTAGGGTGTTAAGGCTTCAATTATGCCCGGATCTCAAAACCCTACACCCTAAACCCTAAACCCTAAACCCTATCCCCTAAACCCTAAACCCTTAGACCCCAAACCCTCTTCGGAGCTTTGGGCGCGGGAGGGCGAGCTGCAACTTGAACGGCTGCGTCTTGCATCCGACCAAGCTGGCGACCCTTCAGCTGCGCGGCAGTCAGGTCCATTCTGAGTTGCTTTACTCTTTGCTGAAGAACCCCCGAAAAAATATAATGGTCCCTATATTGCACTTATAAGGAAGAACATTTCGAATTTTGGGGGGATTCTTAAGCAAAATAGTGGTTTAGGGTGTAGGGCAGTGTCGGCTTTCTTACAGGGTTCTTACTGGAGGGGGGTTCAGGGGGTATTAGGGAACCTTGGGTTACATGTACATAACCCCCTTGAACCCCTCCCTTAAGAACCCTATAAGTTTAGTGTTGGGGGTACTTCCGATTCGGACTGCCGTGCGCATTGAGTGTAAGACCATGGCCAACATCGGGAGCTTTGTCGGTGTGGGCCAACCAACGACATAAAGCAAGAAAGCACTCAACTCCCGATCACCAGGGTGAAACATCACTATAACACTGCCATCAGGATTTGAAGAGAAGTGTCGTGAAAGCTCCTGGCGACGCCTGGAAACACTGGAAACTTGCTTCTTCAATAGGTCAATAGGCTGAATATGGTTTAACTTTTTGCCACCCGCACTGCACATGGTTTCATGGGGAAGGGAAGAGAGCGGAAGGCTTGTTGACAATGGCATGTAACTACACCAGCCATGCAAAATTAGACCCAAGTACCAAATATGGCACCACACTCTACATACAAAGTTATGCTGGTGGAGGGGGTGGAGGGGGTGGAGGGCGTGGAGGGGGTGGAGGGGGAGGAACGAATCGAAACTAAAACAAACGAACCGAACATTTCTGAAAGGAGCTCTCGGGGAAAAGTATCCACACGCTTGTCGTATACTCACCTTGAAACCATATTAACAAGAAGACTGTTATTAACATTCCTTTGGGCTGATATACTTGGAAACAAACATGCAACACAATTAGATGCGTGATGTCGTGTGATGTCAACTATGCCATGTTATCGAACCAAGGTTGCAGAATTCAGGACTTCTGACCAATCAGGGAACGCATCTTCATCATTCCTAAACCCTAAACCCCAAACCCTACACCCTAAACCCTAAACCCTAAACATGTAGCCGAGAGGCCTCCGATCATTCGAGGGCCTGCGCCAGCTTCGCAGCGTCGACCGCAGCTTTCCCGAAAATCCACACGTATCTGCCTGGGAGAAAGCTGAGCAAGGGTAGGACAGAGATGTTTGTTCCGTTTGGTGCTTCTTGGGTCTCTTTGCCTAGTCTCTTTTCCTACAAACTCTCGGATAGAACTATGAAAAGAACGAATATTAATTGCCAAGCGAACGAATACCATGAGTGAACGCATGAAACTAATAGTCGTGAGCGCAATTCCCCCGCTCATAAAAGACCTATTTTGTGGGGTTATTAACTTGTTATGTACACTATGGGCGAAAACGACGTCTTTTTACTCGTCCCTGAATATTTTTCTCCCGATGCATGAATAGAATGAAGAGAGCACCGTGAACACACTTTATTTCGCTGGTTCATTCGGCTCACTCATTCATTCCGTCCATTCCCTTCACCTAATTTCCAAGTCTATGAGCGTTAACAGGGTCTGAAGGTGTGATGGGTCAACAAGGCTGTGGAACAAGAACGAGAGAGATGAATGGTACGTCCCAAAGGAAAATCATGCGGTGTGTCCAAAAGCCCCTTTTTAAGTAGTGTATTTGACAGGCTTTTGGGTGAATCAATGTGTGAAGAGAACGCCAGTACTAAAGTTGCCAGCGAAAGAAATGTAGCGCGTGCAATCCATTGCGAGCGAGCGCAAGATAAGTCTTTTTACGTGTCGGGCTCTGCATGCGCGGGAATCTTTTTCCTAGGGGGCCCAGAGGGCGCGTCCGGTTCTTCAGCATTCATGGGAAAAGGTGGGGTGCCCCTCTCAAGGCATCGGTTTAGTGTTTAGGGCTTAGGGTGTAGGGTTTCCAACACATCACCAGCATGATTTGTCAAACCCGGATGCTGGGGCCCAAACCAAAGCGGCGGGAGAGAGTCAGCACCTCGTGCTCGCAGAGCGGCACACCTCGCTCCTGGTCTAGACCCAAGAGTAACCTAGGAAGAAAGAGGGGGTGCCCCGTTTTAGTTTTACAGGGGGTTTCCAAAGCAAAAAGGGAATGAGGGCTACGGCCAGAGTGGAGGGGTGATACGATCTGAGTTCTAAGGGCTTCCGATTGAATACTTGAATACCGCAGAGACGGGCTGCTAGAGGCTCTTGGTGCCTCGCACGTTCGGCTTGTCGCTGTGCGGGGGCTGGCTCTTTCGTCTCTTCCACAGCTTCAAGCACATGTGTGCGGAAGTCATTTTCAAGAAGCTCGCCCTCTTTGAAACTTTCAAGGCAGCGGTACGTCTTTTGCAGGCTGCATTGAAGCGCTTCACCGGTCCAGGCTTAGGTGGAAGGGCGTGTCATGATGTGTACGACTCAGCTGCCTTTTGCCACGCGTGCCTTATGTAGTTTAACTGCTTTTGGCAATGGATGGAGCAACCGTGCGTTGCATGACCAGTTCGCACAACACAACGTAACTCACACAGACTCATTCTCCGTTGACGGCCACATCTTTCGCAGCTTTAATCAGCAACTTTCACTTGGGAGAGCTGTCTGCCCCATTCCTGTCAAATGGAACCCCCCGATTGCCTCGCACCTCGTGGAACAAATGGGGCAGCAGTGCTAAAGATTGTTGGGGTTTAGGGTTTTGGGTTCAGGGTGTAGGGCTGCTAAATGGACTAGTCAAGCAGCTGCCAATGCTAGGGAAATGAAAAAAAAATCAAGCTCTTGCCCTTTTTGTTCAGCCTGGCCATTGTTTCTGCAAACCTCTTTCGCGACCGCCAATTTGCAATGGCATGGCGTCATACAAATTTAGGCTCCTCACTACTTGCGTGTTCCAAAATCAAGACGACAATACTGACTTTCGCCCCTCTCTTAGGTGGGTCATGAAAGGCAAGCTAGGTGGCTTGAAACTCTCCCGCCCGAAGCTGCCTTCCCGGAGAGTGTACTTCATCCCTGCTTGGGATCATTTAGTGCTAGTTCGCAGGTGCTCCGCATTGCCCTTGTCCATTTTGTGATGCGGCTAGTACCGTCTCAAGGGACTAGAGGAGGGGGACCTTGGGGCTTATTTAGGGCCATTTAGGGGGCTACTTCGGTATGTAGGGACTATATAAGGTACATATATATATATAATTAGATAGGGTTATAGCACATGCCTTATGACCAGTTCGCGGTCTAACGACTGGCCTTCTTCTTAATTTCGCCTTCCTTGGGGTGATGAGATTTTTGATCTCCGTAATGCCTGTCCACTGAAACATCTCTTGCATCACCCTTGTCACACCTGAAAAATGGGGCTATCTATGACTGAGCAAGAAATTCGGGGTGCCCTTAAGCCTGGACCGCTTAAGCGCTTGGGTTTTTGGAGGGTGCTAGAGTATAACTCTGTAGGGACCATAAGGGGATATCATTTGCAATTATTCCGGCCCCTGTAGCATGCAATCCGAGGGGGCGTGTTTTCCCGCATCTGGACTGACACGACGTTCCTTTTTTGGAAAATTCTCACGCAAAGGAGCTGACAAGCTGCACCCCGCATTGCTTTGCCTTGCCTTTCGTGAGAGCCCAGCGGTCCTCGGCCATCTTTTTAAGATCTGCGCCTCAGCGCGGGCGCCGAGCGCAAAAACATGCAGCAAAGGCCCAGAAGGGCACCGAACCCAGAGCGCCCAGATTCAAACCCATTAAGTACCCTAAACCCCGAGCTCTAAACCCTAAACCCTGAGCCCTAAACCCTAAACCCTAGGCCTAAACCCTAAACCCTGAGCCCTAAACCCTAAACCCTAAACAACACGTGTTCGCAGCCCAGGGCCCTTACCGCTGACGAACCCGCTCTGCTTCTGCAAGGGCTCCTTCCGCTCTTCTTCATGCTTTTGCTGCCAAGGTTGAGGTTTGAATGCTCCTATCCCTAAACCCTAAACCCTAAACCCTAAACCCTAAACCCTAAACCCTAAACCCTAAACCCTGAACCCTGAACCCTAAACCCTAAACCCTAACCCTAAACCCTAAAACCAAAAAAAACCCTAAAGGTGGTAGAACCCCGAGGATCAGCTTTTTGGTGGGACCTTGCGTTGTTCCCCCTTATACTAACAGCTCCTGCATAGGGATTATAGTAACCCCCCTATTATTAGGGTTTAGGGTTTAGGGTTCAGGTTTAGGGTTTAGGGTTTTTTTTTGCCACCCGCCTAGCAGACCCCCTCTGGGATCACTCCGCAGGGAACAGGGTTTAGGGTTTAGGGTTTAGGGTTTAGGGTTTAGGGTTTAGGGTTTCACTACGAAGGACTGTTAGTAGAAGGGGGAACATCCCAAGTGGAAACCCATGAAGATTTCAACTACTTTAGATCCGAGAGAGAAGCAAAGGGGTCCAAACACTCCCGAGTCAGTCTCGCCAAGAGAAAGTGGGTGTTGCGGATACCCAAAGAACCCACCGGAAGCCCCGTACCACGCAAGAGCCGAACAATTCCTGCCAAGGGGAATCCTCGATGTGAACCTAAGTTCATTCCTGAGGTGCTTAGGGTTTAGGGTTTTGGGCAGTACTGGTATTTTTCGTTCCCTAAACCCGAAACCCTTTTTGAAGAAACCCTGGGGTACGATTGTTCTGAAGCCCCCCAAAAAAGGTCCACGTCCTTGAGCCCACGCAGCTTGAAAAGAATGGCGTCGACCTTTTGGAATCTGGCAGTGCGCAGTTTGAGGCAGCCTCTTGAGGTTTGGGTTAGCTGCGACCGGGCAAAGTGCAAAAAGCAGCAAAAATCAAGCACACCGGCTCACAGGCCGATCGCAATACTCATCCCCAGGGGACGATCCGCACTTTCAACCCAAGGGGCATTTGACACCGCAAACTGTGATGAGTGCTCCTCCATATAGCAGAGAGCCTGGCCGCGCAGCACACGGCTTTGGAAAGTTTCAGGAAGATGTCAACCTTCCATCCTTTTTCCCTAGAGCCGAGCTTTCGGGGTTGGGGGTTCCGACTCTCACAGTGGCATGCGCGGGCGAGGCAACGATTAACAAATTCAGAGGTGAAAGTGATGCCCCAAGCACATTAGCCTTCAGCACTGCAGCAAAGAAGGACAAGCCAGTACCAAGCCCCCACCCCCCAGGGGTTTAGAGCCCTAAACCCTAAACCCTAAACCCTAAACCCTAAACCCTAAACCCTAAACCGGGCCTTTTCATCGGCACCCTTAAGGTGGAAAGGGCTGGCGCTGATGGCCACCGTCGCACCGATGTAGAACTCCTCCGGCCTCGTTGCAGTTTCGGAATTTCGGAACTTGTGGGATTTTTTTTTTTTTGGGGGGGGGGAGTTTAGGGTTTAGGGTTTAGGCTTACCCTTGTTGCCCTCATCATTGCCACGTGCCCTGCCGTGTTCTGTATCTTGGGTGACCCTTGGAGGGGCAAAACTTAGGATGGCCCCTAAAACCCCTCTGAAAAAATATGCCTGATCCTCTTAAACCCATTAAGGGAAAATATGCCCACCTAGAAAAGCCCATTGCAGCGCGGTCAAGGCTGGGGGCCCCTGCTTGAACCACTTGCCCGTGGCGGGGTTCTTCTTGCGCGACTTGCTGGCAAACTTGCCTCGGCACCCCACCGGCCCAACCCGCCTCAAACTCTCTGGGCCACCCTACGGTATATGTTGACGCAGTTCCCGTCAGCTCGTGCCACAAAATCGCCTCCCCAGCCCCAAATCAAGGCCGTGCTGCCCTCGGAGTGACCAGAGTTTCGCTGCTTGATCTCCCAGACCTTAGATCCCGTTCGGTCGATTCCGTCTTAAGTAGCTGCTTGGGAAGCCGCTTCTTGGGCCTGGCATGCCAAACCATATTGAACCCGAGCTGCGTACGAAACCTACTAAAACCTTGTGAATACTAAACCCTTTTTGAACCCACACTCTGCATGTCAGCTGGCTCTGAAACGTGGAAGACCTCACACGTCCAAAACCCTAAACCGGTCAAACCGGGGGACGCGGAGGTGGAGCCTGAACTCAAGGGACCTACGGCCGACGCAGGCCACAGGCCAAACACCGAAAGAGGAAGGGCTTAGGGTTTAGGATGGGCTAGGGTTTAGGCTAGTCCGGTAAACTTCCGCCAAGTTGCAGGATTGCGAACCCCAGCTAAGCCTGTTCACCCTCGAACCTTGCGCCGACTTTGCTTCCGGCGCCGACTTTGCGCCGCGACAGGCCCCATACCCGTGTAAGGGATCTAGAACCTCGACACATGGCCTGGCCAGCGAAATGGCATGTTTCCGTGAAGGACAGATTCGCGGCCGATGCTGGCCAAGGCACTCCCACGCTGTCATCCCCGAGCCAGATCGCCACTACGAACCTCCTGGTCTCGTTCTCCTCAAGAACTCAAGGCCAAGCTTACTGTTGGTTAGTTGGGAATCGGGGAATAAAGTACCAGATATCCCCTATATACCCTTTAAGGGATTTTATGTGGTACCTGATTCCCCCATTCCATCCCATTCCCTACTAACCAACAGTAAGCAAGAGGACATGGTTCACTCACAACAGGCCCTCAACTCAGAAAGGCTCGTTCAAGTTTTTGTGAGCCCTTTGAAACATCAGGCAAGCAAGCCCTAACCTCTGTCTGCCCCAAGTCTTGCCTTCTCACCACAACTCAGTGGCAAAGCTGTTGCAGCTGCACTTCCCTAAGAGCCGATGTGCACCTCTTCCCGAAACCTAGCACTGCAATGACTGAGCCCAGCAGGGCATCCTCCACATCGTCGGCCAAGACTGCCTCGAAGCGAAGCACCTGCGAGATTCAAGATGCCCCTTCTGCTTGGCCTGTGAGGTTCCACTCCTGCTCAACGAAACCGCCAGAATCAATCCAAACCTTCTTTCACTTGACCACTCTTTTCCCCTGGCCTTGTCTGCATCTGCCAACTCCTGGAAAGAACAACGCGGCACCCTAAACCCTAAACGAATGCGAGCCCGGGTACCACGTGACAATGTCTCACCACCGCATGTGGGCCTGTCTCCTATGTCTGGTCTGGCTGTGATTCTTGGGATGTTCTCCCTTATACGAACAGTCCGTAATAGGGATTTAGGGTTATAGTACCCATAATCCCCATCAAGGACTGCTGCAATCAGGGGGAACATCCCAATGTGGCACTGTGTTGTGGCCATGCTGCCATGCGTGCTAATTTTCTTGCCGACGCCCATCACCCTAAGCCAGATGCTGCACTCTGTTCCGGCAGACCCTAAACCCTAAACCCTAAACCCTAAACCCTAAGAGTCCTTCTGCTCATCCCGCCGGGGGGGCTTGCACACAAGGCCCTTGCAGCTTGCCAAGGAGTCTTCCTCCCAGGGGCTGTTTTCGAGTTTGCGTCTTTTGTTCGGGGGTCCTGGCTTGTTCTAATGAGGAATGACAAGGGTAGGTGCCCTTTTTGGGGTTTAAAGGGGGCTTGGCTAACCCCTCTCCCCCCCAAAAAAAGAATGAGGGACTACTCTGAGTCCTCCGACCCAAATCCGTTGTAGGGCGGATACCTGAGCTTCACCTTACTTTGGCAGGGCGTCCAAAGCACATGCATCTGCGACCATTCCTACCACGATGATGTTTCTACCCAAATCACAATATCACAATGCAGGAAAAATGAAAAACCACGTTACATCAATATCCCCTTATGAGAATATGAATTGCACGCTTGCGCTGGCCGCAGACTACCAGACTGATTCCACCCAGCGTCGTGCGTCAAAGCTGGATGATCGATCTTGATGCTGGCCTGGCGTGTGCTCTGTACACAGATTTCTCTCGCTACCGATTCTGCACCTTGCAGGTGCTTGAAAATGCTAACACCCCGAACTCCGAACTGAGCCCCCGGAACAGTCCTGCTCCAGGCCCATGTAGCTTTGGTAGAAGCTGCGGGTAAAGTCGTCACAGTCGTAAAGCACGATCTCGCGGCCCAAGACGTCAATGGTCTCGCCAACTATCAGATCCTGGCACCAGGAGCCCCCAATACAAACCCTAAATCCTCAACCCTAAACCCTAAACCCTAAACCTTAAACCTTACACTTGGCTCTTCGGTGTACTAGCAAGTCCGCAAGATCCCAGCAAGCAGCTTCCAAGATCGGCCCTTCACCTTACCGCTAGCTGCTGGCAGTCGCCAAACCCTAAACCCTAAACCCTTGTTGAGCACGGGCTGAGGGGCAACCCTACATAAACCCTAAACCCTAAACCCTAAACCCTAAACCCTAAACCGGTAGCTGCAGGAGTTAGGGGCCCAGATTCATGCAAAGGCTCTGCGGGCCTCACTTGCTAAGCTCGGGCCAGCGCCCTCAAACAGACTCAGGCGACCCCCGAGGTACACCAAGTCAGCCCCAGAATCCAACAAAAGGATGTGCTTAGGGTTTAGGGTTTAGGGTTCAGGCTTCAGGCTTTAGGGATTTGGGGTTTAGGGTTTCGGGTTGAGGGGGGTCGTTCAGGTTCAGTTCTCCTGCCTCGGGCTTGTAGATGAGTGGTGGGGGCTCGAGCATTCCCGGAGCCGGCGCAATGTAGGGGTTCCTCGGACAAGTTGACCCCAGAGAACCCGGGCTCCCCCATACCCCTTCATTCAGGGAATACGCTTGAATGCGTGTGTGTGTGTGTGTATATATATGCGTAGCAAAAGTGAAGTCAGGTATCTTGCCTCTCTTCGGGCTTGATGAAACAACTGAAAAGCTGCGTACCCTGAGCGTTCGACCTTTCCCCCCGAAAGAACGAAACAAAACCAATCATACGTGTACATCTGAGCATGTGGGGCTTTTTCAGCAGCGAAGGAAACGACATGGAATATCTCAGCATGTGGGCCAAAAACTGAGGCGGCCAAGGAAAGCCAAGAAAAGCTGAGAAAACCTAAGTAAAGCGAAATAATTCTATGGCTCCTGGTCACCTCTAGCACTAAAGAGTTTACAAAAAAGGAGCACGTGTGTAGGGTTGAAGAGGTGCCTGAGTAGGTCGTCTATAATGGGGTTACCATTGGGCTGGCCTCGGTTGCTGTGGCTTTTTGTTGGTTATCCAGTTGTCTGCAGAAGACCCCAGGACTCCAATAAGAAAGCTGCCAGAACCAAAGGAAACGAAACAGAGCCTGGAAACTAGAGCAAAAGTAGGGAAAACTCACAAATAAGAAACACAGAAAACCAACAGAAACTAAGCTGAACAAGATGCTGCCTCTTGCCATTTTGAGACCGAGGAGCTTCGGAGCCATCACCGTAAGGATCGCAAGACTCTAGAAGGTTTAACCATGGAATGAACGCTCCTTTGCCCTGCTAGCATGGATTCTACGCAATGAAGAGCTCGACCTCCGGGTTTTTCCAAGGTTCTTCCTCAGCGGTGACCGGCGCCAGAAGATCGGGTAGGGAGCGCAGCCCGCGTTCCTGCGCCCCCCAAGCTAAGAACCGGTGCAGAACCATTCCATGCAAGAGCGCATGACAGTGGCTCTCCTAGGCAAGTTCTCCAGCATCTCGATCGTGTCGTCTGCCAGGTAGTAGTGCATCGTGTAGTACCTACAGCGGCGTAACACGCCCAGCACGGTACCTGCTGACCCCTTGTGAAGGGCTGGGCATGTGGTGGTGCGGCCATGGTGTGTGTGTGTGCGCGCTGACGAAGTCCAAGAACCAGCAAAGCCAAAATCCATCAAAAGCCTAAAGGATCATTTCGCCCTTTCATGTCGAGATGCTTTCGCGAGCCATACTTGGTATGGTCATCCCAGAAGGTGTTGAAGCGCAGCACTTTCCGGTCATTCTCCAGGTACTGCTGCAGCTTCTCATTCCGACAGCACCCGCCCACGGCAATTTCGTTGTACTCCTTGATCACTTCGTCATGCTCAACTCACTGTGTGTGCAAGCGAAGCATCATTCCACGCAGGCTTCCCGAACACACCCAACAATGACGTCATAAGCTAAGCTCTCAAATTCCTCCCAGCCCCACCCCATCCCCTACCCTAAACCCTAAACTACAAGCTCGCAGACACCGGCCTTTGCTTCTTGGAGCGTCGCGCGCCTTAGGTAAAGAGGCATGGGAACTTAAGCGGGGTTTGGTCCTGGGGCGCCTTTCGCTCTGGGTTGGTTGTGGCCAAGGCTCCTAAGCCTAAAGACAACTCCAGGCATGCCTGTACAGGGCGTGGCACGGTGAAGCCAGCACAGCACACGGTAGGGTGTCGCTCTTCTTGTGGCAGACCCAACCCTCCCCAACCTTGCCCATACCGTACCGGATCACGCGCACAAGGAGGGAGGGAATCAGGATCCTCAACTGCTTTTTGCGCACCTGGCGGACACCAACTCCTCGTCATCGGGAAGGTCCGCCGCACTGAAGGAGTCCATCGGCAGCTCCTGAAACAGCAGAAGCTCCGGCAAACCTTGCTGGTTCTGTTTTGGGGTTCATTAAGGGAGAGGGGTTCAAAGGGCGGTATGTAACCCGAGGTTGCCTAATACCCCCCATTACTCCCTAAGCTTCCCTCAGGTTTTCTAGGTACCTAGCCCCCACGAAGCACCCCTCCCTTACGGACTCTATGATTCTTACTCGTGAATGCGGCCCCCTACAGAACAAAGCAAAACCCTCTTCATTGGTTAGATACTTGGGTGCCACAAGGTGGGTTGCCCTAATTCCTGTGAAGCGCTCGCAGGGAACCCCCTGCCACCCCTAAACCCTAAACCCTAAACCCTGCACTCGCAGGTGACTCCCGGGCCCGTCCTCATTCTCAGGCATCTCGTGCCCCAAGGCCGTCTGGGATGCTTGTGATGGGCAGGGCTACTTACGACACCGTTCTGCAACGGTGACCTGGTGCTCTTCTTTGTACTCTCAGCGTCATGGACAGGGAACTTAAATTTGCCTGAATGGAACATGAAGCAAAGGGCGGATCGCTGAAACGCAACGATTCGAACGTGAGTCTCCCTAAACCCTACACCCTAAACCCTTAACCCACACCTGAATCACCCATGTGAGGATCAACTCCAAGGAGGCGCCTCGTAGAAGCTCCGGGTGTAGGCATCCGCACCAATGAGTCGAAACACACGGGAGTAGACGGAGATTCTCCGGCCCACCTGGGAAGGGGGCGTGGGGGCGTTTGGGTTTGGGGTAAGGTTATCACTTGGGATGATCCCCATTATGCTAACAGTCCTTAATCAGGACGATCGTACCCCCTATTATGTTCCCTACTAAAAGGACTGTTAGTATAAGGGGGAATATCCCACGTTACCACCATGTTAATTCTCCCGGTCGGCGTCTTTGTTGCTGAATGCCCTCAAGTGCTTGCCTGGAAGTGGGCCCTGCGACCTCAAAAGCCGAAAGCAATGGCAACCCAAAGGCCTCTCAGAGGAAAAACCACCCCGAAGACTCTGAGGGCATATGGGCCGGTTCCCTGGACACGGGTCCCTTCGACAAATTATGTACCATGTTAAGTGTACAAACCCAACAAGAGGGGGACCTCAAAGTAGGGGGAAGTGCGTCAACCACGGATCACGGAAGCGACTCTCTGCCTGCAGGTCCTCGAAGCCATACATGCCGCCTGATCGGATTCGAGTCTTGTTGCTATTCACTCCCGCCGAGTTGGGCTCACCACCCTCCAGGGCTGAGAGTTTTGTAGCCTTGGGGCACTTCTCGGTTTGTGTGCTTGGGGCTTAGGGCTCAGAATGAGAGTGCAAGGTTGAGGGCAGGGCTGTCCGCGATGATTGGACTTTAGGGAACTTGCCGCCGGCGTGCTTTGCAAACGAATCCACGCAAAAATTAAGTGGCTGATATACTTGCCATGACGTGAATGGCAAGAATGGTAGTGGCTGTCACAATCTCCACAACAACAGGAAGGACAGTACTCATCCAAAAAGAGCCTCAACAACAAGAGCACCTTTGCAGAGCTCAGGGTTATTAGACGGGTTACTGTATGTAGGTTGGGATGTTCCCCCTTATACTAACAGTCCTTGATAGAGGATGTTCGTCTCCCCCCTTTATAAGCCCCACTAGGGGCTATTGGTATAAGGGGGAACGTCCCAGTCTGTTTAGGGCACATGCTCTCGTTCCCAGTTTTGATGGACGCAAACGACTGTCTCCTGAGTGCGCGAGGGATGACCCACTTAGCAGAGTCTCGGGATGTCCCTCCTTGTACTAACAGTCCTTAACAAGAGGGTGTACTAGAATCCCTATGAAGGACTGCTAGTACAAGAGGAGCATCCCAAACAGGATCTGTAGCTTTCTTTTACCACCTATGATATACCTTGTTGGTAGCCCAGTCACCATATTAAACTAGGGAAACCCGGCTTTTTATACGGGAACCTTGAACCAAAAAGCGGTTATCGGGCACCGCTGGGCTACCAAGTTACCAGAATCAGGTGCCCATGATCCTCAACCCACGATATCGCAGCCCCTCAAGACTCCAAAGCCTTTTTACACCCCTCAAAGCCCCCCAAAAAAAACCTTCAGCCCCTCAGAAGTCCCCTTAAACCCCTTAGAGCCCCTAAATCCCACCAATGATATTCAAAAAGAATTTACAAAAAATTTAGCTTCAAAAAAAAAGAAAGAAAAAGAAAAAGCGGGGAAGCACCTCCCAGGCTAGCAGGGCGGGGGATGCGGTGTCGCTTCACAAAGGTCCCCTGCGTGATCCCCGAGTTCTCGACTTTGGGCTCCTCGTCGCAGGGCACATGCGTTAAACAAAAAGAGGGAGTAACAATGTGGGCGTGAGGATTTCTATTGCTACTATTAATTGCAGTTCATACCAAGAATACTTCAGTATATATATATGTATATATATAAACCCGATATAAACCCACATATCAACCTTGTAATAGTCCACCCATATATCAACCTTACACAAACTCCATATCAAACTTATCGAATACCTATAAAAACCCTTATATAAAACTGATATGCTCCTAATTGGAGCCGAGGTTCGCTCACCATCATGGTCCCGTCTTCCTCACAACTTGCTGTGGGAAGCTCGAAGAACTTGAGGGCTTTCGGGCTTGTTCGAGCCCTCAGAATAATTCTGGGTGACCTCCATACTCCAGAAACTTACAGAGCTTCAGGAGTTTCCATAACTCCGGGTCTGATCCCGATTGCCACAGCCACCCTCGTAACCCGCAGCCCAGGCACCAGGTAGAAGTAGACGTTGCAGGCGCGGATCCTGAAGCTCTCCTCCAGCGCTTTCTTTTTTTTTTTTTTTTGGGGGGGGGGGGTTTCCGAAAACAGGGGTTCCCTTTTTTGGGGGTCCATTTAGGGGGGTTCTCTTCAATTTGGGGTAATATGAGGGGTACCCCTATTTTGGGACAGGCCCATTTGTGTGCAGTCAAAGACTCCAGGGCCTCACTCTCAAGCACTTTGCAACTTCACGCGCTGGGCAAGCTGCAGCTCCACGCAAGGTTCTTGCAACCCTGTCCTTGGGGTTCTCGTGAACCGCCTCCTGCAAGGCATTAGCAGGCGGCCTCAACTCAGTCAACCCACTCAAAAAAAAAAACCTTGCCGTCCTGGAAGTAGGCATAGAACCTCGGTTGAAAGCCGACAGCGAGAACGAGGCAGATGCAGGTTGACATGAAATAAAATAATACTAATAAAATAGTACTACCGATAATGACAATAAACACATAAATAACAATAACAATACTAATAATAATAATAGTAGTAATAATAATAAAATTAATAATACTACTAATACTCAGAATAAGAATAATAATAACAATAATAATAATAATGGGTGTCCTTTTGAAGCGCTGCGTTGTCAGGGTCCGAGGCACCGAAGCACGTGACGGTCGTGCTTCAGCCATGCGGGCTGCAGGGATGGCCGGTAGGTATTCCGGGCAGAGTCCTCGGTCCGGAGCTTCATTCCGGCTGCAGCCACGTGTGCGTCGCTTCGGCACAGACGCTGGCATGTGCTGCATAGGCCCGGCACCTTCATTTCCCGCTTCTCGTCGTGCGTGAAGGAGCGGGAGGACAGGTCATAGCGGTGGAACGGGTTGTTTAAGTGCTCCAGCACAGACCTCAGAACCACTTCTTGCAGGCAGCAGTCAGGACGTGCAAAGCCGGCAGAGAACGCCCCAAAGCTAAACCGAGATCCGCGCAAATCTATCTTTGGCAAAGCCATCTTCCTGGGCTCGAGAGGGTTAGGAACTAAGGTTTCAGGGTGTTCAGGGTGTTCAGGCACACATTAGGATGCCATCATGGCTCTGTCTGGCCGTCAACGGCTTGTCTGTCTCACCGCCCGGGGCATATGCAAGTGTTTGCCTCGGCACAAGAGCAAGTCACACGCAAATTACTCATGGAGGCGTGGGTCAAATGCTAATGCTGGAGCTCGTTACCTAATGCTAACAAGTACAGCTGGGATCCAATGTCAAGTCAACCCCGGCAGGGTCAGGAAGGACATGAAAGAACACATGATACGCGGGTCTTTCCCAAGACCCCGTTTATGCCCCAAATAGAAAGTGAATCCCCTTAAAGGGACCCCCTAAAAAGGGCACCCCCTATCTTCGGAAACCCCCACGTCAGCAAGGCAGGTGCGAGCAAAGGCGGAATCTCAGTGATTCCGAGCGGCTGTTTGGCGTTGTTTGTTCTGAGCTCATGGGGAACAAAGCCTCGGAAGCTCGAGCCGTGGAACACCGTGTGGGACTTAAGAGTTCTTGCTGGTAGAAGAGAGCCCCACTCTCCACCAAATAGTGAAAGGCGAAGGACTCATCAGGTGTAGTGCAGTGTAGGGCAGAGTGTCCGGTTTGGCAGAAACTCGGGCACCGGCCGGGCAAGAATGGCGCACCCGGGTTGGCGCGCGCTGACCGCGGCGTCGTCAGGGTCACCTCGGCGGTACAGTCAGGACGCCAGAGCAGCCACAAGTTATGGTATGAATTTTGCCACTGGGCACCACGAACCCTACACCCCAAAACCCTAAACCCTAAACCCCGAAACCCTAAACCCCAAAACCCTAAGCCCCCAATAAAACCTACGCAAGCTACATCCTTTGAGCCCAAGCACCGTGGCCATGGATGGCACAGAGCGTTGGGGGGGCCCGCACGTTTCTCGGACCGCGTGCTGCAGAGATCGGCGGGTGACGACTTCTGGGGGGGCAGGGGCGGGGGGGGGGGGGGGGGGGGGGGGGAATTAGGGTTTAGGGTTAGGGTTTGGGGCTGTTTTAGTTTTGGGTTTAGGGTTTACTACTGCGGGGATATTCTTGTTAACGGTTGTGGTTTAAAAGAAAGCTGTATCAAGAGAACTCGGCGCCTTGAGATCAACCATCGACTGCTGTGGCATCACATTAGCCCTCACTCATCCTATGCATTTTCCTCCGTTGCACGACTGCTTCGAACTCTGGGCATCTGTCGTGGTCCACCTGGGACCTGGTGGTTGTTCTACCTCAGGACCCTTTGAAACTTTCGGTGGAGAGGAGAGGGCCCTTTCCATAAAAAGAGTCTACGAACTTCGAAAGGGATCCGGACTTAGACAACCCCCAGCTGCCCTGGAAGTCAGGGCTGTACACTGTACAGGCGATCGTGCAAGGAGGGCCCACGGAGGGCAGGGGGAGAGAGGCCGTTTTCAACCTGGGCGTCCCTTTATGGGCAACTTGTAGAAGATGTGTCCCTCTGGAAAAGGGGAGAAAAAAAGCCCGACAGAGTGATCCTGCAGTAGAATTGAAGAACCCCTCAAAAAAAAGTGCGAATGTTGCCCTTCTAGGTATTTGAGGGTGGTAACAGGCCCCGCTCGCCCCCGAACGCACTCTCAAGTGGTGCCAGGACCTCTTCGAGGTCCCCTCGAAGCACCAAGCCTAAACCCTAAACCCTAAACCCTAAACCTAAACCCTAAACCCTAAACCTTCCCACTTCGGCTCAAGCCCCAGGAAGGGTCGCCGGTGGGTCGGAGCGGAGTTCACTGCGGAGGCTGCTCGCAGGGATCATCCTCGCCTTTCTTTAGGGTTTAGGGTTTAGGGTTTAGGGTTTAGGGTTTAGGGTTTAGGGTTTAGGGTTTAGGGTTTAGGGTTTAGGGTTTAGGGTTTAGGGTTTAGGGTTTCGGGTTTGGGCGTTTGAGTTGGGTTTCTTTTTTCGTCACCCGCCTAGCTGACACAGGGAACATAGTCTGGTCCACCAAAGAAAAGGCAAAAAACACTGCTGCCTCTAATGGCTTTAGGTTTAGGGTTTGTCACTCGCACTGCCAGCGCACTGCCGCAATCTGCAGGCACAAGTCGTGGAATCGTCTGTGTCACAGAAAAGATGCAAAACATTTCAAAATTCTTAAGAGCAGTTACACGGTCCCTTAGTATTGGCCCTTAAACGGGGGGCCCTTATATACCCTTTGTACAACCCAAGGGCCCTTACTTCAGAACCCTTTTAAGGGACCATATTGACCGTCCCAGACCCCAAATCCTAAACCCCTAAACCCTAAACCCCCATAACTACCCGAGCTTCTGAACTCTGAACTTAATAAAAAATTGCGATTGCAGAGGAGACAGAAAATACGATAGCTGTGCAACGGCCCAGGAGATCAGATTCCAACAGTCCCTTGATCTATCCTAAACCCTAAACCCCAAACCCTTTTTTGCAGCCGGACAACCCAAATCCCTAAACCCGAAACCCTAAACCCTAAACCCTGAACCCTGAACCCTAAATCTAAATTTGAAGGTCCCTCACCCCCTGCAGCCTCCAGCTCGATACCCTGGGAGATCCGCAAGCTCGATGCAAGGGCGTGCTGCTCGCCCACAGTAGGCATCCACCCAGAGCAGCCTGTAGGGTTTAGGGTTTAGGGTTGAGGGTTGAGGGTTGAGGGTTGAGGGTTGAGGGTTTAGGGTTTAAAGTTTAGGGGGGAGACCGCTATCCTTCTGCATCGTAATATCGGGGGCCTGTTCAACGAAAATACCCGACAGGAGAATGGTGTAGCTAGGAGTAATTACGTACGGAAATATGTCAGGGCCATAATGTTGAACAGCACCGGAATGAATGGGCGGAAGCTATGAGTCAAGGTTGGTCCCATCCGAGTAAGTTGGGCGCTGAAGATCATTGTCTCGCCAATTGCGAGGTGAAGGCATTGCCGGGGGATGTATTCAGGTAGGGCGGGAGAGTGGCTCAAACATTGCTTGAAGGATAAAGATACTTTCTAACCAAGTAGAACTGTCCTTATAACCCAGAGCATAACCATATTAGGGCACCCAAGGGGCTTACAAGTGGGTTCTAAGCACAGTTCAAATTGGCTACACTGAACCTCCAAGTGCCAAACCCTAAACCCAAAACTCTAAACCCTAAACCCTAAAAGTCCACCGTCTTCCGTTGTCCTCCCAGACAATGCCCGAATCGCCAGCCGAGCGTCCCAGAACCACGCAGGGAGTGCCCTGCGTGGTGGTGTGAACTTCCTCGGTTTAGGGTTTAGGGTTTAGGGTTTAGGGTTTAGGGTTTAGGGTTGGTACGTGGCTGGAAGCTGATGCAGCGTGCTTGCCAACGTGCCCGAACACAAGGAGCTTCAAATTCAAGCCCACCTACCCTCAAAAAGGGTCGATAGACTGATCGCACCCTCGTTTTGCTCCAGGACAGAACCCTAAACCCTAAACCCTAAACCCTAGACCCTAAACCCTAAACCCTGTTGGGAGTCTGTCAATGGCCAGACCGTCGCGGCTCCAGCGCAGCGCTCGGCCTCCAAAAGGATGGACAAAGCCTTCCTGCGAGCATCACGGCCCGGTGGTTCCCTACACATTAGGGTTTAGGATTTAGGGTTTAGGGTTTGGGGTTTAGGGTTTAGGGTTAGGGTTTAGCGTTTAGCGTTTAGGGTTTAGGGTGTAGGGTTCATTTTCGTGTTGGTCTACTCTCCTCTCCCTCGCTCTGCCGTTGCATCCAGAGGGTCTAGCAGCGCCAGGCAAGGCATGAGGCTCAGCCCTAACCCTTACTTTATTTGATTGCCGAATGATGCCTATATGATAATAACACTATGCTCCCCTACACATCTCCAGGGTTTTTTCCTCGAGTGCTCCGGGAAGGCGGTCCTTTGAAGCAGTGACCGGGCACCCTCGCAGGCCTGCCAAAGCGAGGCGGGAGCTTGATTCTGCTCGCACTCACCTCGCCCCAGCTGCCCTTTACATCAAAGAAAGAGAAAGAGAGAGAGAGAGAGAGAGAGAGAGAGAGAGAGAGAGACAGAATGAGAGAGGGAGGGAAAGAGAGAGGGAGGGGGAGAGGGAGAAAGACACAGAGGGAGAGAGAGAGGGAGAAAGAGAGAGGGGGCCAAGCAGAGCGCGCCTGCGTTAGGCTGAGAATCAGAAACCTGGGTCGGAGGTGCGGTCCGTCAGCAAGGCAGCCAAAACAATCTCGACAAAGGCTTTAGATATCTAAACAAAACAAAAAAGCTCATTCCCCAATTCTCCGATGTAGCAGAAAATGTGCTACCATAAATGCGATGGTCACGCCCAATGAGGCAATCTTACGAAGGAGATGAGCAGATGCTCTACACACATGCCTACTTCGGAGGGTAGTGCAGAACAAGGGTGGTGCAACACTGCTACGCAATCCGCAATAGAAATAGTAGTAGAAATCGCAATCGTAATAATTACTGGTGCAGCAGCGGGGCAACACACACACACACACACTCACAGAGAGACAGAAGGCCGCGGAACTGCGGGAGCTCCAGCGCGCTCTGGGCTGCACCTTCGCGGCCCTCGACCCCACTGGCCGCTTGCAGCTGCGCCTTCTGGGGGAGCAAAGCACGCAAAAAAAAGGGGCTTCAGGTTTCGGGCCGACCCTAAACCCGAAACTCGGGGAACCTTCGGCCCTTGAACCCCTCCTCCCTCAAGAACCCAAATCTACAAGGGAAGCCCTAAACCCTAAACCCTAAACCCTAAACCCTGAAAAGGCATCTTGGAAGAGAGACCCAGTCAAGCCTGTCTGGCACAGGTCATCTTGCTTCTCGTGATACATTGTTTCGGGTGAACCTATAGACCTTTTGGGGTATCTACTCTGAACAGGATGAAACCTCATTCTCAGGAGGCTAAAGTTCACAGTCCAGTTCTCGAATGGCTCCAGGATTTAGGGTTTAGGGTTTAGTGCCTAGTTTCAGGATTCTTTGTGCTTTGGGTTCCCGACATACCCTGCGCTCCAAACCACTCTGCATCGCAAACCTCGCCCCCGCCCCTCGCCCCTAAACCCAAAACTTTAAGCCGTAAACCCTACAGTAGCTAGCCCTTTTACACATGTCTGAGCTCGCCCGGGCCGTCCTCAACGCAGCACCAATGAGCTCAACCCGAAACCCCACCCACGCCCGTCTTCAGAAAGGCCCCCCACCCCCAAACCCGAAACCCTGAACCCCTTTGCCCTAGGTCTCTCTGACGTGCCTGGCCCTGAACCCCTAAACCCTAAACCCTAAACCCTAAACTGGAGCGAGCTGCGGGCGCTGCGATAAGCAGCAGCGAGCGATACCGCGTGGCGACAGCCCGCGGACGAGCCCGAGCCGTCAGGCGAAGCCTGGCGAGGGCTCGGGGCCAGTGCGCGCGGTGAGCGCGGCCCACGCATAGAAGGGTTGAACCCGCGTGCCAGCGTCAGTCTGGCCCCAAAGAGAATAACCCTAAACCTTCGGGTTTTAAGTTAAATCGCTCCATCCTTTAGGATTCTTGGGTTTAGGATTTAGGATTCTAGGCTTTAGGATTCTAGGCCTTTAGGATTTAGGATCTAGGGTTCGGGGCCTTTAGGATTTAGGATTCAGAGCCTTTAGGGTTTAGGATTCAGGGCCTTGAGGGTTTAGGATTCAGGGCCTTTAGGGTTTAGGATTTAGGATTCAGGGCCGTTAGGTTTAGGATTCAGGGCCTTTAGGGTTTAGGATTCAGGAGCCTACAAGCTTCCCGGAGCTGCCAAGGCTTTTTTGAAGCCCCCAGAGCCTCTTCGAGAGCTTTTCAAGCTGCTTCGGAGCCTTTTAGGGGCTCCTAAGGGTCACCCGGACCCCCGCGACCTTTTCACAGCCTAATTTTGGTCAAGGGGGGGTCGTATTTTTCCATTTTCAAAGCAATTTAGTATTCGGAGACCCCCCTTGCTCAAAACTCCGACCCCCCCTTGAAGGGGAAAGTTTGCCTCCAAAAACACCCCAAATGAGGGGGACCCCAGGATCGGCCCGGGTCCCAGTTAAAAGTGCGATTTTTTAGTACTGATATCGACGGTTCTGGGCGGGCTCTAAAACCGAGCCTTCACCGGTTTCAGGGTTTCAAGTTTTTCAAGGCTCTTCAAGGTTTTTCCAAGCTTCCCAGAGTTTCCCAGGGCGTTTTTGAAGCCACCAGAGCCTTTTCGATAGCTTTTCAAGCTGCTTGGGAGCATTTTAGGTGCTCCGGGGGGGTCGTATTTTTCCATTTTCAAAGCAATTTAGTATTCGGAGACCCCCCGTGCTCAAAACTCCGACCCCCCCTTGAGAGGGAAAGTTTGCTTCCAAAAACACCCCAATGAGGGGGACCCCAGGGCCTCTGATGAAGCCGCCCCGGCGACCTTTTCACTGTCTAATTTTGGTCAAGGGGGGGTCGTATGTTTCCATTTTTAAAGCAATGTAGTATTCGGAGACCCCCCTTGCTCAAAACTCCGACCCCCCCTTGAAGGGGAAAGTTTGTCTCCAAAAACACCCCAAATGAGGGGGACCCCAGGATCGGCCCGGGCCCCAGTTAATAGTGCGATTTTTTAGTACTGAAATCGACGGTTCTGGGCGGGCTCTAAAACCGAGCCTTCACTGGTTTCAGGGTTTCAAGTTTTTCAAGGCTCTTCAAGGTTTTTCCAAGCTTCCCAGAGTTTCCCAGGGCGTTTTTGAAGCCACCAGGGCCTTTTCGATGCTTTTCAAGCTGCTTGGGAGCATTTTAGGTGCCCCCCAAAGGGGTCACCCGGACCCCTGCGACCTTTTCACTGCCTAATTTTGGTCAAGGGGGTGTCGTATTTTTCCATTTTCAAAGCAATTTAGTATTCGGAGACCCCCCTTGCTCAAAACTCCGCCCCTCCCTTGAAGGGGAAAGTTTGCTTCCAAAAACACCCCAAATGAGGCGGACCCCAGGATCGGCCCGGGCCCCAGTCAAAAGTGCGATTTTTTAGTATTGAAATCGACGGTTCCTTTAGGGTTTAGGGTTCAGGACCTTTAGGGTTTAGGATTCAGGGCCTTTAGGGTTTAGAATTCAGGGCCTTGAGGGTTTAGGATTTAGGATTCAGGGCCTTTAGGGTTTAGGATTCAGGGCCTTTAGGGTTTAGGATTCAGGGCTAGGGTTTAGAATTCAAGCCCTTTAGGGTTTAGGATTCAGGGCCTTTAGGGTTTAGGATCGGCCTTGAAGGTTTAGGATTTAGGATTCAGGGCCTTTCGGATTTAGGATTTTTCGGGAAAACGGAGGGTCACCCAAAACCAGCGTTTTTCAGTACTAAAATTCGCACCTTTACTGCGGGTCCGGCCAAATCCTGGGGCAGGGCCTTTAGGGTTTAGGATTCAGGGCCTTCAGGGTTTAGGGTTCAGGGCCTTTAGGATTTAGGATTCAGGGCCTTGGAGGTTTAGGATTTAGGATTAAGGGCCTTTAGGGTTTAGGATTCAGGGCCTTTAGGGTTTAGGATTCAGGGCCTTGAGGGTTTAGGATTTAGGGTTCAGGGCCTTTAGGGTTTAGGATTCAGGGCCTGTAGGGTTTAGGATTCAGGGCCTTTAGGGTTTAGGGTTCAGGGCCTTTAGGGTTTAGGATTCAGGGCCTTTAGGGTTTAGGATTCAGGGCTTTAGGGTTTAGGATTTAGGGTTCAGGGCCTTTAGGGTTTAGGATTCAGGGCCAGGGTTTAGGATTCAGGGCCTTGAGGGTTTAGGATTCAGGGCCTAGGGTTTAGGATTCAAGGCCTTTAGGGTTTAGGATTCAGGGCCTTTAGGGTTTAGGATTCAGGGCCTTGAGGGTTTAGGATTTAGGGTTCAGGGCCTTTAGGGTTTAGGATTCAGGGCGTTTAGGGTTTAGGATTCAGGACCTTTAGGGTTTAGGACTCAGGGCCTTTAGGGTTTAGGGTTCAGGGCCTTTAGGGTTTAGGATTCAGGGGCTTTAGGGTTTAGGATTCAGGGCCTTTAGGGTTTAGGATTCAGGGTCTTTAGGGTTTAGGATTTAGGATTTAGGGCCTTTAGGATTTAGGATTCAGGGCCTTTAGGGTTTAGGATTCAGGGCCTAGGGTTTAGGATTCAAGGCCTTTAGGGTTCAGGGCCTTTAGGGTTTAGGATTCAGGGCCTTGAAGGTTTAGGATTTAGGATTCAGGGCCTTTAGGATTTAGGATTTTTCGGGAAAACGGAGGGTCACCCAAAACCATCGTTTTTCAGTACTAAAAAATCGCATTTTCACTACGAGTCCGGCCAAATCCTGGGGCAGGGCCTTTAGGGTTTAGGATCCAGGGCCTTCAGGGTTTAGGATTCAGGACCTTTAGGGTTTAGGATTCAGGGGCTTTAGGGTTTAGGATTCAGGGCCTTTAGGGTTTAGGATTCAGGGCCTTTAGGGTTTAGGATTCAGGGCCTTGAGGGTTTAGGATTTAGGGTTCAGGGCCTTTCGGGTTTAGGATTCAGGGCGTTTAGGGTTTAGGATTCAGGACCTTTAGGGTTTAGGACTCAGGGCCTTTAGGGTTTAGGGTTCAGGGCCTTTAGGGTTTAGGATTCAGGGGCTTTAGGGTTTAGGATTCAGGACCTTTAGGGTTTAGGATTCAGGGTCTTTAGGGTTTAGGATTTAGGATTTAGGGCCTTTAGGATTTAGGATTCAGGGCCTTTAGGGTTTAGGATTCAGGGCCTAGGGTTTAGGATTCAAGGTCTTTAGGGTTTAGGATTCACGGCCCGTTTCTGAGGCTCCCCCGGACTGTTTCTGAGCCTTTTTGTGCTCCTCCCGGACAGTTTCTGAGCCTTTTTGGGCTCCTCCGGACAGTTTGTTTTGGTGCTCCTCCCGAACAGTTTCTGAGCCTTTTTGGGGGCTCCTCCCGGACAGTCTCTGAGCCTTTTCGGGCTCCTCGGACCATTTCTGCGGCTTTTTGGGCTCCTCCCGGACAGTTTCTGTGCTTTTTTGGGCTCCTGCCGGACAATTTCTGAGCTTTTTTGGGCTTCTTGCTTCTTGAGCCTTTTTGGGCTCCTCCCAGACAGTTTGTGCTCCGGACAGTTTCTGTAGCCTTTTTGGGCTCCACCCGGACAGTTTTCGGGTTCCTCCCGGACAGTTTCTGAACCTTTTTGGGCTTCTCCGGACCATTTCTGAGCCTTTTTTGGGCTCCTCCCGGACAGTTTCTGAACCTTTTTGGGCTTCTCCGGACCATTTCTGAACCTTTTTGTGCTCCTCCCGGACAGTTTCTGAGCCTTTTTGGGCTCCTCCCGGACAGTTTCTGAGCCTTTTTAACCTCCTCCCGGACAGTTTCTGTGGGTTTCGGACCGTTTCTGCCTCTTCCAAGCCATTTCTTTGAACTTCTCCCGGACCATTTCTAAACCTTTGTGAGCTTCTCCCAGGCCATGTTTTTAGGTTGTCGCACATGCTTGGCGAACGATCTGCCCAACAACCATAGAAAAAACCCTAAACCCGTCAAGGTTGAGATTTGGGTGGGTGGGTTGGGAGAGAGCGTGAACCTAGGCGCACACCACAACACACGTCCCGCGTGGTGGTGTGCGCGGAACATGAGAAACCCTAAACCCTAAACCCTAAACCCCTCCAACCTGGAGGATCCTCGCTGTCCCCCGCGTCAAGCTGCGAAGGGCATTTCGGTCCTCCACGTTGTGGGGTTTGTTGGGTTTCTTTTGGGTTGGCTTTGGGATGTTTAGGGTTTAGGGTTTAGGGTTTAGGGAACATCCCAAGGTTTGCAGGGTTTGGGGGTTGTGGTGGCTTTTTGTAAGCTTATGATGGGGTGCTTGCTGGGGTGATATGGTTGCTGGGCTTTACGGTGTATAGTTTTGAGCTGAAAAGGAAGTCCCCCCCCCCCCCCCCCCCGCAAAAATACACAAAAACCAAAAAAACAACAAAGGTGATACCTTAAGTTACTCCCGACACTTTCGAGTCCCTACCACTATAGGAACCCCAGGAGGGTAAGCACTTTTTTGGGACACCTCGCTTTGCAGGGGCTCCCCCAAGAAACATATTTTGAACGGGTTCACCACCCTCCGGCAGCCTGAACCTACCCTAAACCCTAAACCCTAAACCCTAAACCCTAAACCCTAAACCCTAAACCCCAACGCATGCAGAAAAAGAGGCCCCGGCCTTCGGGCCCGCGGGGCACCAAAGCACGGGAAGATCCTGGCACCATGGCTCCGAGGCCCTTCGGGTAGAGTTTAGGGTTTAGGGTTTAGGGTTTAGGGGTTTAGGGGTTTAGGGGTTTAGGGGTTTAGGGGTTTGGGGTTTAGGGTTTAGGGTTTGGGGTTTGGGCTTTAGGGTTTCTGCTTTAGGGTTTAGGGTTTAGGGTTTAGGGTTTAGGGTTTAGGGTTTAGGGTTTAATCGCTCACACTCGGACAAGCCAGGCGAGGCACACGGGTTCAACAGTCTCAACATCGGCTCTGCAGCACATGTGGCCACAGTCATGCTGGTGATACTACTCAACACTCACTGTTTGCTAACTGGTGAAATGCTCATTGACTAGTGAAACATATCCAGGACACGTCAGTACTGCTCCTCGACACCATACTTCGCCATCTTCTGTGGTGGCGGGCGTTCAAGCCACACAGGGCAGGAGAGAAATGGTCGACCCCAGAGCCCTATACATAGTTCAGATAGCTTGCTAATCCCCTATTACTCTGCCATTTCTCCCCCCATGGGATTCGTCCTCTTTGCCCCGGCATCATCTGTGCTACGCCCCTTCGCTGGCTCTTCCTTCTGCCCATATCTCTGCCCAGTGCTGTCTCCGGTCGGTCACGTACCCTCCCGCTGTCATCATCTCGTCATTGTCTGGCACGCCCTGGAGCCTAGGCCTCAGCCTACTGTCAGCGAAGTCACTTGGTTCCTTGGCTGAGGCTCGCCATCTTCGAATTCTGCTTGAATTCCTGAATGTTGACTCGAATTCCTGAATTCCAGCAGCCAAATTCCTGAATTCCATCAACCATCCTCCTCCCCAGGCGCCCTCCGCCATTCCTCTCATGCAGTGTCATGCATACCATGCCATGCAAGCGCGCCATCAGGCAGACCTCAGTCCGCTGTAGAGCCGCGCCCCATGCAAGCCATTTCGTGCCATCTCACAGCCAACTGAACCATCGTGCCGCGTCGGATGCAGCTGCGCAGGGGACGCACCCGCGTTGGATGCAGACATGCAGGGGCGAATTCGCCTGCTCACCACACGGACGCCTCGCCTTCTCCTCAGCTGTTAGCTCGCCAGCTCCCACGGGCTCCGCTATGTTTTGCTGAGCCTGGACAGGTGGTCGTGTGCGACCATGGCAGCGCAGGAGGGTGAAACCTCTAATAACCCTACATCCTGAAAGTGTAACCCTGGTATATCTGTGCCCTGTACTACTCATGACCTGTGCACCTATTCATGACGTACGAACAACGCTTAGCTTACCGAGCTCAGGCGGGGGTACCGTTCTCACGTGTCGGTCCTCTCCCTCCCCCCCCCCCCCGTCAGTTGGTCCCTTTGCCGTTGTCCCGACCCCGGGCCATGGCGGCGGGGCTCTCGCCAGTAGCCCCGGTCTGCGTGCTGGCGTCTGCCTGTAATGTTTCCCTGTTGCACCGCGCGCAAGTCAACAACTCACCACACACAGCGCAGCATACAACCGACACACTCTCCGTCTCTGGGTTTAGGGTTTAGGGTTTAAACCGGGGGGAGGGAGGGGTGAGGAAGGGGGGCGGGGAGAGGGGGGCGGTTCCGGGCATTGGGCATCGGAGGTCGGGCTCTCAACCTGCCACACATGGCGGAGCCACTCTACGGGGGAAGGGCAACGTCAAGCTTTAGGCGCGTGCTCTTTGCAGGGAAAGCCTGTACTAAAACAGGGGGCTTGATAAGTAGAGTAAGGTTTTGACAGGTTCTTGCAGTGTTTAGGGACCACCAGGGAATACGATGAGCAGTTGCCCTTTTTAGGGGGTTCACCGGGTTGGCCGCTCAGAAACGTGCGTTTTCAGCGACGGCTTCAGGAACCCAGGGTCGGACTAGGGCCGAGTGTCGAAGCATTTCGGTGCCTTGCGACTCGGTCCAGCTCACCTTCACACAGGAGTTTGCGTCCCAGATGGCCTTCGATCTCCTTCACTTCCTCCAGAAACCTCTGGAAGTACTTCTGGAAGAGGTGCTCATCTTGCTCCGTCAGCCGTTTCAGGGCCGGCAGCGCACTGCGACTGATCTGGATGTCGTAGTCAGGCGCGCTGGTGTCCTCGTACTTTCTGTTCGCGCAGGCGAAGCACCAATCGGGCACCGTTCCCCGTACGTGATAAGCAAAAACGCAACTGGAGAGGTCGAAGAGATCAGTTATGGCAACGAAGCTCGGCTGCACGTCCAGCAGATGCAGGAAGCAAGACTGGAAGTTGATCGGCCGATAGCAGCCCTTGTACGGCCCATGCTCGGCGACGCAGCCCTCCGTTGGAGTAAGGTTGTCCCCTACCTTTGCGGCCCAGTGCTGAAGCCAGTGGTCCAGCGTCCACTCCGACGCCTTGTGTATGCGCGTGTGGCATTCGTGGAAGAGGGAGACGACGTGGCGCGCTGGGGCTCGCAGCGCGGTGCTCACCCAGTCACCCTGACAGTAGTGGTCCGCACGCTCCGAGTGATGAAGGAAGCAGGGCTCGGGTTCCGTGGAGCAGCTGCCCTCCTCCCAGTCCAGGCTTCGGCACCGGCTGCTGTTGACGCGCTTCAGAAACGCCCCCGCCAGGTTGATGGAAGTCTTGGGGACATGGTAGTGGAAGCAGCGGGGCAGGGAGGCGGGCGCTGACCCAAGCTGGAGCAAGGCCCGGCTGGCGCAGTCCTCCGCAAGCTCCGTGCCCAGCCCCTGCAGAACAGCGACCATTGCAGACAGCAGCCTCATGGAAGCAAGGCGGAAGGAAGTGCTTTCGCAAAATCTTCCCCTCCCCCCCAGGATTAAGACTCGAGATCATGTTGAAAGAAGGCTCGGCTGTTGGACCCTGCACGGTTGGTTGCCTATACGTGCGTGTGTAAGGCTTTCTGGGCCATTCTTGAGTTTCTCAAGCTCGAGCCGATAGCTACGCGAAATACATCATCGACCATACTTCACCCTTCATCGTCACTTCTAGACTCCCCGAAGCCACGAGCCACTCGGACTCAACAATCCCGAAGGCCAGCCCGTCCACCCCTGCAGAGGGCCTGTGCTGTTGAGGATGCTATGCCGGCCTCCGCAGGGCTGTGCAGAAGGGTAACAGCAAGAGGGTCACAAGCTGTGGTAACTGTGGTTCTCACGCTCGAGAAGGTATGCAGTTACATACAGCCCTACGCCTACTACCTCTGAACCTTCAGAGAAGTACGGACGGTTGAAACCCGCCTTCTGCAGCTGGGCTCCCGCCAGCGGCCACTCCCAGCGCCCCAGCCGCTCGTAGAAGGATGAGGTGAGGTCTTGCCTGGCAATGCTATTGGCAATGCTGAAGGGACTTCAAGGGTATGGCGGGCTACCGAAAGTAGGGAAAATCTTCTGGGAGGTTCCTGTAGTACTACTTAAAAGCAGCTGCATGCTACCCGAACTCCACCATCGATGCGCGCTAAGACAAAGCATGGGGGGGGTGGTGGGGGGGGACCAGAAGCGCAGTCGGCAAGGGCTGATAGTTGAGCCGTCGATGTGCGCTAAAGCAACTGGAGCTATCTGCTGCCAACCTGAGAGCGCGAGTCCACCCAGAACTACCACCTGCTTCACCAGAACCAGAACCAAAATAGTAGAGGAGCTGCCTGCTTTCACTGGGCTCGTGGAACCAATGCACCACCTGATGAACGGACTTGGGGGGTTTATGGCGGTTTCCGAAAGCCTTACTATGAGGAAACTCCTACTCTGTAGGCAGGGTCCCCTACTTTCGTAAACCTCAACTTCGGGTTCGGCACTGTAGGTCTCAGGGGAGGCCCTGGGGAGGGTTTAGGGTTTAGGGTTTAGGGTTTAGGGTTTAGGGTTTAGGGTTTAGGGTTTAGGGTTTAGGGTTTAGGGTTTAGGGTTTAGGGTTTAGGGTTTAGGGTTTAGGGTTTAGGGTTTAGGGTGCGGAGGGCACTCAGGAGTGTTAGGGGATGTTGGCTGCTGGGACCTCGCCCTGGGTTCCCTAAATACACAGGCAACAAGGGTCTGTCCACCATTATGCTGGCACAATAGTCTATTAGTATATGGAAATATATATCAGCTTACATAGAAAGATATATTGTTTTTTACATGTATGAAGAATACACATATATATATATATATACATATATGTGTATATATATATATATGTACGTATGTATGTATGTATGTATATTCTTATATTCGTATAGTGATATTGTTATGCTGTTATATTAAGATATGAACATGCTATATAGCACCAACCTTCCGGGAGTCGGCTAGTTGCGGCCTTCGGAATGATGAGTAGGGTAGCATGGCCGAAGTGTGACCTTCACCTTTTTGCACTCTCTTGCAGTCGGTGGTCTCTTCTTGCATCCCGCGCGATGCTGCACTTGTGCCACGGAGCGGAGTTCAATGATACACAGCCAGGACCCAGGTGGTCCAAACACCCCAAGCATCTGTTGCGCTATGCTACGGGGGAGTCCACGGAACTGCTGCCAGCTACAAGTCGTGGTTGTGTTTTTGTTTGCCCCAAGGTCTTTCTTGGGCCAGTGCAGCCACTGCAACTCTGATGATGGACTCCCTTCCTGAACCGGTTAAGAGGACCAGAAGCGACCAGAAGATACCGTCTGAACAGAAGCTAGCATCACCCAACGCCTAAGAACCGAACCCAAGCAAAAGCCTACAGGCCGTGGCAGTCGCGGGATGCCAGCTAGGCCGTCTATCACCCGCCGGAAACGATCATAGCATCTGGGCACCCAAGGAGAGGTCCTTGGCCCAGAGTAGAGAAAGGCAAGAATATGAGAACATGTATGTATAATTATAGGTGTTTCTTATTCTTCTAATCGTCAATCACACCTCTGGTTCTAGAGGCTTCTTGGGGGACAAACGGAAGCGGGGATTCTCCGCTCAGTTTTAAGCTTTGTTTGTTTCATGGGGCGTTTCTCAAGACGGCTGCAATGGCAGGGATAGACCTCGGAAGGGCCCAGCACGGAACAAACTACCTGAAAGTACGCTGTAAGCTGCTGCTGAAGTGCCTAGGACGATCCGCCCGACATCTTCATGCCAATCACAACGATCACGACCACGACGGCAATAGCGCCGATGATGAGCACCGGGTTCCTTGCACAGCGTTGGACGACCCTAAACCCTGAACCCCTGGGTAAATCCTCGCGTCCTACCAAGATTGCACGAGGATGATAATTGAAAACCTGTGAACCGAAGCCCGAGTTCGGACCAAGTCGGTTGCTTGCCACCTGCCTGGCAGCCTCGCTAGGCAGGAACCACACTGCAGGGACGCAATGAGTCCACAATGTCAGTTTAGGGTTTCCACCTTTCGGGGTTTCGGGGGGTCGAGGGTGAACTCCACAGCCTCAACCCCAACGCCACAAGAAACCCGGAGACTTCAACCCCAGACCCGTGCTTCGACTCTCACGCTCGCGCACGGCAAGGGCAAGGGGGTTTGGGAAGGTCTCGATGGATGCAGGCGCCGCTCTCTTTGGGGGTTTTCGAAACTAGGGGGGGTGACCTTATTGGGATCCTTTTTTTAAAGGTGATCCTACTATTTGAGGGAATATTTTAGGGGGCCCCTGATTATCGAAAACCCCAATTTGTGAGGGGTGGGCGTGGTGTTGTTGCTTTCAGGCTTGCCTTGGGGACGATCTGAACCCAAAAAAAGGTTTACAAAAGGGTTTATGGTTCATATACCTTAGTAGGGATTACAGTAGTAGAGGGTATATGACGCCAATTTTCTATACTCCCCTTAGAACCTTATGAAAAACAATATTTTTAACATCCTCTTGGATTTCATATAATATAGACAAAAAAATACCCAAGGGGGATATAGTTTTAGGGTTCATTTGGTCCCCAAGGTAAGGCCAGGCTTGACATCGGGAACTCTGCTGGCTCCACGCGCCTCAGAGCCCACCCTAAAAACCTAAACTTGGGATGCTCCCCCTCTGAACCAACAGTCGTTCACAGGGATTCCAGTGCTCCCCTACTATGATCCCTTTTAAGAACTATATTCGTAGAAGGGGGGGGAACATCCCCAACTAAAAACCCCTATGAGACACCCTAAACCCCAAACCCTAAACCCCAAACCCTAAACCCCAAACCCTAAACCCCAAACCCCAAACCCCAAACCCTAAACCCCAAACCCTAAACCCTATAAACCCTATAAACCCTATAAAGCCTAAAGGCCCTAAACGCGCGCCGAGGGTCAGGCCGTCCCCGCCCCCGCCCGGGGTCCCGCCCTGCACGCCGTGGCGGGCCCGGAGCTGTGAGGCTGAGAGCTGGTCGTCCTTGTCAGTGCCTGCTGTTTTTTTTTTCTGAATGGTTACGGGGGGGGGGGGGGGGGGGCCTTTCATAATTAGAATACACACACACACACACACACACACACACACACACACATATATATATATATATATGTATACATACATACATATATATATATTTATATATATATATATATCTATTTATAGAGTTCCTGTTTTTTGCAGGGGGGGGGGGTCCTTGTACGATAACTTAAGGGGATACCTATACTAAGAGAGCTTGTTTCAGGGCTTCTTGTAGGTCTGCCATGGTCTGGAGCTCAGGATTTAGAGCACTATTGCTTTCGGGTGCGGTGTGGTGTTGCGTGGCCATTGTTTCGGGTCTTGCGTCCCTTGACGCCAGGGAGTTCGCGTCCAGATGGTCTGGATGCTTCAATCCTGGGGTGGCGCTAGTGGTCCAGGTGCTGCATAGGGGTTATTGCTTCAAAGCCCCAGGCGAGCCTTGCAGCTCTAGAAATTCCTCAGCACGAAGTCACAGGTCCCAACATCGGCAGCATCAATACGCGAGCCCTGAAAAGTTAGAGAGGCTCACGACTCTGTAAGAAAGCTCCGGGAACTGTAAGATCCCCCCCCTGCCACCTCCTGCTTGGTAGCGCCTGCGAAGCTCCCCCCTGTCAGGATCAACTCAGGCAGCAAGGATCGGTGCACGCGGTGCAACAAGAACTGAGCTCGACGAAGAATTATTGTTACTGCTTGATATCAAGTATCAAATAGAGTCATCTTGGATGAATTAATTTTTGCACATGCCCCAAAAATGGGGGTGGGGGTGGGGGGTGGGTTGGGGTGGGGGCTTGGGCTTCTAGGGCAACTACACCAAAAGGGGGACATATGAAGAAGAAAGCCAGAGAAAACCACACCCTCGCCACCCGAGGGTTTTCGCGGGTCATGACTGCATTTCTGAGCCCTGAACTTTAACTTTTTAGGAGAAGCAGCGCATGCATTTTTGACGTAAAGGAGTCAGATATTGTGAGGCTCAAGCGCCAGGGTGACATACTTGGGCTTTTGCCTGTATTCTGCAAGCTCCAGCATTTGTTCTGAAAGGGAATTCCGAAGGCTACACACAAATTGACCACGGCCCGACTCGACCAAGTTGCGCGGACTGCTGATCATCTGCCATGTCCTTAAGACAAGGGCATCAAGGCCATATGAGGGTTTACGAAAACATGGGAGACTTAACATAGACCCCCAAACAGTAGGATTCCCTGATAATCAGGACCCAAATGAGGCACCCCAATTTCGGAAACTGCCATATTGCCAGGCACCGGGGATGGAGCATGAGCATCTTAAAGCATCGCAACCAGACAGACACACACACACACACACACCCATAGATGAATCTACCTCTCTTGTTTTGAAGTATAAGCTCTTTCTACGTGACATGGCATGGATTCTCAAACGTGCCTTTGCCTTGACGAAACACTCCTAACGAACAAAAAAAAGCACCTCATGATCCACCGAGACACTCCGGAAAGTGGAGGGGAAGCTCGTGCGGCCGCGGTTGGCTGGGCAGATTCCCGCTTGGAGTTGAAACGGCTGGCGGTCATCTTTCAAGCGACAGGCTCTGGAAAGAGAATGCGCGGAAGCTTCTAGACATACCCACTCTCCACGCCCCCCACTCCAACTAGTCAAGAACCCGACACGACTCAAAACACTGTGATGTCCCGAGTCAGCCCTGATCAAACCCCCTGGCGCCCTAAACCCTAAACCCTAAACCAGGCTAGCAGCTCGTTATTGTGAATAACTTCGAGAGGTGGCTTCTTGAATCCTGGGTCATATTCCCGATGCCACTCTCACCACTCTCACCCCTACTCGGCCACAAAATTATCGTGGCCGCTTTGACTCGAATGGCAGTTTGGGTCCGCCCATTGCACCTCGGCCAGGGCAAGCAGTGCCCAAGCGAAGCCGCCCGGAAAGCCGAAGGACGTGCCCAGCAACTGCCTCTGCCTCTGCAGTGGTTTACAGGTTTATGGGTTTAGGGTTTAGGGTTTGGGGTGTAGGGTTTTGGGGTTTAGGGCTTAGGGTCTATAGGCTCACACTAGGGCTGTTGCAGCCTAGCTCGCCTCAGCTGCAGGAAAGCTTCTCGCCAACCACAACGAATGCTGGACAAGCGGCAGAATTGCGGGGTTCAGGTTTGGGGTCCTGGCATCAAGACGCGCACGCCCTCACCCTCTGACCAGCGAGCGGCCACAACTCTTTGAGGATCATTGAGGCGTTGAGGGTTGGAGAGGTAAGGTTCAGGTCTGCGGCATCTCTGCACAGAATGACAACCCTTTGGAGCTGCAAGTTCCGAAGATCAAGGGACTAAAGGAGGGACCCTTACAAGTGACCTTTGGATAAGGTATATCTAGGGGTTCTATAGGGGAATTAGATTCCGTTTACCCCTTAAGAGGACACCCCCTGGCCTTGCCCAGAGCTTCACCTCCTTTGCCAGGCCGCGGAATGCCGCGACGGCCTCCTGGGCCAGGTATCTTTTCCGTGGGCGCAGCTTCCAGCGAGAGGATGAAGTTGAGGGCAACAACAACAGGGCACAAACTGATAATAACGCAACATTATTAATTTCAAGTTAACATAATATCATACCATAATAACATGAGAATACACACACATATCCATATATACATATATACAAATATGCTATACTTGGTATGTATAGCCCAACATGTGAGGTCGGCTTCGGGAGGGCACCCTTTGTCAACTGCTGCACCTCAGCTTGGGAAAAAGAGTCATTCAAAGAAATGGCACGATGCGCTTTCATGAAAGTAGGCTTTCTTTCGGCGGCTCTCTCAGAAGATGCTCAGTTGTCCAGTACCTAGGGGTTTTAAAGGTTAACCTTTGGGAATATAAGGGGAATGTATTAACCCAAAAAGGTTAAAGGTTACCTACTCTACTGCTAAGGATGGGCCCAACTTCTGCCATGAAATGCTGTGAACAGGCGTGCGTGCGGAGCATCGCTACTGCGCACCTGAGAGGCCAGACCCCAGAGTAAGCTAGGAATCAAAAGGGAGCCCTTTTTTGGTTTAAAGGGGCTCATATAAGGGGAATCAGGGCCTACTCTGGGTCCTAGTAGCCCTAAACCCTAAACCCTAAACCCTAAACCCCACAAAAGAAGCCCGTCCTCGCCCCCAGCAGCGAAGGCGGCCCGGAGCAGGGCCCAGGCGTCCAGCGCAGCGGAGAGCCCCGCCTCAATACTTCTTGAGGGCTTTTGGGGTTTTTAGGGCCGTTTGGGGTTTAGGGTTTAGGGCTTAGGGCTTAGGGCTTATTGTAGTTGCTTTGGCACCCGCCTGGCTGACGCTCAGGCCACATTGCAGGGACTCATTCCGGGGATTTTTCATCATTGAAACAAGTGAAAGACCTGCGCGCAGTCATGACCTCAACCATCCAATCCCCATGTGTCTCTAAAACATGTGGCATCCAAACACATCGTCCTGTACTGCATCCTTTCTCCATCTTGGCACAATCTCGGATGCCTCAATCCACTAGGCACACATTACAGTCATTACAGTCCCAGCGTCTGCAACCGTTTAGGGTTTAGGGCTTAGTGACATTCAGGCCACGTAGGGCCAGGGGTTAGGGTGCATTGGAGGGCTTAGGGTTCTACACGGCGCCTAGCAGACAGTGCAAAAAAATTGTGAGTTTTGGGGGAATTGAGGATTCAGCCCGGAGCGCCGTCCATGTCTTCGCAGCTTTGCGTCGCCCCCTAAACCCTTTTGCAACAGGCTTCGCAGTTCGCCTGGATTGCCCTCAGATCCCAACCTCCTCGACTGTGTGGCGGAGGCAGGACACAAGCAGTCGCTCTTCGAGCAGACTACCAAGGACCCTTCACCTTACCGAGAACAACTGGTTGAAAGGAAAGCTAAGCTCCTGCTGTACAAGTTTCCGTGACAACTGTGCAATCTGCGTCATGAGTTGCATCGAGTCGACGTGCTTGCATGCGAGCCTCCCGTCGTTGCTGTTTCAATACCCTCCTTTGCGCCGCATGCGCCTCCCTTAGGCCTTGCAGGGAATGAGGTTCTGAAGTTGATGTTGCCGGATACCTCGAACATGAGGAGCGTGACAAACTGTCCGTCCGGAGCAAGCTCGCCCTCTCGCTCGAAATTGCACCGGCATTAGCTCTATCCACTGGCGAGGATGCTGACAGACGTTCGTACTGTTGCTCCATAATCGCCAACCGACTTTGTAGATGAGCAAGGGACTGGTCATCAGATAAAATGGTCCACTGCTGCTCCATGCGCTCAAGTTTCTGTGCGAGGTCAGCCACGGACCGTCGGGACCCTAAACCCCAAACCCTAAACCCTAAACCCTAAACCCTAAACCCTAAACCCTCCTGAGCCCTGCTTCCGCGCCTGCGGTGGCGAGCCAGGCTCAAAAAGCAGTGCTTGCAGCGTCCTGGAGACTCTTGAGGCACGGCTGGAACCAGGGCACGGGGTTGTGACATGCTTGGGCCCCAAAAAAAAGAAAAATACCTAGGAAAAGTACTGGTGTGGCAAAACAAAACGAAGAAACTGTTGTCACAGAGTCCGGAACAGTCCAACACTGTGGGGGGGCCCTAAACCCTAAACCCTAAACCCTAAACGGGTCTGTAGCCCAGGCTCTCGTAGGCGTTGTCACAGCCACCGGCATGGCTGCTGCGCAGCAGAGGCAGGTGCTCCTCCGCGAGCCTGGCGAACTGCACCTCGAACTCTTTGCCGCCGGCCTGGGCCCAGGGGATCGACACCATTTAGGGTTTAGGGTTTAGGGTTTAGGGTTTAGGGTTTAGGGTTTAGGGTTTAGGGTTTAGGGTTTAGGGTCACAAGCAGTTCGCCAACAGGGGCCCCCCAAGAGCTCGTGGCTCGTGGTGGACCCATGCCAAGTTGCCGGACCATGCATTAAAAATCCCGAACCCACAAAGCAAAGAATCTCTAACCCTCACACACTAAAAACACCGGAAGCAACCATCTGACTTTTGCAACGCCTGACCCACAAGCAACACTCGTCGACGCCACTTTCTTCATCCCAGGACCCTTCGCACTAGCTCGCTTTTTAATTCTTACAAGCGCGCCCTGGACCCTGATCTCTGAGCCTTCAACCCTGAACCCTCAACCCTGCAACCCTCAACCATGAACCCTGAACCCTGAGCCCTCCACCCCTCAACCCTGCAACCCTGCCACCCTTTTGCAACTGGACTCCTGGCTGCCAGGATCCGAAACCCTTCCTCGAAAAACCCTCAACCCTGCGACCCTGCAACCCTGAACCTTGCCCAACCCTTCCAGAAATTGCCGGGGCCGCGCTGCCTGGAACTTCAGCAGGGGCACCGCCGCATCCTCTGCCATCTCTACAGCCACACCCAGGCCTCCATGGAGAAGCTGAGGGGGGCACTTGGTGCGAAGTCGGATTTCGGTGTGCTGGGCTCTTAGATGGGCCCTGACATTGGGTAACCCTTCTAGACCGCTTAGATGCATATGTATCTGTATATGTATACATACATATATATATATATATACATGTATCCTTACTTTCTGAATCGGAAGTCCACATATCCGTGCTGCGGCTACCATCCGAGGAGTGATGGGCGTCGCACTTGACCCTTGACCTTCGCGAGGCCTTCCAGCTCGCGGAGGGCCAAGGAGAAGTACTGCGAGCTGGTGAGCTCTGCCGAACACGCCTCGAGCTAGCTTGTGACCCTGAACCCTAAACCCCTAAACCCCTAAACCCCTAAACCCCTAAACCCCTAAACCCTAAACCCTAAACCCTAAACCCCGACGCTGTGGCAGAGCAAGGTCGCCTCCTCTACCACAAGACAGGTACTGCAGTTTAATTTACCTGGGGGCATGATCTTGATGTACCACAGCGGTCAAGGCGAGCCAGCAACAGAGACTCAAGCCGGATTCTAGGGTTTAGGGTTTAGGGTTTAGGGTTTAGGGTGAAGGGTTTAGGGTTTAGGGTTTAGGGTTTAGGGTTTAGGGTTTAGGGCTCAAAAACCCCCAACATCAAGATGCCGACGTTGCCTTGATTGGCCTTCCTGATGCCTTCGGCCAAGGCACGAGAAGATCCACATCGCTCCCCTTGGCTAGAAGCCCCCAGGAAACAAGGCCACCTTGACACCGCCTCTGCCGTGTTCTGGAATCCTGAGCCCTTCTTTCCCCAAGGTGTGCCGCACTCCCTAAGCTCGAGGCCCTCCGCCCATGTGATGCACATTTGTTGGCACCCGACAACCTACCCTGAACCCTTGTGAAGCACACCGCGCGAAACCCTCAGCCAGGCCATGGATCCAAGAATTGGGATGTTCCCCCGGATACTAACAGTCCTCAATAGAATGCCTATGAAGGACCGCTGGTATAAGGAGGAACATCCCAACCCTAGACCCTAAACCCTAAACTATGAGTCCAAGAACCACAAAGTGGAAAGGGTGTTAAGTCGATCAGGGCCGCGGCATCTGCAATGCCCAGGGCCGAGGAGCCCAGAAGTACGACCTCCCGGGGCGTTTAAGGCCTTAGGAAGCGCTTTAAAAAAAGGGTTCGTGGGCTTTTCGGGTTTAGGGTTTAGGGTTTAGGGTTTCGGGTTTAGGGTTTAGGGTTAGGGGTCTAGGGCCGATGCAGGGCCTTAAGAAGGGGCTGGAAGGGGCTTCAACGGGCTGAATCGTGAGGTTTTGAGCGATCGCGAGGTGGCCAGGTCAGGACAAATCCGAACCGTTTCTTGCAGCGGGCATGGCTCTTCCCAGTGTCTTTGCTGTCTTTATCTGTCTTGGCGCTGCCTCTGACGTTCTACTGAGGTTTGTGCCGGGTTACTGGAACACCTGGCTCACACACAGCAACATGGTAAGCGCTCACAGGGACAGGCTAGCGAATGAAAGCTGTCAAGCTGTCAAGTAACAAACCCTCAAACAAACCCTCAAAACCCTCAACAACCCCTCAAAACCCTCAACAAACCGATAAGCCCAACATGCTGCAAACCCTAAACCCAAAACCCCCAAAACCCCCAAACCCTCAAACCCCTCAAACCCCAAAAAACCCCCCAAAAACCCCCCAAAAAACCCAAAAAACCCAAAAAACCCAAAAAACCCAAAAAACCCAAAAAACCCAAAAAACCCAAAAAACCTAAAACCCCCAAACCTCCCCCCCCCCCCCCCCCCCCCCCCAAAACCCCTAAAACCCCAAAAACCCCTCACCCTAAAACCCACAAACGCCTCGAGGAGTGGCCGCCCTTGCAGCGCCAGGGCCGCGAAGACGGCCTCGGGCACCTGGGGGGCTCCGCAGCTCGGGGGGACTTGTTGCGGGAGTCCTCGTTGAGAAGGGCTTTAGGCATTTAATGGCTTCATAGGGTTTTAGGGTGTTGGGGGTTTGGGGTTTTGGGGTTGAAGGTTTTAGGGTCTTAGGGTTTTAGGGTGTTAGGGTTTTAGGGTTTTAGGGCTTTAGCTAAACCCTAAACCCTAAACCCCAAACAGGCAAAGGGGGGGGGGGGGGGACGCAAGGGCGCCTCATCCTCGGGCGCCCGGACGAAGACTTGGCAACCTTTGCTCTTTCAGTGGGCCTTGGGCCTTGCAGTTTAGGGCGTTTTTTTGGTTCGAGGGTTTCGGGTTCAAGGGTTTTGCAGCTTGGGTTTTGGGGTTGTGGGGTTTTGGGGTTTTGGGGTTCCGGGGTTCTGGGGTTCTGGGGCTTTGGGGTTGTGGGGTTGTGGGGTTGTGGGGTTTAGGGTAGTTTTCAGCCACAGCACCGGCCATTTGCAGCCGGCTGGCCAGGGGTTTCGGGACCCTTCTCATCTGCTGCACTTGGCCGCAAAGAACACAACACGCCAAAGTGGTCTGAGGCGAACCTTGGGCTGCTCCGGGGCAGGAAGGTTGGAAGTAATTAAAGGGTCTTCGTTCCGGCCAAAATGCACAAGGTAATTACTGCACACAAGGGCTCCCCAAAAAGCATTCCTGAATGCATCCTTGGCAGCCAGTCGTCAGGCGCCTCTCGCTTTGCGGGGCCACGCGCCTGCGCGCAGACTCTCATGTCGTGGACGTCTGCACGGCTTAGCGAAGCAAGGCTCAGACACCCTGTCCGCTGCAACGCGCGTTCAAATCTGAGGCCGCGTCAACGGGAAAGCTGCGCGTGCACACCAGCTCAGCACAACAGCGCCACTGCCCAGTGTCGGAGTGGAGGTAGATGCGGTCCTGTCTTCAAGGCAGGGGCACACCTTCGTGCTGAATGATTCATGTCTTCTTGCCTCCGAATCTTGCATCTCATCAGCTCGTCCCCGAGAACCCTTCTTTCCAGGGAACCCCGGTCCAGCCGCCGGGGCTCGAGTGAACCGCCCACAGCGGTGGCCACGCGCCGCGCGACGGAGTTCCTGAAAGCCGCATGTCGCGTGCTTCTGTCAGAGGTCATGCCTGCCTTACCCAGAGACTCCAATACCCCTTAGTTAGGGCACATTCCTTAAACCATACAAGGAACTCCAGATTTATTTATGGAGTCTTCCTTAATCAAGGGGTATTGGAGGGCACTTCCTGAAAGATCGAGGCACCGTGTGGGGTCGAAGGTGTGCCCCGGGTTGTCGGGGTTCGCCTCCTGCCAGACATCCACGAAGTTGGTCCTGCGCGGGTTTGGAGCCAAGGCTGTGGCCCTAAACCCTAAACCCTAAACCCTAAACCCCTAAACCCTAAACCCTAAACCCTAAACCCTAAACTCAACCTTAAACATTGTGACTACCATGGCTCTCCATGGCTCCCCCCCGGTCCTGAACTGAGGCGGCTCTACCTCGGGCGAGGCATTGAAATCCCCCAGGAGCAGTGCCAGGTCACCCGGCCCGGACCTGCTTGGAGGTTCAGGGGTTTAGGGTTTAGGGTTTAAGGTTTAGGGTTTCGGGTTTAGGGTTCAGGGTTTACTTGGAGGTTCAGGGTTCAGGATTCAGGATTCAGGATTCAGGGTTCAGGGTTCAGGGTTTAGGGTTTAGGGCTTGCTTCTTTGCATCTCAGGCCGGAGCCTCAGCAGTCCTGGGTTAAAAAGGGTTTAGGGTTTAGGGTTTAGGGTTTAGGGTTTAGGGTTTAGGGTTTGCTTGAAGGTTCATGGTGCCTGTTCACCAATTAAAAGGTTCCTGGTACTTATAAACCAATTAGAAGCTTCATTGTACTTATTAACAAATTATATAGCAAATTGGCTTGTAAGTACAATGAACCTTCAAGTGGCAGTTTTGCAGCAAGCAAAAGCTTAATTACCAGCGTGGCCCAACCTCCTGCACCCGAACGTGAAAGCTTTTCGCCGCAGCAGATGCCACAGACCACCTACATCCCCAAGACCTGCCGAAAAACAAGGAGACCCTAAACCCTAAACCCTAAACCCCCTGAAAGGCCTCTCGAGCAGCAGGGCCTCACACGTCCGGAGCTGCTCTTGGCGGCTGCTAAGGCGGCACTGCTGTTGGTTCTTGCGCGTGTCCGCGGAGAGGTGGAGGTTCGCCACTGTGACCTTTGGGTTTTGGGTTTAGGGTTTGGGGTTTGGGGTCCTTTCTTGGAGGTTCAAGGTGCTCATGAACTAATTGTAACTATTGGTTAAGTACCATGACCCTTCAAGCCCTAAACCCTAAACCCTAAACCCTAAACCCTAAACCCTAAACCCTAAACCCTAAACCCCTTCTAGCAGAACTTTTGGGATCCTCTGCCCTGCCAGGGCACAGCCCGGCTCTCCCCCAGCATCACAGGGATGGAGGCGAGGACCACGCTCTTGTGCGGGCTGATGCCTTTGAAGGGCGGGACATTCAAGCTCCTCAATCTCTGACGACGGGCCCAGCTCTGAAGCCACAAAGCAACAGCAGCTTTCCCAATCCCTAAACCCTAAACCCTAAACTGGGGCTGGCGCGCCCCAGGTATGCGGACTCCATGGGCAGCCTCGTGAGGATGAGCTGGCCGGATGGGTCCACACTGGCCTTGGCTTCACACACTGTGGACTCTCTGAAGAAAGGTGGACTTCGACCCTGAGACGAGGAATGTTCAGATCTTACATGGTTGCAGTAATTTGGTGGCTTGGGCGTGCTCGTCAATCCCTTTTCCCTAAACCCATAGAGCTTACGGCCTTTGGCTGCAGGGGGCCACTTGCTCCTCTCCGACGCTGGACCAGCACTGCTCGCGCACCCAGGGCTGCGAGAGAAGCGCCGCAGCGAATTGCGGCGTGACCTCTTCGATCAATCACAATTTGCGGGTGCGCGTGCACGTGCGCGTGCACGTGCGTGTGCAGGTGCAGGTGCAGGTGCAGGTGCAGGTGCAGGTGCAGGTGCAGGTGCAGGTGCATGTGCGTGTGTCTGTGACATGTGTATGTGTATATGTACGTGTGTGTGTGTGTGTATATGTATGTATGTATATGTATATGTATATGTAGATGTAGATGTAGATGTAGATGTATATGTATATGTAGACGTAGACGTATATGTATATGTATATGTGTCTGTATATGTATATGTATATGTGTATATATATATATGTATATGTATATGTATATGTATATGTATATGTGTATGTATATGTATATGTATATGTATATGTATATGTATATGTATGTATTGTCGTATATATGTATGTACGCCTATATATATATATATATATTTATTTATTTATATTTATTTATTTATTCATTTATTGATATGACTTTTTGTTTTTAGGTATTCTTGTTAGATGCATATATGTATAGATGTATATGTATTCTATTTGTCGCCAAATACAGCACCACTGGCGATCCCAAGCTGCACGCCTCTTGCAAAGCCATAACGTCGGCTCCACAACGCGAGAGCTCCTGGAAGATCTGGGCCTGTCTCGCCTGCACAAGGCCGAAAGAGTACATGACTCGACGAGCCGTATCATTAATAGTTTGAAAAGTATTATGACTCATGACTAATTGTTATTAAGTATTCTTCTTGTGGTCATTCTTCTTGTTTCGATGGTGATTACGTGATTAAGTATTATGACTGATGCTGATGGTTGTTATTCTTCTTGTGTTCATGTGCAGTATGCTGAGTTATGCTTGTGTTTTGTTGATCCTTTCGGCTGGGTATGGAGCTGAAGGCGCCCTGCTCCAAAAAATGCTTTCGGAGAGCCTCAATGTGTGTCTCCACGTCGCCAAACAGCTCGAAGAGGACGTTCAAGGTGAGGACCTGGGTTCACCGCATCTACCGCCCTCATGAAGAAAAGGCCCATACATGGCTGCAAGTAGTCGTCATGCAGGTTTAGAACCACAAGGGCCTCACTTACAACTACCGATGAACCTTCAACATCAGGCTCGTTGAGGTTCATCGGCCAGCTGCCTATGCTGCCTTGCCCTGCCAACGTGATGACGGCACAGTTGGGCCGATGCCACCGGAGCCCTAAGACCCCGTCGCGCACCCCAAACTGATGACGACACAAGCACCCCTGAATGAGAGAACAATTTCATGAACAATAATAACGTCATGTTCATCACCATCCTCCTCCTCATCACCATGGAGATACAAGTCTCAACTAGAAAGCGAAAGGCAAAACTTACCAACTCATTCCTATACTTAGCACATTCACAAACAACAAACGAATAGCGAACAACGCTTACCAACTACAGTAGCGCCTGCAGGAAACCGTCCATGCAACACCCAAAACCTGCACTTTGCCGCCGAAGCACTCGCAGCTCCTCTCGGCCCACTGCGTCCCCAGCGCCAGGGAAGGGCAGCCAGGCACCAGCCTGCGACGAAGCTCGAGGGTTCGGTCCATGGGGAGTGTAGCGTACAAGGTTCAGGTTGTCTGACGATGCCCTGGCTTTTTTTCTGTTTTGTAGGAGCCTGGTGCCTTCTTGAGTTAGGGAACGGCGTAGGTGTAGGGGCAGCACGATGAGGTGGCATGCTGCTCTTGGTAGTTCGAGTCTGCTTTGAAGTTGCGCACATGCGCATGGATGTGGTGGCATTTCTAGCAGTTTACTGGCCGGAACCAAGCATTACAGTTGCATCTGGCGATCACTATACTCCAACTCCTCGGCTGCACATGCCCACATGGGCCATATGGGCCCCAAGCAACTTCCCCAGTCTCAAAGGCTTTCTGGCTTCATCACGCTAAACATCACTGAACAAATTCTTCTGCAAAATTCATAGCAATTCTTCAACAAATGAGATACATGGACCTGGGGCGAGTACTTCATGACCGGGATCTCTTCCACCTTTGCCTCCCCAAGATCAAGGATGACATCTGACGCGGAGCGCTAGGTGGGGCTGAACTCTTCCCCCGTGCAGCGCACATGCCCCAGCATGGTGTCCGAGGGACTCCATCTTAACTACACTAGCAACTCATTAGACCCAAACTCCCCACCCCATCTTCACCTGGGATCGTTTGTAAACCACCACCACACTCATCATTGTCGAACCCCACTTGCTACTTGGGGTACGCAAGCTGTGGCAGGCTTGCCCCAAGCCCCCCTCTCCGCTTCCCCTCACGTCTTCTTCTGCTGGGCTTAGGAGGAGGGCTCCTCGCCCAAGCGCAAGCGCCCACCGGTGAGTGGAGAAGTCCCTTCTTCTTTTCCTCTCTGAAGGCTTGGAGGTCTTTCTATCTCTGTCTTTCTTTTGCTCTCTGTTTGCTCTCTCTTTCTTCTCTCTTTTCTCTCTCTTGTCTCTCTCCATCTCTCTCTCTCTCTCTCTCTCTCTCTTTCTCTTTCTCTCGCTCTTCCGTTTTTTCATCGTCCTTCTTGTTCTTCTTCTCCGCGTACATTGAAGCACGTGGCCAGGCCTTTCGATCATCAGTCTGGCTCCAGCGCACCTTGCTGAAACGACACAAGCACCAAGCAGGGCCTTCCTGCTGGCTGAAGATACAACGGTCGCCACAGCCTGAGACCTGGAACCCCTTTGTTCTTTTCGGGGCTGCGCCTTAATGATGCCCTTCTGAATCTTGACCATGGTCGCCTTCGCCCGGCGGATCACATCCTGCGTTTAGGGTGTTGGGGAGAAGGGGGGGGGGGGGGGGGGGGGGGGGGGTTGGGGGGTTTTGGGCCTTCCGAGGGCAGATGAAGCATGCAACGCAAGGGCCCTACTGTTGATGCAAAGCTCCTGAGAATCCCTTCTTGCATGACAGGCGATTGTTGGAGACTAACAGGATTCGGTTTCAGAACTTCGGGGATGCCTGCCTGCGTTTCGGCCGCTGCGGCTTCGGACACGGCCTGGCATTGAAGCCACTCTCAAGATCAGGCACTTTGGTTCGTAGGCGCCATAGAGGCGTTGTACCCTGTCGAGCTCGAGAACCCGTGCGACAAGTCCACTCCCCCAAAAAACAGGAAAAACAAGAAATCCCTAAACACTAAACCTTAATTAAACCCTGACTACTTTTTGCGACTGGGTCTCTCGCAGCCAGCCGGGTCCGTCTGAGGAGCCTCCCTCAAGTTAGCACTCGTGGCTACTTTAGAGGATGGCCCTCACATTGCATTTACACAAGCCAGGATTTCTAATCAAGCTCAAAAGGCAACGACATGCACACAGCTCACGGCTCTCAAGATAGTTTGAGAGGCAAAACATGCAATCAAGTTGGCCTCATGTCATGTCCCCACTGGAGTGAGTCGCTCCGCGCCATCTGAGCGTAAGCCCCCAAAAGCCTATAAATCCAAAGGCGACCTGGGACCCTGCGCTCTTGTAAGGGTAGTTGCATGGTCCCTTGGTACGGGCCCTTAGCAGGGGACCCCTTATATACCTCTCATACACCCTGTAGAACCCAAGGGCCCATACTTGAGAACCCGTTAGGGGAGGTAAGGGGCCATATAATTAAGGGCCCATGCAATCAACCTTTAGAGAACTACCCTACACCCTACACCCTAAACCCTAAACCCTAAGCCCTAAACCCGAAGCCCTAAGCTTCCCAAGCGCGGCGGGGGGGACGTCGCCCGTGGCAAAGATGCGGTCCAAGCGGGCTCGCCGGTCCCACAGCACTTCCTCCTCCTCTGCTGGGCATAGTAATCATAAGCAATCATGTGGTAATGATGTATGGGGATGATATATAGCAAGAATATGTAGACATCATATATAGTAACAATATGTAGTAATTATGTGTAGTAATAATAATACATGTATATAGTAAGAATATAGAAACCTCCTAGGCCCTAAGTTTTGCTACCCACCTAGCTGACGCCTAGCTGACGCCTTAGCCTTAAACGACACTCCGCACAAGTTTGCTTCGGAAGTACGCCTCCCGTCATGGTAGCTGAACAGGGAAACCGTGGGGTCTCTCTCTTGTAATTCATGAGGTCAGTAAAACAAGGCCATTCTCCACATGTCCCTGAAACGGGGTGCGAACTTCCAGACCGGCAAACATCGACCAAAGATTGAAAAGCCTGGGTTTTTGAAGCAAGGCCCCAAGCCAGAGCAACACCCTAAACCCTCAACCCTAAACCCCGACACCTTCTTTCCTCAAGAGCAACCTTCTTCACGAGTCAGACCCTTGAAGGCTTGCTGGCTTGCTGTCCTCCCGAAAGTAGTAGACCCGGTGGAAGGGTATGTCGCCGCCTGGAGATGTGGGGGTTTACGACCACAAGGGACCCCGAATTTTGAGCCCAAGTAGTAGGATCCCCTTGAAAAAAGGACATCGACTATCCCTACACGCCGTTTTCAGCAACCCCACATAACCGTGCTGATTGAGCAGTTTCCTTTTTGCACTGCTAATTGCACTGCTACACCGTCCTACCCGCGCCCACATGTTGTGATCTCTGGCCCATGGTGCTGCACTGCGATATGCTGAGATGTGCTGCAACCCGCAGCGTGCTGTGCTAGTTGGGGTCCCTTGAACCCTAAACCCTAAACCCTAAACCCTAAACCCTAAACCCTAAACCCTAAACCCTAAACCCTAGTCAGTTCCGATGTCAGCTGCCTTCATGCTCCATGGCCACTCTGTTCCCGAGGACTGCGGGCGCCTAAGCCTCAACCCAGCATCCCGCAGACCCCGCAAAGCCTCTGAAAGCCACGAAACCCCTTGCAGATTCTTAGGGTGTAGGGTTTAGGGTTTAGGGTTTAGGGCTTAGGGCAAATTCCCGCGGCTCCTGGCCGGAAGTCGGGCAACTTCACCTCAAGCGGGCCCAGGAAGCGATCCTCGTAGCCTTGGGGAGCCCAGGGCCGTCAAGCTTCGGAGCCTCTGCTCCCTTCTGCGAAGGTTTCCCAAAACCCAGGGCCCTTTGATTTAGGGTTTAGGGTTTTAGGGTTTAGGGTTTAGGGTTTAAGGTTTAGGGTTTAGGGCAACACAATGTAGGGCTGATGAAAGCTTTGATGGACTTTGGGGGGGGTCTTCGAGTTGATTAAGTTGAAGGTGCAAGCACCTACCAATTCACTGGCACACTGGCCCCCTTCCTCATCAACATCCTCCATGCAATCTCAACAGCCCATGATCCGGACAAGGACCGATGTTCACCAGTTCAACACCATTCAGAGCCGCCAGGGGCCAGTCCTTCCTTGATCTCAGCCTAGGATTCTTCAGAACGAACAAGCTAGGCCCCGCCACCTACCACCACCTTCGCGGGATGAAAGCGCTCGTCGTGGAGCAGCCGGTTGTAAACATCTTCGCTGGTGCGGAGCCTCCGGAACGATGTCTTCAGCGCTATTCGTTCACGAAGCCAGACTTCTCATTAAATGGTTCTTAAAGAAGGGCCCGGTTGTTGCACAAAGGCCCCAGCTGCACTCGAGCGACAAACTTAAGGAGATGCCTACTACTATCTTCCGTGATGACACATGATTCTGGAATAGTCAATCACGACAGAAAAGATTTACCATGATAACGCAACTGCAGGAACATAGCAATCAATACAACCACCAGCAAAAACAACCAAAACCCCTAAACCCCTTAAACCCCCTAACCCTGAAACCCCCAAACCCTAAACCAACCCCTAAGCCCAATAAAACTTGAGCCCCGAATCCTTCTGCCACGCCTGGGCTTAGACCCCTGCGCGGGATCGCGTGCCAGTGCCGGGTTTTTTGCCGGAGCGGGCGGAACCGCCGCCTCTTCTTCAACGGTACAATGCGAGCACAGACGATGCCGTGAGATGATGTGCTGTAGTTTCTTCTGCAACCAGGTCTGTACTAGAGCATCATCGTGTACCAGAGCATCATCGTGCTGTAAGATAATATGCTGGAATGACTTCGCTGTGGGATATAGGATGATATACGAGACGTACCAGAATGTACTACGACATGAGAAAGCCTACAAAAAGGGATTTCAGCTATGGTCTGGGCACACTAGAGAGGGGAGGGGCGGCTCTAGGACGCTGGGCTTTCACGCTCGCACTAGCAAACGTAGGCGGGATCTAAGAATTCGTGACATGAATAAGATACAAGAGCATCGGATGGGACGGAAGGCCCAGCGCCAGCAGCAGATCTCAGGATCAAAACACACCCATCACCACAGGCTCTCTCCGGAGATTCATCGACTTCAAACTCTCGGAACAAGTGCAGTACTCAGCCAGGCTTGTCATTAACATTAACTTATGCGCCAATCAAAGCCACTTAGCACCTGACGTCGCCCTCCCTGTACCAAAAGCCGATTGGTGAACTTGGTATAGTCTCCTTCCATCTCCTTCCCAGATTTGGGAAAGAATTTTCTTACCCGCTGTCTGCTTGGCTCCCGTTGCAGCGGATGCCAAACGGACAATGCGAAGCCTGGGACCAATTTGGGCTTTAAATGTCGGCGGCGGATTGTGTGGCGCACTGTCGGTGTGCAACATGAAGAATGCCGTTGGCGTATGGCAACGGCCACGAGGACATGGGGAGGTCTCGTGCGAGTCGAGGAATTTCCGCACCTAAGTTTCAACTGAACCTCAGCGCCTGCCAAGAGAAGCCATCACTAGCAGGTCGTGTTTGCGTGTGAATCTCATACAGAAAGTAGGGGGGGGACTCCGAATATAGTCCAAATAGTAGGATTCCCTTCTTAGGAACCCCAAGAAGATACCCCTAATTTCGGAAACCCCCACAGCTGAGGAGTTTTATGGAGCAATCGCACTGCGGCTTGGAGGCTTCAAGGTTGGATCTGTAGAGTCCTACACCCTCTCTCTCTCTCTCTCTCTCACTGGCGCTCAGTCAATGTCAGACTCTATACCCTAAGCCCTAAACCCTAAACCCTAAACTTACACCCGAAGCCCCTGCACATGGACTTGAACTTCGCTGAGCTGGCCTTGTGCTCCCTCCTGGCCCTGCGGCTGTTGGAAGGCGCCTTCCTTCCTGCAGCAAGGAGTCATGGGGTTCTACCTTGGGCCCCCTACTTGGGGTTCAGGGTTGTTAGTACTAATCCGTGAGCTGGATACCAGGCCAATGATGGAGAACCTGATGTTGGGGTCCCGAGGGTGGGTTCCTTGTCAAGAGAGTTCCTGTCACGTAGAAAGACTCATGATGGTACGGTTTCTAGACCAGATGATACGGTAAGACATGAAGATAGCACATGAACCAGACAGTGAGGCAAGAGAGTTAGGGTCTCAAGGTGTGATGGGTGCTGCGGTTGGACTGGTCTCTAAGACGGCTAGTAACTCAAGACATTAAGACTCAGCCCCAGATCAACCACACGGTCTAGTTCCTGTAGGGTTTAGGGTTTAGGGTTTAGGGTTTAGGGTTTAGGGTTTAGGGCTTAGGGTGTAAGGTTTAGGGTTTAGGGTTTACTTGGAGGTTCAGGGTACTTCCTAACCAATTATAGCTGCACTTATACCCACTCACAAGCCCCTTAAGTGCCCTAATATGGGTATCATTTGGGCTATAGTCATGGGGTTCTACCTTGGACCCCCCAAGGTTCTGCCTTCCCTGTTGACTCCTACCTGGCAGCGCCACTCGTAGCCGTCCAGCACCGGCGGCCGCAATCCCAGGCCAGTTTCCGGTGGAGCCACAAGGTTGGGAAAGGCCTGAGAGGGTTTAGGGTCTTAGGTTTTAGGGTTTCGGGTTTAGGGTTTAGGGTTTAGGGTTTCGGGTTTAGGGTTTCGGGCGTCAAGGGGGGGACTGCTGCGATCCAGGGGCCCTTTCGAGTCTGGCCACACAGACTGGGTTTTAGAGCCTAAGGGGGGTTTCGGCGTCTTTCTGGCCACCCTTGCATTACGGTTGAGAGCTGAGAGTTAAGGGGCCAGAAGGTTCTTGGTAGAGCTTGGAACTTGGGGAGCTGAAGCTGTTAGGGTTTGGGTTTAGGGCTTAGGGCTTAGGGCTTAGGGCTTAAGGCTTGGGGCTTAGGGCTTGGGGCTTAGGGCTTAGGGCTTAGGGCTTAGGGCCTAGGGCCTAGGGCCTAGGGCCTAGGGCCTAGGGCTTAGGGCTTAGGGCTTAGGGCTTCGGGCTTCGGGCTTCGGGCTTAGGGCTTAGGGCTTAGGGCTTAGGGCTTAGGGCTTAGGGCTTAGGGCTTAGGGTTTAGGGTTTAGGGTTTAGGATTTAGGGTTTAGGGTTCCAGGGAGGATGTCCTGGTCAACCCTTCAACATTCAGGCTTGCCACCGGAAGTGCTCGCCTGGATAGGTTCTCTGCCGGCTTCTGGTCCAACATATAAACCCCAAAAACCCTATATACCATAAAAACCCCAAAAACCCCAAGAACCCTAAGAACCCCCAAAAACCCCGAAAAAAACCCAAAACCCTACAAACCCAAAAAAAAAACCAAAAACCCGAAGAACCCCAAAACCTCCAAGAACCCCTGAGGTCGGAGCATGTGGCCGCTGGCCACCAGCCAAGGGCAGTGTGGGTCTCCGTGTGCCATGCAGCAAGGCTGCCATCGCTAAGCCTGGGATCCGATTTTCGGGTTTAGGGTTTAGGGTTTAAGGTTTAGGGTTTAGGGTTTTAGGTTTAGGGTTTAAGGTTTAGGGTTTAGGGTTTAAGGTTTAGGGTTTAAGGTTCAGGGTTTTGGGGATTCCATGGGCCCCTCCGAGGGTTTCGGGTTTGGGGTTTAGGGTTTGCTGTGATAGGGAGCAGGAGGCGCGCCATCGCTTGATTTTCAAAAAATGGGTACTGGGAATACGGCAACTCCTTGAGCGTACCCAAAATGGCTTAGGGCTGAGGGGTTTGAAAAGTCCAGGGTTTGGGGTTTTTCTGTGCTCAAAGAGGCTCGACAAATAACCCTAAAACCTCATTGGGTTAAGGGTTTGGGCTGACGTTGCTTGTGAACATGCCCAACAAAATGCGGCACGGCAGAGAGTCTGGCGCCCGACACCCGGTGATGCAGGATGCGTCCACCCTACCATCAGAAGGCAGAGAGCAAGGCGGCCGTAGGGCGAACCCCCGACACCTGCAGGAGTCCCCGGCGTCCCGCAAGACCTCCAGCACCATGCTTGCCGATGGGCCGTAGCAGCATGCTACAAGCTATGCACAAGAAGCTGGAGGGAGCCTAGAGAAGCTTGACTGACCCAAGCGGAGGCCGAATGAAGGACGAGTTCACGCTGCGCCGTCCTGGGCCGAAGCCTCCGCCCGACGACGAAGTGCCGCACGGGCGTGATGGCTGCGGAGCAAGACTGACACTTCTTGAAGGAGCTCTGCATGTAGGATTCCGGCATCAGCGCCGGTCCGGGCTGCGACGGCACGGGACAGGAGCTGTAGGGTTTTGGAGGCGGCTGGCTCCCAAGCCCCGGTGGACTCCACGACAAGTGGCACAAAACGAACCCCCTGCGAAGCGCAAGCGTGGGCTGTTTGGAGGTAAGCTCGCTTGGTCTCAGCGTACTGGGATGCAGACGCGAGGGCGTGCTGTCCCGCCTGCGCAAGGGACTCCTGCCGCTGCGGGGCCGTAACGGCCAGGTCAAGTGCAGCAGGGGCTCCAGACAAGGAGGGCAAGAATATGTCGGCGGGCCGGCGCCGGGACAATTGTGCTTCACCGGGTCGTTGCGGAAGAAGGAGGCCAGCTTTCTCGACTTCAGGCTGCAGGCCGGCGCGGTCTGCCCAGGAAGCAAGCAGATCACGCAGGGCGTTGTGTCTCTGAGTGCGCTCACCACCCGCAGCGCAAGTGCCTGCGTGCAATGCAAACCGGTCCATGATGCCATCGCATTTTGGGCACCAGGCATCTCCTGGCGCATCAGGGACACCCAGGCGGCGCCGGAGCTCCATGACAAAGGCCGCACCTTCCATGCGAGTTTTGGCAACAGGAACAGCGGCAAGCCAAGCACGCGCACCTTGTTCAGCTTCGGAGCGAAGGAGTGCCCGGGCAGTGACGGACGACACTAGGAGGTGTTGGCTCCAGCTAGCTGCGTCACACAGGGCAGTCAAAGCCTTCTGTCGCATGCCCAGCGCCAGATGGGAGGCCAGAGGCTGCGCAAGGAGCGCGCTGAAGGAGGAGGCAGCAAGGAGGACAGTGGGGTCGGACGCAAGCCCGCTTGCCGCGTAGCCAGGGTCAAGCTCCCTACACGCCTGCGCGCACCCTCCAACCGAGGCGAGGTAAGCGGCCGGTGCATCGCGAGCAACCGAGCGCAAGCCAAGGCCGGCATGAGCCAGATCGCGGGCTGCCTGCTCCCACTGAACGTCAGTCAGGTGGAGGCCAGTGAGCCCCGAGAAGCAGTCGCGGACTAGGACATCAAATTCAGAGAGGCTGGCATTGCCCCCAAACAGCGGAGCGCAGCGGAGGCTGTGGGTCAACTTGCAGTGGCCAGCGCAGGAACGCAACAGGCGAAGACCAACCTGCGGATCCTCTAGTTCTCCCAGAGCCTGCAAGAGAGGCCGGGCGGCCTGCACCCGAGCAGCAGTGTGGCCGGCCATGTAAGAGTCGTCCCCCACTGGCGCTCCTAACAGCTCAAAGCTACGTTGCACACGGTTGGCGCCGTCCGGGGTGCTCAATAGCTGACGTGGAAAGTACGGCAGCAGGGCAGCTTCAGGCAAGTCCCCAACGCTGACAAGTTCGCACTTCAGCAGGTTGAGCTCCAGGCCGAGCTCGGCACTGCGGGCCTGCACCAGGTGAAGCGCGGAGGCAACTGCCATGACATCGCCGGCCAGCACCCCGTCATCAAGGTAGAAGAAGGAGAGGTCAAGGCCAACAGAAGCTTCCCTTAGCATGCGGGCAAGGGGCTGCAGGGTGGCCGCAAAAAACAACGGCCCAAGGGGGTCGCCCTGCTGGACACCACCCGCCGACATGATGGTGCTGGCCCCACCGAACTGCAAGTGGGTGGGTTGGGCATAACACCAAACAGCGAACCGCGCCAGGGTAGGGAAGTGGGAGGCTATGGTGGCAAGCATGGCTTGGCGGGAAAGGCAATTGAAGGCATTGCGAAAGTCAAGTTTCAACAAAACTTTGCGGTTGCCAGCAGCCTGTTGTCGCGAGAGCCAAGCACGTGCAGTGTGGACAGCCGTTTCGGCACCCGCCGGAACTCCGACACCAAGCTGGGCTGGCCAGAGAAAAGCACGGGCCTCCTCTCGAACGGCTGTTATGAGGCACTTGCCAGTGAGGCGACGCATCACTTCGCCTATGGCTATGGGCCTGACGCCACCCTTGGGTTTGGGAACAGCGACCAGGGAAGCACCAGCCAGAACCGGCGCAGCAGCAGCGCAGGCCTGCCCTCGGGCCAGGAGGTTCACAACCGCCGCAAGTTGCTCCATTAGAACCAGGGTGTCACCTGGCTGGCGAGCTTCTCGCAGGTGCTGGACGCGGAGTCCGGACGGACCCGGGGCAGTGTCAACAGGAAAGGCACGAAGGGCCTTAGCGACCTCATCCGGCACAACCTCGTGCGCAAGCGGCAAGGCCGCAGTGTCGACCGCCACTGCAGGCTGGCTGGGGTGAAGAGCACGAAGGGCCTCAGCAGTTTCCGGGGTGTCAGGGCAGAGGCCTTCCGCAACCAAAGCGTCACAGGCTTTGCGGTCGAATCCTTCCCTGGCGAGTGCAGTGGCAAGTTCACGCCTTTGCTCAGCCGACCGTTTGCGTGGGGCGCCGCGAGCAGGCCGGTGGCGGTCCTCCCACAAAGCCTGGCGGTCCCCCTCCAACCATCGCTGAAGGCGGTCCTTGGTGTAGGCGGCGGCAGCCTTATGGTGTTTGCGGCCGCCTCGGGGCGGCGAGCAGAGGACGCACTGCGGGAGCATGAGGAACTCCCGCCAGGCACGTTCGTCATTGCACTGCGCGACGTTGGCAAGTGCGTGAGAGAGGGCCTTGCCCCACAGAGAGCGTGCAGCTGCAGGGACATGACGCAAAGTACGAACCCCACCGGCCTGGATGGCTGAGAACGAAGGCAGGTCGTGCACCGAACCTGCACGCGGAGTACCGCCGTCCACTGCAGCTCTGGCAGCGGGACGGCAGGTCGGGTGGATGCTGTGTCGACAAGAAACACTCAGACCGCACACACCACATCGCTGGCGACGCTGGGAACGCAGCCACTCAGTAGGGACATCCCCTTGGAGCGTACCGGCGAGGTGGGCATCAATGTGGGCTCGCATGGAGTTGTTGTCTGCCCAGCCTTTGGCCCGAGCAGCATCACCTTGGACACAACCTGGCACAGGGCAGTAAACACGCGGAGGCCCCGCAGCATCCACCTCCATGGATGGGCTGCGTGCTCGCCGACGAGGCCGCTCGCCACCGACAGGGGTACCAGGGGCACCTGGTCCGGGATGAGCCGCCTCACCAACTCGGCATCCACGAAGGGGCCAACCCGACCAGAGCTTCCGCCTGCGAGGTTTGCGCTGACCCCATGTCTGCCGCTGGCGCTCGAAAAGACGTCGGGGCCGACGTCGTGGGAAATGAGGCAGTGTAGCCTGCGAGCACCAAATACTGTCGTGGGCACAGGGCTCACACACATCAGGAGCCCAGGCTAGGGCGAGTCGCTGTGTCAGTGCACGCCGTGCGCGACGGCCCATCTTAGGCAAAGGCAGTGTTGGCAGGAGTTGCGATGGAGGCGAGCGGTCCAGCAGCAAGGGCTCGTGGGAGATGAGCGCGGATCCCAGCATGAGGCATCGAGCCCACCACAACAGACCACCAGACGAGGGGGCCATGGCGTCAAAGTCGAAGCTGCTACTTGAGCCCCTCTAAGCTCTTGAGCCAAAATGGCTACGGGGTTTTTTTCGCTCCCGCATAGCTGGCCGAACCGCGGGCAGGGTTGATTGATGGTACGACTCCAAGGGTTTAGGGCTTAGGGACACAACTGGGCTTCAGATCCACACCCCAAACCCGAAACCTGTAGCCCTAAACCCTAAACCCCAAACCCTAAACCCGAAACCCGAAACCCCATGAGGCTGAAGGTGGCCGCCAAGATGCTGCGCCGAAAAGCAGAGGTCCCCTGCAAAGACCTGCTGAGCGGTCTGCAGGTTTTGGGGCGTTTCGGGCAGGGGGGGGGGGGAGGGGGGGGGGGGGAGGGGGAGGGGGGGGAGGGGGGGGGAGAGGGGGGGGAGGGGGGGGGGGTTTTGTGTGCGGTTTAGGGTTTAGGGTCTCGGGTTTAGAGCTGAAGGTTTTCGCCTAGACCCTGCAAACCCTTGAAACTCCTGAAGCTCCTTAAACCCTGAGGAAGCCTTGGAACCCTTGCAACCTTTTTTGAACACTTGGAAACCCTCTTGAAACCCTCGAAGCCGTCTTGAACCCTTTTGAAACCCTTGTGTAACCCTCTTGAAACCCTCTTGAAACCCTTGTTGAAACCCTTGTTGAAACCCTTTTGAAACCCTTTTGAAACCCTGTTGAAGCCCTTGAAGCCCGCGGAACTACCGCCTTCTCTGCCCGCAATTCGGCATTCACAGGCATGGGAAAATGAGCCTCGGATTTGCTGCTTTTGTTGGCTTACTAGGGGGGGGGGGGGGGGGGGGGCATTACCCAACGTAGGGGGGAGTAACCCGCAAGTAGCAGAGAATCCCCTTGAAGGGAAATCCAAACAGGGTACCCCTATTTTCGGAGAAAAACACACACACACACACACACACACACACACACACACACACACACACTCTGAGATATATATATATATATATATATGTGTGTGTGTGTGTGTGTGTATATATATTTGTATATATATATATATATATATATATATATATATTTATTTATTTATTTATTTATATGTAAATTTGTGCTTTCTTGCATCCTTCCCGATGAATTCGGAGGGGGGAGGAGTCGGGAAGCTTCGCGCGTGGCCGCCATCCGCAAGTCCACGCCCTGCACCGGGCTGACGCCAGGGGCGCCTCCTCCGGCCACCTCGACTCCCCTTGGAACCTTAAAAAAAATTCTTAGAACCTTATAGAACCTTAACGAAAATATTCCTCATACCCTTAGATCCTTAGAAGTAATATTTTTTTAATACCCTTAGAAACTTAAAAAATATAAAAGTTCTTAAGATCCTTAGAACCTTAAAAAAATAAGATGCTTTAATATCCTCTTGGGTTTTAATATGAACAAAAGTAAAAAAAAATAGATTCCCAAGGAGGATATAGCCACCAGGCCCTGGGCTGCGTGGGTCTTGGCCAGGGCCAGACCTCGGATTGGTCCCCTTGAAACTCTGAAAAAATATGTTTGGCTATCATCCTCTTTATAACCTAATAACGGAAGACATATGAACCCTCTGAAAAAATATATTCCTGACGATGATCCTCGTTATAACCCAATAAGGGAATAGAAAGAATGTCCCAAAGGCCTACCGAGATACAGGTGAACCCAGGTGGCCACGGCACCTCCGTGGCAACTGCAGACCTGAGGGCTTTCAAGGCCATGTTAAGGCCCCTTTTTTTGGATCAGGTTCCGAGTATACATAATTAGGGCTTAGGGTTTAGGGGTTTAGGGTTTAGGGGTTTAGGGTTTAGGGGTTTGGGGTTTGGGGTTTAGGGTTTAGGGTTTAGGGTTTAGGGTTTAGGGTTTAGGGTTTAGGGTTTAGGGTTTAGGGTTTCTCAGGGGGTTGGAGTTGTAGAGGCAGATGATGATGGGGATAGCCGGGATAGCACACATGGTTTTTGGCCGAGCCACTTGCGGAGGTCCCAAATCATGCATCCAGACGGTCCGCCGATGGCGACGTGCATTGCGTCTAGAGGGAGAATAACGGGGTGCGGCAGCAAGGTCGCAATCTCCCCGCTCTCACCGTCCACCTTGGCTGCGGACAAGGCCAGGCCACCACAACAAAAGATAGACTCCATGAAGGCGGCCCGTCACGCTGGAGGAGCATGCATGGCATCACCCGGAAGTCGCAACCCAGCTTGAAAAGAAAACGCTCTGAGGACCGCAGAACTGCTCCCCCTTATACTAACAGTCCTGAATAAGGATTATAGTACCCCTCCAAATATACGTACTCCTATGAAGGATGTTAGTAAAAGGGGGAACATCCCAACAGAGCCCCTCAAAAAAAAAGAGAGCAGAGACGGTGTGCAAAAACCTCTACTGGTACTTGGGAGGGCGCCTCGAGGTCCAGCACACGAACCTGCACATGGGCCGCGTAGGGGTTTCTCAGAGTGGTTCCATACTTTAGGGTTTGGGGTTTAGGGTTCAGGGTTTTGGGTTTAGGGCTTCGGGTTTAGGATTTAGGGTTTAGGGTTTCGGGTTTAGGGTTTTGGGTTTAGGGCTTAGGGTTTAGGGTTTGGGGTCCCCCAAGCAACCGAATCCCCATCCCGCGGAGGTGGCTAGGGTCGGGCTGCATGGTCTCATCACAGCTTTGGGTATCCCTAAACCCTCAACCCTGATCCCTAAACATGGAGTACGCCGCAATGTTACCCATCTGAGGTGTTGGTCGAAATTCGGCTCCCGTTCGCGCCAGAGGGATTGAACTGCCTTCGAAAAGGGATCCCCCCCCAAAAAAAGAGGCCCGAAGTGCAGAAGCACTCCCCCCCATCCTTACATAGTGACTCTAGACCCAAGAGTAACCTAGGAATGCAAAGGGTGCCATTTCTAAAGCGGCTTCTAAGGGAACCTAAACCCTAGAAAAAAGGGAAGAGAGGCCCTAGCACGCCCTTCTAGACCGCTTCTCTCTCCCCCCTCTTCTGCACCTTCTGGCCGAAGGCCGCCAGCACCTGCTTCCCTCCCCTCATCAAGTGGGCGTCGCGCGCGGGCCCGTCACTCTTGCGGCCTTGGGATGGTCGGGCTTTGGGTTTAGGGTTTAGGGTTTAGGGTTTAGGGTTTAGGGTTTAGGGTTTAGGGTTTGGGGTTTGGGGTTTGGGGTTTGGGGTTTGGGGTTTGGGGTTTGGGGTTTGGGGTTTGGGGTTTGGGGTTTGGGGTTTGGGGTTTGGGGGTTGGGGTTGGGGTTTGGGGTTTGGGGTTTGGGGTTTGGGGTTGGGGTTTGGGGTTTGGGGTTTGGGGTTTGGGGTTTGGGGTTTGGGGTTTGGGGTTTGGGGTTTGGGGTTTGGGGTTTGGGGTTTGGGGTTTGGCTCTCATGGGGCTTTAGGTTCTTTTTTGTTGCCACCCGCTGAAGGTGCATGGTAACTTAGTGACCAATTATAGCTGTACTTATCACATTAGGGCACATAAGGGGTGCAGCTATAATTGGTTAATAAGTGCCCCTGAACCTCCGTCTAGGCATGCTCCAAGAGCTTCAGGTTTTGGGTTTGGGGTGCTTTAACTCCTCAACCCACCCCGAAGCCCTTGAAGACATCCTCCTGAAATACCCTGTAGGGTTTAGGGTTTAGGGTTTGTGGCTTAGGGTTTAGGGTTTAGGGTTTAGGGTTTAGGGTTTAGGGTTTAGGGTTTCGGGTTTCGGGTTTCGGGTTTCGGCAGCTGCACTGGGTGTCCGGCCGAGCGCAGTTGGCACGGCGCGAGGGTCCGAGAGGTCATGCAAGGACAGCGACCCTCCTGAAATTCGGCTTCGGCGCAGGAGCTCGGGTCGGATGATTTACGATAGGGGGCCTTAAGAATTAGAACAGGGTTTTGGGGGGTTGTCGTCGCCTATTTATACAGGGACCGCAAGGGAATAGATTTGGTAATATTTTCCGACCCCTCTATTACAGTGTTGCATCAAGGACCTGCTATAACTACCAAGAGCCGTGCACTCGCTCGCAGATGCCCTACACAGCAGGACCATGGGGCTTCTCGACTCTTTCGCACGCGGCCGACAAGGATCTCGGTTCGGCATTGGTGGAAACGGATGCTCAACCCCCAAGATTCCATAAACCCGATACCCTTATGCATCCAGTCTCTTGCAGCCAGCCCTAAATCCTAAACCCTAAACCCTAAACCCTCAACCCTAAACCCTAAACCCGAAGAAGCCCTCCAAAGGCCGGTCCTTTCTGGAGGACCAGGACCGTCTCCTCCCAGGCATCGATGCTTTGGACCTGGCCCCGGAGCCGAGTGAAGCGCGGCTTCTCGTTCAAGTCCGCCAGATCCCAGAAAGCCACACCTTTGGGGCTCTCAAAAGGTCGACAGGGTTTTAGGGTTTCAGGGTTTTAGGGTTCTAGGGTTTTAGGGTTTTAGGGTTTTAGGGTTTTAGGGTTTTAGGGTTTTAGGGTTTTAGGATTTTAGGGTTTTAGGGTTTTAGGGTTTTAGGGTTTTAGGGTTTTAGGGTTTTAGGGTTCTAGGGTTTTAGGGTTCTAGGGTTTTAGGGTTTTAGGGTTTTAGGGTTTTAGGGTTTTAGGGTTTTAGGGCTTAGGGTTTAGGGTTTCGGGTTTCTCTTGGGTTTAGGGTTTAGGGTTTAGGGTTTAGGGTTTAGGGTTTAGGGTTTAGGGTTTAGGGTTTAGGGTTTAGGGTTCGGGCGTAGGGTATAGGGTTAGGGTTTAGGGTGTTTTGAGGGGGGGGGAGGCTCTGTCAAAACGGTCAGTCGAGAAAGATTAGGAAAGGCCCTGAAAATTCCAACAGCCTGCTGCTCCTCCTGCGTCCTTTTCAAACATCCCGCGCCGAGACACCACTTTCTTTGCCCTTGATTTTCTCGCCCACGGCCATCAAGCGCGCGTCGCTGTGCCGCAAGCAGGTGGCAGTCTGGAAAGGCATCGTCAGGCACTCCTGGTTTACCTTGCGCTGACAACGAGTCCAGCTGCCCAACAAGAGAAAGGCCCCCCCCCTCCCTAAACCCTAAACCCTAAACCTCTAACCCCTAAACCCTCACCTATAGGCCCTAGGAAGATTTGCAGTGAAATGCGACCACGGGGCCGCAGGATTGGAGTTAAACTCCTCCACGGCCCTGCACTCGAATATTGGTGCTGCCTGATCCAGGGCACGTATGTGTGTGTGGCACTCAACAGGGTTCACAGCCCAACCTGAAAAGGCCGCTGGGGATGTGTTCGGACCTAAACCCTAAACCCTAAACCCTAAACCCGACTTGGAGCCCATCCTTGCTGCCCACGGCGGCCCAGCGCAAGCTGGCAGCAGCAGCCGCGGCGCCCACGAGGGAGCAGAACGCCAGCTCGGGCTGCTCTGGCAGCCTTGGATGGCAATACAGCAACGCAATAACGTTGTAATGAACACGTTACTGACATAATGAAGTATATGTTCGAAAATTCACCCACTTGGTTTGCTTCTTGGCCGCACAACAGCTTTTGCAACAGGCTTCACGACCCCTCCATACTCAACTCTCGACTTGTGGTACTTTGCAGCGATGAAACGTGAGAAAGCCACCGAAGGCTTGTCGGCACCATGCTTGAAGGTTTAGGGTTTAGGGTTTAGGGTTTAGGGTTTGGGGTTTAGGGTTTAGGGTTTAGGGTTTAGGGTTTAGGGTTTGGGGTTTAGGGTTTAGGGTTTAGGGTTTCGGGTTTAATACTGAAGGAAGCTGGGACACACTTGGCTGTCCATGCTGAAGTTGTCTCGGTTCCACCGATGCCACCAGTCCGCTGGCCACTCGACCCCCTGGCATTAAAGCAGTTATCCAAGCTTCCTCTCCACGGACTCAAACCTCAAAGAATCACCAAGATTTCCGCACCAGAAGGGATGAGACGAGCAGTTGATGTAGTTCATGTGTTCTGATCGAACAAAATGCTGACTCCACACCTTCCACAGCCCCACGCCGCGACTTCCCCTCGGGGCTCGAACTTCGTGATCTTTGGGAGCACTCTCCCAAGCCCCCCTTCTGGGATCGCCCCAAGCGTCCTCAACCCTCTACCCCGAACCGGGGGGCGCATCACCAACTCATGGGGTTTGGGCCTGCTGCCGCAGAAGTCGGATGGTTCTGGCCGCGTCTGCCAGTGGCAGGTCCTGAAGCCAGGGACCGATTTAACAATAGGGCGGGGGCGTTAGGGGTTTAGGGTTTCGGGCTTAGGGTTTAGTTTTTAGGGTATCGGGTTTAGGGTTAGGAGGGGGAGCCATCGCAACTGGGTATGTTATAAGACTAAGGGGCATTTTGGGCAGGTTGTTGCGGCGTAGCGCAAGACACCCTCCCTCTCACCTCCAGCACTGCACACCAGGCCGACGAGGGAAGGAGCCTCAATAGTTCGCTTCGTCTGCTCTTACACTATGGCAAGGGTCGGTGATGTCTCACGGTCAGATCCGGCAAGATGACTGATAGGGACTTAATTGATTGGAATAGGGTTTTTTGGGGTTGTTGTTGTAGTAGAATTATACAGGGATCAGGAGGGGATAATTTTCATAATTATTCCGATCCCCTAGATTAGGCAGCCCTGCGGCGGAACGCTGTCTGCCACACGCCGTGGCGGACGGAAAGTCTGCAACCTTGGGCAGCGCACGGCGGGCCATCAGGAGGAGCTTCTTCGGGGGGCGATCAAAGGGCCCTAGAACGGCCTAAATTATAGTTCTTCATGGATATGTAAGAGGTATATAATAGGTAAAGTATAATACAGAATAGTATACAACAGTATATAAGAAATATCATGGTGTATAACAATGTTGCAGAAGAAATTAACCATGCATAACTATTGGGGTTTACGAAAATATGGGACCCCAAACCAAAGACCCCAGGTACCCCTATTTCGCACGTCAGCATGAGTTTTGGTTTGCCACCCGCACTGATGCCACGGGCACCCCAGGCTCTCAAGAAGCCAAGAAAGGTATCAGGGGCCTCTGCTCAGCTTAAGGGGTGGAAGGAGGGACCCCTAGAAAGGAGCCCTAGATATACCTTCTACACTCCCTATATATCTAAGGGGATCTCTCAGTAGCCCCTAAATAACCCACAACCTCTAAGGTCCCGTATAAGGGTCCCTCCTTGACTCCAAATCTGAGGCTCTGGCCTCAGCGGAATGCTTTGAACCAGCCTCTCATGCAGCTAGCTTGGCTCGGGCTGTTGGGAGAGCCTTCGCAATGCCTACTCAGCTTCCGCACTCTGCACCAAAAATTACTTCAGCTGCGCACCAAAACCCCCCTAACCTGAATGGGGAAGAGCAGCACACCTCATGGACTCTCTCCCCAGGGCGCAAGAAAGCACAGCATGGACGTGGCCCCACGGCCCCAGCCCGCCACCCCCAGGCACCTGAAGGACTCTTCGGCAGTTGCTCGAGCACAAAGGGCCAGGGATCCACATCGCCAGGTGAGAGGCAACGGCACCTGGGATTTTGTGCTTTCGATGGCGAGGTCCCCCTGTCTGTTGTGAAGGTGTGAAGGGGAGGGGTCCCATGGTTCATGGGAGATGCAGTCAGTGTCGCAGAGGCCTCCCTTGGCCTTTCCGAAGTCTGCCCGACATCCACCAACACAAAGAAAACGCTTCCGGCCCCTTTAGGCCAGCGTGCAAGTTGCCCTGCGTGTGCCGGCTAAGGCGCGCAATGGCTCGCCACGACGCGCTCCGCCTACGCTCTGAGCACCGCTCGATCCATTTTCGGAGGCCTACCCGAGGACCCCACCTCTGGCCGGGCACAGACCTACCCCTAAACCCTAAACCTTAAACCGAGACCCCGCATACCCTTGCTTTCAACATCCCCCAAACCCTCGACGTTCGTCCTAGGGCGGACCGCCTGGGCCCCCCTGACATGAAAACCATATGCGCTACTCTTGTAATGACCTATCAGTATATGCTTGTATTGCATATTCACAGTTTTTGTCTCTGTTTCTATGTTTATTTGGATGAATGTACTGATAGGTTAGCACATTACTATTTTACTATAGTATTACACTTGTACTATTGTAGTACAACGATTTTGCTGTATCACAATTGTGGTTCTTCTGGTATCTTGCTGCATTATGGTACTATTGTGCTAAGATGTTATGATGCCATTATGGCATTATGCTAAGATGTTGTGTAATATGTTAGTGTGTTACTATAGTGTATTCATGGATATCAATAGAATATAGCATTGTTTATTGCTGTGCTGATATATTGTATACATTCTTACGTTCTTACATTCTTGCATTCTTGCATTCTTGCATTCTTGCATTATTGCCTTGCCAAGTTATTACCTTATTGCACTCTTACATTGCAGTCTTATATTCTTGCAGCTTTACAAGTTTATTTTTTTACATCTGTGCTTTTGTGTTGCTATTTTGTTATGGTAGCAATTCATAATACTACCATGTGATTGTAGCATTATACGTGTCACCTAACCAAAAAATGTCTAAACCCCTTCGCCAACCCTTACATGATCTATGTATTGTACTACTGTATTGCAGCTATAACATCATACTACTACATCAGTAAATTACCCCTAAACCCTAAAGCCTAAACCCTAAACCCTAAACCCTAAACCCTAAACCCCTTACCAACCTTGGACCCTCGGGCCTCCCGCAGAGGGAACTGCCCAAGCGTCACGTGGAAGTCCTGCTCCTCATCGTCAGCACGGCACTCCTGGGCAGAGCGTGGTTTAGGGTTTTTTTTTGGCACCCGTCTAGCCACAGCACTGCGGGGTTTAGGGTTTAGGGTTTAGGGTTTAGGGTTTGGGGTTTAGGGTTTAGGGTTTAGGGTTTAGGGTTTAGCGTTTAGCGTTTAGCTTGAACCTTCGGTATCATGTTATGATGATATATTAGTATAATAACTGTAACACAATCATATAACAGAAAACCGCTTCGCGGTTGAGTCGGAATGTGGATCACAGTCAACCTTTGAAACCTCTCAGGTTCCAGCCGACTGCAGCCAGGGGTCCGGAAACACCTCCAGCAGGCGCTCCACCAGGTCGCGCAAAGTGCGCCGCGTGTCGTCGGACGGGGTCAGGCCGACGTACCTGGGCATGCGCGCCATGGCGAGGGCTCCTTCCCAGGAGTCTGCGTAGTATTGCAAGGCGTGCAAACCTGCCAACTACGAGCAGTGAGCAATGTCATGCACGAAGCCGTATACTGGGCGGTCAGAAAACAGAGCAAGACGGGAATCGGGCGTTTCCATCTCAAGCCCTGCTTTTCGAACCCGTGCTGAGGCCAGCCCTTTTGCACTAAACCCCCTTTTTGACCCCAAACAATGGGCATTGTGTTGGATCTACCCGTGGCTCTGGCAAGCCCAGCCGGCGCTTCTCACTTTCGGTGGACTCCCGCTAGACTCCAACGCCAACGGGCGTTCATCTCCGCATCTGGGCTGCAGTCAGTGTCCAAAGCATGGGCCCTGGTATTGTTTTGAAGGCCCGAAACTATGGCCCCATACCTTGGGCCTAACCATCTCTCCACTCCGCATGGCGTCCAATGGGGACAACATTCCCACAAACAAGCGCGCACTCTGCGGACCAATGTTTTTTCTCTCTCATTAATTAAGCAAAAAGGTTGAAAAGTTTGGGAGCTCTAATTTGGCAGATACATGTCCGGTGCTCACGGTGGGAACTCGCACAGCATGGCCGAACTGGCGTTTTCTCTAAAATGGACGGGCAGAACTTTTCTCTTTTCGGTTCAGGGCGATTTCGGCTTCTTTGCTTTCAACTCAACCGAGGTGACAGACAGGCAGGTACTTCTCCCGACTCGGCCGTCTCTCTGTCGGGAGCCAAAGCGTTCTCGCAGCCGCATCACGGGCATGAAAAGCTGCGGAGGGGCATGATGCAGCATGTAGTAGGGGCCCAAAAACCACATAAACATAGGGGCCCTTATACCCGAATAGTAGGATCCTTATGTTTACGTGGTTTCTTGGGCCCTTATGTAGACAAGCTTCCACCCGAAACACGCGCCTGTCGACGTCTGCCTCTCGTTGAACCAAGTTGCGCCCTGTCCTGCGGTGCTCTAGCCTCACCCATCAGAGGGCGCACCTGCGGGGAGGAGGATGGGGTTTCGATAAGGAGTTGGGATGGGCTTGACCGACACATCATGATCCAGTATTGGGATGTTCCCCCTTATACAAACAGTCCTGAATAGGGATTACAATAGGGTGTACTATAATCCCTACTAGGGACTGTTAGTAGAAGGGGGAACATCCCAAATCCCCCACATTCAGTAGATAACAAGACTTGGTTGGAGAGTCTCCCCTACCCCCTGCCACCCTGCAGCGGCGAGCCTCCGAAAGCTCGACGGAGAAGGCATCCAGACTTAGGTCCCGAAGCTAGAAGACACCCCATGTTGGGGGGGAGGGGGGGGGGCTCAACACCTCCCCTGAAAGACGGGGAGGCCGTTTTTATGACTTCTCGTGACGGTCTCGGAGGGTTCTACAGTGCTTCTTGGGACACAACTGTCATCGCAACTGTGGTAGTACTTGAGATGCCGCTGCGCCCCGTGATGTAGCACGCACGAAGGTGTTCGGTGTAGACATGGGTCGGTCCCTAAGCCTCCAACTTGAATCAAGCAGCCGCTGGTATGCAAGGGTCGCTGTTGAGCCCTACGGTGTCTCGATTGCTTCTGGACGGCCGGCCGTTAAGACCCCTCCTTGTCCATCACGGTACTTCCGCATGCGCTCAAACTTCTCTGCCGAGCCACGTGTCGTGGAGCTGCTCCAGCCGGGGCAGCGCCGTCCTCCCACACGGGGGTTTACGACAAGAAGGGTACCTTATTGGGCTCCTTTTTTAGGCGGGGGATCCTACTATTTGGGAGTCTATGTTGGGGGTTCCCAAATTTGCGTAAACCCCCCCCCGATTCAGAAGGTGGCCGCAGGTGGCCACCTTCTGCGGCCAGGCAGGATGACACAGCGGCTCTGGAAGTCTCTCACAGGCAGCACTCATGTTGCAGTCTGGAAGATATGAATCTGAGCCTAATCCTACTTGTCCAGTACCTAGGGGAACCAAAGGTTTACCCTTCGGGATCATAAGGGGAAGATATTACCCCAAAAAGGTTAACGGTTACCTACTCTACAAGTAACTGAGTGGGGCTTTAAAGGCCTTTGAAAATCATGCATGAATAGGTTCCCTTGAAAGGGAAAGAAGGGAAACTCTGAATATAGTCGCAAAGAAGCCAGCTAAGTAATTGTAGGGAACGCGGAGAAGATGGCATCAAGACATGGGGCAGAGTTTGTTGCGACGTCCTCACAGGCAGGAAGGGCCAAAGAATCCGAAGATGCGCCTGGACGAGCATGTGCTTTAGGGTTTAGGGTTTAGGGTTTAGGGTTTTAGGGTTTAGGGTTTAGGATTTAGGGTTTAGGGGCATGCAGTTCAGGCTGTCACTTTTGCTATCTCGCTGCAGGTTGCTATGAGCTGCAAGCTCAACCCCACAGAAAAACATGCCGATTCCGCCAGAGGCATCCATGCCCGCAAACGATAAGAGCGTCCATGTTTACCAGTGGAGGCCCGGCCCAAACCCAAAGCGCCCTGAACCAAATGCAGCCGACAAGACCGAACACAGGGCCACATGCTGTGAACTAAAGCAGTGTTCAGCAAGTGCCGCCTTCAGAAATCGATGCCTAGCCTTAAACACAAAAGGCTTCATTCCTGTGAGGTTTGGGTATGTTCGGGTTCCATACGGCGGAGCCATTCTGAGCCCTACGTCTAGTGAATGCGCCTGCGGCCATCGCACGAAGGCCTTGTCATGCTTCTGGCGCAAAGCTTGCACCTGCCAAGTGGGTGTTTTGACATCCCCAACAGTTCGCATCTGAGCAACAGGGTCAAAAGGTTCTTTCTTGCCTCTTGCCTGGCTGAACCCAAGTCCACTTCGCAGGGCGCACGGCATATTCCGCACAAGACTCGTTGGCCTCGAAGAATTACCGAACAGCCATGTGTGCAGATCGCGAAGCTCAGGGATTTTCCCTTCTGTTCCAGCCGTCAGTTCTAACGTACAGAAATGAAGGGGCGTGGTGCTACAGTAGCGGTGCACATCGGCACTGCTTCGAAAGCGTGGAGCGGCAAGAGGGATTCCGTTTCATCCATCTCCAGGCTCAAAGCAAGAAACCCATCGCGAGAATCAGAGCTGGCGCCCCGCGACGAAGCACGGCTGCAGAGATCGTCATGTCTTCGCTCGTTGAAGAGCTCATGGTGGTGGTCGCATTTGCATCGGTTGTGCTGCCGGCAGTGGTGCTGGTGGTGTTGCTGGTGTCGGCGGTGGTGGTGGTAGTGGCGGCTGTGGTGGTGGTTGTAGTGCTGGTGGTTGTGGTGCTGGTGGTTGTGGTGGTAGAGGTGGTGGTTGTAGTGCTGGTGGTTGTGGTGGTGGTGCTGGTGGTTGTGGTGCTGGTGGTTGTGGTGCTGGTGGTTGTGGTGGTCGTCCCTTCGCTGACGGTCACCTCCGCGGCAACCCACATCTCATCGATCGAGCCACCGGCACCGCAAAGCGCCCGGAAGGAGACAGCTCCGCTTGCAGGAGCCGTCCACGACTCCGACATTGTGGTGACTTTTGCCGCGTTGTCTTTCGACGTCGTTCCGGTACCGAACGTGCCGCCGTTGGACACGAGCTTGTAAGCCAGCGCGGTGGTCGAGCTGACGGTTACAGAGTACGACGCTCCAGGCGTGTAGCCACCACTCGGGACATCTGTGACGATCTTGCAGGTGTCGCCGGTTGTTGCTCCTACGTTTGCAATGCCCATGAATCCAAAGCTGCTGCCGGGCGCATATCCGCCCACGCACGAGAAGTCGCAGTTCATTGAGCCGGGATACGCGTGCGCGGGGAACAGAAGGCAAAGTAGCCCTCCCCACGGCAGAAAAGCCATGTTCCTGACAGGCCAACCTGGAGCAAAGCAGCGGATGCGGCCACTGCGGCGCAGGAGCGAGGGCTTCGAGTCTGAGCCAAAAGCCGCCTTGAGCTGCAGCCATTAGGGTTCAGGCTGGTGATATATATATATATATGCGCACATATATACATATGTGCCGGACAGCTTGCATCCCTTGTCGAGCACAAACCGCTTTCAGGCCGTAGTGGGTGCTGTCCGGATCGGAAGAACCGCGAGCACAGAAGCCAACCTTCATAGATCCTCATACGATGCTCAAGTAGGCCCCTACCGAAACACATTTCAATTCCACACAGAGCTCCCGTTTGTCTGGGTTTGGGGTCCCAAGCCGTGGCATGGCGAGCATCCCAGCAACAGGGTCAAAAGGCTCTTTCTTGCCTCCCGCCTAGCTGAACCCAAGTTCACTCGCAGGGCGCACGGCATATTCGGCACGAGACCCAAACTAGGATTTTGGGATTCTTGACTATTCTTGGGGCTTAAGTATAGGGGGGGCTAAAGGGTTGATCCATGGCGCCGGCGGGCTGTGCAGGTCTCGAAGAATTACGGAACAGCCATGTGTGCAGATCGCGAAGCTCAGGGATTTTCCCTTCTGTTCCAGCCGTCAGTTCTAACGTACAGAAATGAAGGGGCGTGGTGCTACAGTAGCGGTGCACATCGGCACTGCTTCGAAAGCGTGGAGCGGCAAGAGGGATTCCGTTTCATCCATCTCCAGGCTCAAAGCAAGAAACCCATCGCGAGAATCAGAGCTGGCGCCCCGCGACGAAGCACGGCTGCAGAGATCGTCATGTCGACGGTCGTTGAAGTGCTCATAGTGGTGGTCGCATTCGCATCGGTTGTGCTGCCGGCAGCGGTGCTTGTGGTGGTGTTGCTGGTGTCGGCGGTGGTGGTGGTGGTGGTAGTGGCGGCGGTAGTGCTTGTAGTGCTGGCGGTTGTGGTGGTCGTCGCCTCGCTGACGGTCACCTCCGCGGCCACCCACATCTCATCGATCGAGCCACCGGCACCGCAAAGCGCCCGGAAGGAGACAGCTCCGCTTGCAGGAGCCGTCCACGACTCCGACATTGTGGTGACTTTTGCCGCGTTGTCTTTCGACGTCGTTCCGGTACCGAACGTGCCGCCGTTAGACACGAGCTTGTAAGCCAGCGCGGTGGTCGAGCTGACGGTTACAGAGTACGACGCTCCAGGCGTGTAGCCACCACTCGGGACATCTGTGACGATCTTGCAGGTGTCGCCGGTTGTTGCTCCTACGTTTGCAATGCCCATGAATCCAAAGCTGCTGCCGGGCGCATATCCGCCCACGCACGAGAAGTCGCAGTTCATTGAGCCGGGATACGCGTGCGCGGGGAACAGAAGGCAAAGTAGCCCTCCCCACGGCAGAAAAGCCATGTTCCTGACAGGCCAACCTGGAGC